ACTTGAATCCATATACCACTTCAAAGATTAAGGCTGATCAACATACATCATGTTCAAAAGTTTAAAATTTATAATTCATTGAACATAAATGAATTTGAAGAACAAAATTATGATAAACATATCTCATTGCCAATCTCTAGGACAGTGATAATGGCAGTATTCTATAAACCCGTATCTGAGGACGTGTTTGATTATTGAAACAGATCATCCACAAGGGAGATTATTTAACATGCTTAATTTACTCATTACAAGGTCAAGGCCAAAATGTCACCCTTATATACCTATGTATGAATTGAGGAAAGTTAATCATAAATAGGACATCATCAACAGGAATAAAATAATATGGTTTCAGGCCCCTAGGAAGTAATTTCAGTCTGGGAGGGGGGCACAGTCATACAATTTCAGTTGAATTCAGTTAAAAAAATTCTTGACAAGCCAATAAAGGGTCATCATACGTTTTTATTGAGGGGGCACAAGCATATAGTAGCTATGTTTTCTATAGTAATCTACATGTATATATCGGCAAAATTATTGGGGGGGGGGGAGGGGGGTTCAAGCCCCCCGTTCCTACAGCCATGCATGGGTTTTATTTCTCAGCCGTTACTGCTGGATTTAAATAGAACTGAAAACTGCATTTCCAATCAAGTCAATCCTATTGGTGGTGTCATCCTGATATAAAGGTCATCCTTAGCATATTTGCATTTACCACTGTGAAGGCCAAGGTCATTTAAAACAATTGAAATGAATGTGTGTAAAATTGATTTTATCACTCATAGTGCTAAATGCAATCGTTATAATAAGCGATGAGACATCATCAATCGTAAAACAAGAATTTCCTTTGCAATTAGTCTAAGTATATAGAAGAAACATCGAGTTTCAAAAGAAAGTGATCTTTCTGGGCGGATCTAGAGGAGGGTCCGGACCCCCTCCCCCCTTGAATTTGCAGAGTTATCATTAAATGTACACACTGAAGCAAATAAAAAATGACTTTGGAACCCTACCACCACCACCATGAACGGTGGAAACGTGTTTTTTCACGTCTGGGAGAGGACTTTACGTGTTTTTTTCCTCTGCTTGTCAAGAAAAATCTGGGTTGGAAAAATTGTTTTTTTTCTCTTTTATTAAAACATGGTACATAAATAATTCATTGTACAGAAAATCATAATACATACATTGCATAGAAATTCATAAATCAAAATCACAAATAATTGCCTACTTCTAGATACAGATTATCATTAATTACATGTGCTTTCCTTAGAATCACGTTTTGTAAACAAAGACAATTTTTTATCTTATTTCGAAAAACTTCTATATACATGTTTTCTTTTTGAAATCTACATTTCATTTTATATTTATAAATGGTAAAACAAATAAATGACAATAGATTATTCAATCTAGTTGTTTTTAAATTGATTTCATTATAAAAACCAAGTACCAGTATTTTCCATGTGATTTCAAAACCCCAAAACAAACTAATTTTTTTCCAAATATTTTCACAAAGTTTACACCTGTACAGGAGATGTTCAGTGTCTTCAACAACCATACAATATTCACAAAAAGGTTCTACATCTTTGTTCAATTTACTTACATTTAAGTTATTGTTCAATATGCAATTCAATAATTTATAATTAAATTCAGCAACATTTTTTTCATACATATACTTAATTTTAGCTAGATATACATTTTTCCAGACATATTTGTAACTAAGATCAAAAGTCTTTTGCCACATATTTTCATAAACTGATCGTTGAAACTTTATGTTTACCAAAATTGAATAATAAAAATCACATTTAAGGTTTGCTACAATTCTTACACTATTATCTTTAAATAAAAATGACACTTCGTTTTTAATATTAATAAATTTTGCATATGTACAATCAAAATTGTTTTTGTATTCTCTGAGTGCCTTCTTTATCATGATATATTCACAGAGTATATTGTTTTTCTTTTCCAGTATATTATAAAAGTGTTCAATACTAAGGAAGTTTCCATCATTATCAAAAAGATCTTTGATATATAGAATATCACTTTTTATCCAGTTTTCAAAACAAAGAGGTTTAGAATCATACTGAAACAGATTATTGTTCCAAATGAATTCCGATAAAAATTGGTCTCTCTTTAAAGCAGAAATTTGTGTAACTTTTTTACATTTATTGAAAGCAGAAAGGACTTCACCATAAAAAAGTGGTATTCTTAGCATCTTAAAAAAAGCAGTATTTTCAAAGTTACATACACTTGTTTTAACAATATCATTAACAGACAGGTTTTTAAGATTAAGAATATTATTCAACATTTTATATATTATACTTCTTTTATCTAGTATTCGTTTTATCCAAGAAGCCTTCGCTGCAGTAAATTTACTCTCTACATCAACAATACCTATTCCACCTTGGTCAACTTTACCAATTAGCGTATTTCTCTTTATCCTATCTTTTTTCTTCCATAAGAAATTAAATACAAGTTTTGATACATTTTTAAAGAATTCATTTTTTGGATTTGACAAAATAAAAGCATTATATACCAATTTAGATAATGCTAGTGTATTTATTATAGTGCATTTTCCGAAGATCGTTAAGTTTCGCCTTCTCCAAACACTCAGTATTCTTTCAAGTTTCTCTAATTTATTTGTCCAATTCATATCATAACAGATATCCTTATCATGACCGAGATATACACCTAATGATTTTACATGACTTTTAGCAATTCTAACACCACAAATATATTTTTCATTTAAATACATTTCAATAAATTTTCCTGTCAATAAACATTCTGTTTTGTCCATATTCAATTTCGGGCCTGCGACTTTGCTAAATTCACGTATTGTTTCTAAAGCTTTGTTCAGTGAATAAGTGTCTTTCAATAAATTAGTGCAATCATCGGCATGTTGTACGATTTTTAAATTTCCATTATCACCTGGCGATAAACCGATGATTTCTTCATTATTTTTAAGCTGAACTGCTAGTATTTCTAGCACGAAAATAAATAAAAGTGCTGACACAGGACAGCCTTGTCTAATCCCTCTTTGCATTTCACATGATTTTGACATCCAGCCATTATTTTTAACTTTAAAAGTTGGTTTAGAATATAATGTTTTTATCATTTTGATAAAATTTTCACCAAAATTAAATTTTTCTAGAGTTTTGTACATGAAGTTATATTCAACAGAATCGAAAGCTTTTTCAAAATCGAGAAAGAGCAAAATACCATCAATATCATTATTGTTACAATATTCAAATATGTCTAATATTATTCTCGCGTTCTCCCCAATGTATCTACCTTTGATATAAGCACTTTGTTCACTACTAATTATTCTACTAGCAACTTTTTGCAAACGATTAGCTAGAACATGAGCAAAAATTTTGTAATCAACGTTTGTGAGACTAATTGGTCTATAGTTCTTAAGATTTTCTTTCTCTCCTTTTTTATATATCAGGGATATCACAGCATTTCTTTGCAAAAAAGGCAAAATACCATCATCAATACTTTTAAGTAAAGAGGAAAAGAATATTTCCTTTATATCATGCCAAAAAACCTTATAGAATTCTGCTGTTCAGCCATCTTGACCAGGGGATTTGTTATTTTTCATTTTAAGAACAGCTTCTTCACATTCTAATTTTGTAGGCAACATGTCACATAACTCTTTCTCGGCCTTTGTAACCTTTTCGCAGTTAACATTTTTTAAATAGTTTTCTATTTCATTATCAGAAATCCTCTTACTAGTATATAATGAACTATAAAAAGTAAACAAACATTTCATAATATTATCATTGTCAGTGATAACAGACTCATTATCATCCTTGATTTTAGTTATTGCATTATTTATTTGCTGCTTTTTTTCAAGACCTAAAAAATAAGAGTTACTTTTCTCACCCTTTTCTATCCACAAAGCTCTAGATCGTACATAAGCTCCATTACACTTCTGAGCATAATAATTATCTCTTTCTTCTTCAAGTTGTCGTTTGTACCTCATATTTATTTCAGTATAATGTTTTAAATCTAGTAGTTTTAATTGAGTTTCTATAAATTTGATACGCTTTTTTTTATTATTAGCTTTATTTTTTGAAAAAGACATACAGAAGTCTTTAATGGATATTTTCATTCGTTCCCATCTTACTTTTGGATCATTTAACTGTTTTAATTCTTCTTTTTCGTCACTTATATGTTTTCTTAATTTTTCACAAAATTTTTCTTCAGTTAATAATGAGTTATTTAACTTCCAGTAACCACTACCTCGTAAATTTTCAGAAGTGCTGAGATCAAAACCTAAGCCCAAATGATCGCTCATACGTATCCCTTCAACACTAGGTGCTCTACGCACAGTAATATTACAAAGCGGGAAAAACATATTATCATTAATAAAAACATAATCTATTCTGCTTTTGGGAATGTCCTCTCCATCACACCACGTTAAACCATTTATGCTTGTTTTTCCGCTGGAAATCCAGCAGTCATTTAGATCAAAGTATTTCAAAAATTTTCTTAAATTCTTAACACTTTTATCATTTTGATTACAGTCTAATTGACAATTAAAGTCACCACAAACAACGAGCCCTTCTATATTCATAGCATATTGACTTACCCAAGATAATAATCTTTTAAAAAATGCAATTCTAGAGTGTTCAGCGTTAGGTGCATAAACATTCACAATTGTAGTAATTTTTTCATTATATTTCAAGTTAACCAATAATCTTCTTCCATCAAGAGACTGATGATAATTTAATATTTCAACGGAAAGGTTTTGCTTGAAAAATAGTGAAACGCCTCTACTATATACGGAGTCAGAAAAGCAATGAAGTTTGTTTCCAAACCATCGGGAATTGTATATAAATTCATGTTCTTTAACAAAATGTGTTTCTTGTAAAAGGACTATATCAAAATTGGAATCTTTCAACCACTCAAAAAGCGTTACTCTCTTTTTATAAGTATTTAGGCCTCTCACATTTAAGGAGAGGAATGATAAAGAGTTTTTATTCATTTGGTCGGGGAGATTGTTAATTCACATCATTTTGTAGCAGATTCTTTTTCATTTTTCTTTTTATTTTTTTTCAAATCTCGGATAAATGTATCAAGTTTCTTTTGACTGTCCTCGGTTTGAGAGCCTTTCCTAGGCAGGGAGGCGCTCCTGAGTTTTCTAGTATATTTGGCAGCAATTTTTTGGACGATGACTCCAAGTTTGTTTTCACCTGGCCATTTTGATGGTTCTGTTTGAGTTGTGCCGATGGTATCCAAGCCTGTACCCCAGTACACGTCAACAGTGGACTCGGCAAAAATCGTATAAGCATTAGAGGCTTCAAGTTTTTCTCGCATTAAAGTTACTTGTTCAGCTTTTGCAGACACGATTTCCTCCATTATTTCCAGTTTTTGCTCGCTCCAACCCTCCGGGTCCTTTATGGAATTTCCTATCTTTTTAGCATCCAGTGCTGTGGGAGCGTTTCTTACCTTCTCAGCTGCAACTAAATTACCAGCACGTAGCGCTTTCGTCAACTGATAAGCATGCTCGGCTGACTGGTGGTGCTCGCCAAAGACTTTAATGTCGCAAGGGAAAAAGTTTGAAATGGGATTTTCTTTTCCTTGGAATGCAACAACATTTTCAGTCTCTTTGTAATGTTGGCAGTCCGGAGATCCTGGTTCATGACCAGGTTCGCGACATACTCTGCAGGCCTTTTCACTGTTGCATTGCTGAGCTCTGTGCCCAAATTCCCAACAATTATAGCACTGAAGCTTTGGGGAGTTGGTAACTTGACCATAATGGAAGAGACGGCATTTTAGACCAGCACATGTAACGTTTCTCGGGAGAGATTTGTTAATCAGTGGTGCGATGTATAGAAATCTATTGCCATTGAGTACACTGGTCATTCGATGGGTAACGGGATTTCTGATGTTCTCGTATTTGAGATCGCTTTTGATAGTAACGTCAAAGTTATTCAGCATCTCAAAAACCGCACTGTCATCTACAGATAGGGGTAGACCATTGATAGTGACCTTGAGTACTTGGTCTTTGGGATTTTTTGCGCCTGTTGAATACGGGTTAGAGTCATAAACTTGAACGGAAATGTTTCTAACCTCAAACCCCTCAACTAGAAGTTTCGAACGGCTCTCCAAACACGTGAGATAAACTCGCCATAGATCTCTTTCCAATTGAATGCTATATATCTTGTCCCCAATTTTTTCACGAATAGCTTCATACAGTTCATAATCTATAATCCTTTCACTCTGTTCTGATTGTAGTTCCTTGTTCTTAATATAAAGAGGTTTAAACATTGGTTTTTCCTGTTCATTCATAGTGTAAATATAGCTACAGAGTACTACTCACCGATAGGCGTAATCCGACGAATATCCAAAAATAAACACAAAAAGTATTTCAAACACACCGCAAGTCTCATATATACATACGTAGATAAGGTGTGATTAAAAAGGTTCAAAAACACCAAATCCAAATTACAGTAGATAGATATAATCCACTATAATATTGTTAGAAGAACGGAGCAAGTTGTAAACACGTCCATTCACCTTGCCCGTCACGTGACCTCCTGGGTTGGAAAATTTTTGATTGGGGTGGAACCCCCCCCCCCCCCCCCGGAAAAAATCCTGAATCCGCCTATTCCGCGCCTGATCTTGACTATTTATGCTATCAATTTCTATTTATAGATAAAAGTAAAATTCTCAGGTGATGAAATAGTGTATCAGACTTGCAACAGACTCACAGATATATATAAACTCCAGCTATGATCACAAACTCCTAGTCTAGCCTTTAACTATAAATCTAACGAAAAGAAAACCGGATTATGATACAAAAATTACGATTGATTCAAAAGAATAAGTTTGGTAAGTAGATTGATTTTGTTTGTAGTTTTTGATCTGTACAAATGATCGATTGATTTAATGCCTAGATAACATTACATCAGCTTATTTAGTAATTAAATTGAACAGATCAAGAACAGAATGTTTTGGTTAAACCGATACAATTTCTAAAAGTGTCTAGTTTTAACTCAAAAATGTTTGAAACGTCATAGAAAATAATCTTCAGATTCCTACATAAGAATCCACCTTCTCTTTAGAATTCAGTATTGTCTAATAAAGTTGTGTGGTCCTAGAAACACTAGTAAAATCAGTCTTGGCAGTTGTTTTTTTTTTTCACTTTCATGTAGATTTTGTCGCCGGAAACGGGAAGAACAAAGTATTAAGTAAGTCTCCATCGCAAACAGCTCCAGACTGAAATAAGTTGAAGGAGTTACACTTTAATTCTAATATACCAATGTCATCTAATACAATGACAGAAGAAAACCAAACAAGTGTCCCTCCACAGCCGTCCAATTCTGGTGGCAGTGACAAAGACAAAAGAGGAATGGAAGGTGGGAAAGGTGATTGTATTGACATACCGATACATTTTTCTTTGGATTTATCCTATTTTTTCTTAATAGTAAATCATGCATGTAGTTTAATTTCATTGAAGATCCGGTTTATTAATTAACAAATAAGAAAACAAACTGATGTACATGTATAATAAGTTTATTTTTTCTCGATTAATTGACAGCTTATATTTTGCACTACAACTTTTAAAGGTTTACAACCCCAGAGGAACAATAACGTTCTTGCCGATGATTTGAATTTTTTGGGACATAAAAAGAAAAAGCGGAGTAACAAGCAACTCATTCAAGGTGTGTAAAGTTTCGTTGGGCTAACTCCTAGTCTAGTCTTTAACTATAAATTAATCTGACGATCATTTTGAAAAAAAAGAGAAAATGCTAAGCTACGTTTTATCATTTTGAAGATGACTTTTTCAAAGAAGAAGTACCGGAAAACATTGATGTAATGAAGGAAGAGAGAAAACTTGGAGAGGGAGATTATAATTATGAAGAGGTAATCACTCACAAAATATATTATACTCACTGTCTAAAAACTATAAATCTAATGATTATAGATTCCTAATAGGTATCGAGTTTTTACTTTTCATACATCAATGTGATACGCAATTCTGTTTACTGGTTTTAAATTCTGATGAACAAAACTGTCATGACATTAAACATGTTTGTACTATTATGAAGAAATATTAAGAAAAAAATAACATTCAAAACTAGTCAAAAGTATGGAACGCCATAGCTGTCTTAAGGTATGGTACATCATATTACATGGTGTGTTCTATATAATATAGGGTTGATTCAATATATTAAATGGTCACCGCTCCTTGTTAAAGGGTGAAGAGCACATAATACATGGTGCGTTCAATATAATAAATGGTCGGTTCATTATGTTAAATGGTCACCACTACTTATTATAGGGTAAAACGTACATAATAAATGGTGTGTTCAATATAATAAAGGGTCGGTTTATTGTGTTAAATGGTTACAGCTACTCGTTATAGGGTGAAACGTACATAATACATGGTGCATTCAATATAATAAAGGGTCGGTTCATTATGTTAAATGGTCACCACTACTTATTATAGGGTGAAACGTACATAATACATGGTGCGTTCAATATGATAAAGGGTCGGTTCATTGTGTTAAATGGTCACCACTACTTATTATGGGTGAAACGTACATAATAAATGGTGCGTTCAATGTAATAAGGGGTCGGTTCATTATGTTAAATGGTCACCACTACTTATTATAGGGTAAAACGTACAGAATACATGGTGCGTTCAATATAATAAAGGGTCGGTTCATTGTGTTAAATGGTCACCACTACTTATTATAGGGTGAAACGTACATAATAAATGGTGTGTTCAATATAATAAAGGGTCGGTTTATTGTGTTAAATGGTCACCATTACTTATTATAGGGTGAAACGTACATAATAAATGGTGTCTTCAATATAATAAAGGGTCGGTTTACTATGTTAAATGGTCACCGCTACTTGTTATAGGGTGGAACATACAACATAAATGGTAAGTATTGCATTACAAAAGATACGTCAAGTACATTACTTGGTGTGCAGCTAATTTTACATCGTTTCAAAAAAAAAATATGATGACTTAAATGGTGTCTTTGGAAGGTTTAAAATGCCACACTCTTCTTTTGATATCCTTATTTTAATTTTGTGTGTCTGTATATGTGTGTGTGTGGGGGGGGGGGGGTACCCAAACTTAAAGAATAAGGGGGGATACTTAAACTTGAAAAATCTAGTTTAGTAAGGGGGTTAGGTACGGTCTAGGTCAGATTATTTATTTTCTCCCAAGTGGGAGACAGGTTATTTATTTTCAACATTTTCATGGACAGATTATTTATTTCCAAAATCTTCCAGGCCTCCCCTACCTCAGAATCAGTCATGTAGATCTGAACAATAAAATAAAATATCAATTAAGTATCGATGTAGGCCTGTGGTTCGAGGGGGAAGGGTACACCGATTTGATTTAATATGAAAATTTTCATTCAGAGGCTGCTTGCCCCCCCCCCCCCATATTTTTGTAGCAGCATGGTTGAAATGTGTCCCACTGTAATGCATTGATTTAAAAAAATGTCGAAAAGTTATAGAAAGATACTCCCCCCCCCCCCTCAATAGGTTTTCGACTTTGAGCCTATAATTTTTTTTAATGCTTGTCAATTTTCTTATCCCCCCTTTAAAAATGTTGCTATGGGCCTATGTGGCAAATTAAAAGCGTTGTATACTGTATAGACACGACCCCTCCTCCAATTTCCACACATAATGCAAATGACAAAAAGGGGGAGGATAATTTTTATACGAAAGGTTGGAGAGGTGTGGTCTTTCTATAAACAATTTTTTTAACATAGAAAAATGATATTTTTACAGAGGAGGAAATATATTGTAATAAGTGACTGTGATGTTCCTTAGAAGACTACACATTACGTACGGCAAAAAAAAGATGACACTAAACTCTCCCTCCCCTTCCATCAGCCGTTCTTTTTTTTCAATTGTACTTGATAACGATATACATTTAAAGATACGTGACATTTGTGTACTATAGGCAAGTACTAAAAAAGAGTACTGATTCACATCACATTTCTTATAGAATTAAACGAAAACACGGAAGAATATTATGGAAATTAAAGTAAGGGGACGTCCATTTGATTTTGTGTTGTTAGGGCTGGGAGATTCTAGATATAAATTATACTAGTATTCCCCCACTGTGAAGAAAATAAATAAATGGACCTTGTTGGTTGGTATCACCCTGAAAATATAGAGTTTGGGTACCTCCCCGCAATGAAATATTTTTTGACTTGTCAATCTTAATGAACATGAAGAGGAAAATTAAATCTGACCCAGATAACCTTTGAAATAAATTATCCGTCCTATACCGACATAAAAATAAATAATCTGACACTGAAAAATTGGCCAACATCCCCCTTCAGAATGAAATGGCCAACTCTTAAAATGTTCCGGGAAATATAGTTTTACGGTACGTTTCATTGGTAGTTCGCACAAGACCTCAATGTATATTCAACATTTGCATAAGACCTCTTTCTTCCTAACTTGATTAGAAAATTTCACCCGGATTACTCATTCTAACTTTCTTATTTTAACATTTTTACTATAACTTACTCTTACTTTCTAACTCCGCCTTTACACATATTTTTACTGAAATAAAGGAAGGTGTATAAAATAAAATTTTAAAAGTTTCTTAAAGAATCAAGTGTCTTTGGAATATAATCTTTCAATTTCAGCCTCATAAAGTAAAAAAGAAGCTTACGGTTTTTCCGGTGACCAAGTAAATATTCAAATTTAGAGAGTCTGTATAAAAGGTCAAAATGAAATGAAAAAATTGAATTAGAAAAACAAGATGTTAGAACTAAGATAATAAATAAATGAAATATTAAAATAAAATTGGAAAATCAATAAATTAAAGTAAGAATACTAAAAGAGAACTGTGCCACGGAAATCCCTCCATAAACACCAGTTAATTGAATCATCATAGCTAACTTTTAATGTGTGTTTTTTGAAACCATGTGAAATTAGCTGTACACTGATTATATGTACTTAACGCATTTTTTTTAAAAGTGTTAATTTCTATTTATTACATGTATGTGCTTTTCACCCTATAACAAGTAACGGTGACCTTTTAATACAGTAAACCGACCCTTTATTATATTGAACACATCATGTATGTACCTTTCACTCTATAACAAGGAGTGGTAACCATTTAACATACTAAACAGACCCTTTATTATATAGAACACACTATTTCTTATACTCCCTTAACCGTATGACAAGGGGTGGTGATCATTTAACATAATGAACCGACCCTTTATTAAATTAAACGCACCATGTATTATGTACGTTTCACCCTAAACCAGGTAGCGGTGACCATTTAACATACTAAACCGACCCTTTATTATATTGAACGCACCATTTATTATGTACGTTTCACACTTTAGCAAGTAGCGGTGACCATTTAACATAATGAACCGACCCTTTATTATATTGAACGCACCATTTATTATGTACGTCTCACTCTTTAACAAGTAGCGGTGACCATTTAACATAATGAACCGACCCAATATTATTTTGAACGCACCATTTATTATGTACGTTTCACACTTTAACAAGTAGCGGTGACCATTTAACATAATGAACCGACCCTTTATTATATTGAACGCACCATGTATTAGGTACGTTTCACCCTATAACAAGTGGCAGTGACCATTTAACATGGTTAAATGATCCTTTATTAAATTGAACGCACCATTTATACACCCTTCACCCTATAACAAGGAGTGATGACCATTTAACATACTAAACTGACCCTTTATTATATTGAACACACCATGTATGATGTATTTTTCACCGAATAACAAGTAGTGGTGACCATTTAACATAATGAACCGACCATTTATTATATTGAACGCACCATGTATTATGTGCTCTTCACCCTTTAACAAGGAGTGGTGACCGTTTAATATATTGAATCAACCCTTTATTATACAGAACACACCATGTAATATGATGTACCATACCTTAAGACAGCTATGGCGTTCCATACAAAAGATAAATTCTACATTTCACTCTTATCACATTAAAATCTGGTACACATGTAGATATCAAAATACAGTTGTTCTGTCTATAAACCTTCAATTTTCAGGAACGTAGTATCGTTTTTGAAGGAGGTGGAGGGCAGCCAGAAAAAAAATAACTTACTCGAAAAAAACTTTGATAAAGAAAGGGAGGGGGAGAAAAAAAATTGTCCAATCTCGAAAATCCTATTTCGTGGAGGGGAGTATATAGGATCAAACTTCCTTTCACATCCAAATTTTATCAATGCATTACCAAATTACCATGATTTAAGTAGGTTACAATAAAAAAAAAGGGGGACCAGCCTTTCAATGAACATTTTCAATAGTTAAAGGTTATGATACTACGTAATTGATTTTAATATAGCCCTTTGTTGTATTTATATAATCAACATAACCATTATTTCTATTTTAAAAGCTTTTAGATATTCTCTATAACTCCCTGAAAAAGGAACACCCTAATCTTTGGGAACAACAGAATTCTAAGATCCGGATTCCTGCTGTGTACGCAGTCAGAGAAGGGAGGAAAACCGTCTTGCTCAATTTCACAGATATCTGTAAAGCGTAAGCGTTGTTAAATCGACGTCACATATATCTGTATTTAGCTTTAGTGTTGTTAAATCAAATTCTAATCGACGTCCCAGATATCTGTAAAACTTCAAAGTGTTGACAAATCAAGATCAACAGATATTCTGTAAAGTGGATAAATCAAGTTTTCACAAGTTTTAACCTTGCAGATCGCATACCGACTTCGAAGTAATGCCGGAGATCAACTTGTCAGACACGCTTTCTGATGATGTAACGCGAATCGAATTAAGTTGACAGATACTGTCATTTGGTTTATATGCCAATGCGAATGCTCGTGAATGATGAATAGTGAAATTCATGAAATGTTTTACACAACCATTCCCCACGATAAATTAAAGTCCAGGCTTTTTGATATCATTGACAGCTGCTTTTTCAATAAAAATGGAACTCGTAAATATACTTACCTTGTCATTGGTCATTTGCAAAATTATTTTGTTAAAAAACATTCTGATTGTACACACAAGTACTCTGAAGTTGACATTTAAAAAGATGCTTGAGTTTCTGATTGACAATATCTATGTGGTTTTCGGAGACCAGGTCTTCCAACAATCTATTGGAATACCTATGGGTACCAATTGCGCCCCGTTATTAGCAGACCTTTTTTTGTATTCATATGAAGCAGAATTTGTCCAAAATCTTGTACGTGAAAAGAAGAAAACATTTGCTGTGGCGTTCAACTCGACATTTAGATATATCGACGACGTACTGTCAATTAACAATGGCTATTTTCATTCTTATGTCGATACGATATATCCTGGTGAACTTGAGATAAAAGATACCACAGAGTCTGACACATCTGTTTCATATTTGGGTATTTTACTTGAAAAAGACGTTAATGGTAATCTTACAACCAAGCTTTATGATAAACGTGATGACTTTAACTTTTCAATCGTCAACTTCCCTTACTTATGCAGCAATATACCTTCATCACCTGCATACGGGGTATATATCTCTCAGTTGATTCGATACGCAAGAGCATGCTCTACGTACGTACAATTTCTAAAACGAGGTAAATTATTGACAAATAAGTTGATGAAACAAGAATATCAGCTGTCTCGTTTAAAGTCATCATTTCGTAAGTTCTATGGTCGATACAATGACCTTGTCAGCAAATTCAATTTATCATTGAGTCAAATGCTGACTGACGTTTTTCATACTGATTGTTAGGCCATTATTTACACACTGAATTGTCGACGGATTTTTCCGTTATTTCCCGATCATGACAAGGAGCACACGGCGGGTGTGACCGGTCGGCAGGGGATGCTCACTCCTCCATGGCACCTGATCCCACCTCTGATGTTTGGAGGTCCGTGTTTGCTCTGCTCCTATTTTGTATTGTATAATGGACTTTTGAGCTTGAATACTGTTCGTTATCTCCATATATTTCACTTTAGTAACCCATTACTCGCCTGCCTTTCCGATCGGGTACTCGGTCTATATTCAAAGTAACATGCACAAGGGCCACAACGCTCACCTGAGTTGTTCTTCTACATATTCCGAGGTAAATCTTTGTTTACATTATTGTGGCCCCATCCTATCCCCGGGGGATTGACTGAATTAACTTTAGTGTTGAGGTCCTGAAATTGACGCTCAACCAAAAAAATATTATCTTAATGAAAGATAAGTTTAAATTTTGATTTTTTTTTTTTTTGAATAATGACTGAGTAATGGAGTACTCGATCGAAAAGGCAGGCTTATAAAAAAGTTATAATTTATCTATTTGACAACCCTACTTGAAAATGTTGGGATAACATTTGCAGACTTTTTAACAAAGAAGAACATTGTAATTGAACATTTATACTCTTACACTTTTAGAGTTCACAGACCTCCTAAACATGTAATGGAATTCTTATTCAGCGAATGTGCGACAAAGTTAGTGTTTACTTCATTCATATGCAATAATATTCCGAGTAATATTCATTTTAAAGATGCTTGATGTCCGATTATATTTGAATTCTCGAAATATGAAGTCTAATCAGATGAGTACTTAAGCAATAAAATGATTCTTTATCTCCTTAATTGTTAGTGGGTCAGTTGACATCAGAAACAGAGTTTGTCTGAAAGGAAACTTCAAACCTGCTGGGCTCCAAACAGTCATTACAAATTATGTCAGTAAGTAGTACTCTACACATTAAATAAGTCTCCTTTATAATGTATGTACTGGCATTTATCTATCACATAGATATTTTTATCTTACAAGATTTGATAGTCATTTTCTTGATTCTTGCTCTACATTGCTTTATGTATATATTGGTTGAACTTATTTATTATGTTCATATACATTATTGCTATTAGTAAAGTGCCTTTATTATTTACCCGTAATGAATTCTTTTAACACTTTTTCTATAAGAATTGGGTAATGTTCTAAATATATACAATTTAATTAAGATTTTTTCCTTTTCGCGGGGGGGGAGGGGGGTGTCTCTATAAAATACGATCATGCAAGTATAGAAAATATAGTAAAACCCCGTAAACAAGTTTATGCTTATTAAAATGAATCAGTCTTTCAACGCCATATTTTTAACATCCTATTTGAGTTGAATACATTTTTTTTTTTGTTTCTAGAAGAATACGTCGTATGTGCCTCCTGTAAATCATTCAATTCGCTTCTTATTCGGGAAACACGCCTTCATTTTGTTCAGTGTGAGGGGTGCGGATCCAGACGGGTGGTGAATGCTGTCAAATCAGGCTTCCGAGCAGTTACCTCTCGAGACAGAGCCCGATAGATATACCGCAAATATACATGAAATTTAACACTTTGGATTAAAAAAAAAAGCAAATCCGGTCATTTTACAAGAAAGACGTTTCCCAGATATTGAGCAACCTGTTAATAATATACATCTTAACGAAAACATATGAGAAATATTTTGAGACCTAATTAAAGGACATACTCGATAGAAACTATCTAATAAAAATATTTTTAACTTTCATCAGACCACTTCCAGAATACCGTAAAACTGTTCTCAGAAAAATGTAGACCTTTTAGAAAAATCAAGAAGACGAGGAAGAATTATTACTTGTTTGACAGTCAACCTTTCTTGATCCATTTTGAACAATGGATTGGGTTGAGAGCCATTGTACTATAGGGAAGAAAAATCATACACTTATCAAATTAACAATGTTTTATGGTATTGCACTTTGTTTTCTTTGCAATGTATATGTGAATTGTTAGTATTGCTGGTGTTCCTTTCAGTACGTTATTGACAATAATCTTTGTCCCCCAATCCCTCATTACGTAGAACAATGTCTTGTTACAATAGTTTTACGAGGGCCATTCATAAGTAATGCAAAGTGATCATCAAAAAAAAAAAAAAAAAAAAAAAAAAAAAGCACAAAAAGCAATTTCTGCATGATATCGAGTCCTTCAAAGTATTCCCTGTTTAAAACCATTCCACATGTTTTGCGTCTCTTTAACTATAACCGGATCACCTCAGCATAAGTTCTTTTTTCGGGTAACCCAAAAGACAGTTTTGATAGCACTTCCCACGAAAGATCTAAAATAGTAGTCGTCTTCCTTTGATGGTTTTCGATCTTGAGTTTTTGAAATGAAAAAAATGTCAAAATGACTGTGACTGCGATCTAGGTAATACGGGGGATGGCTAAGCTCTGTGAACGTCCCTTTCTTCAAAATTTCCTACACATTTCCTATTAGGAGCTTCGTTGTTTCTCAGCAGAAAATCACCCTGGGTACCGGTATTTGAACTTCCCTTACAGAAAATCTGCTTGTCTTTCCTCAATACAATTTTAACATAAAAGCTACCATTGATGGCCCTTCGTTTTTGTATAGGAACAGGTATTACTTAACCTCTCAAGTAAAGAGAAAAACCCGTATAAAACCTATTTGGAACTATGACTTCTCTCTGCAACAATGAGACGACAGCTTCCTCTCTGATTCCACATTCTACGCATTCTATTATTGAGATTCCATTTGGGCTATAAACAGTGCAGCCATGTTTAGTCACCCATCACGCAGGTTTAACATACTTTTTTTGGTTAGAATGTTTATATTTTAATAGACCCATGGCACATTTAACGTGTATTTTCTTGTAAGCATCAGTAAGGAAATAATGCACACATTTGACAGAAATATTTTCTTCGTCAGAACTCAATCAACTGTTGTAATGATGAAATGTTTAGTGTCTTAGCAATGTCTCTCACTGTAAATCTGGCATTTTCAGGTATTGTTTGCTCACAGAATCGATATTTTTTGGTGTTTGACTGCGACCTATTCAGTTCCCCTTTAGACTTTTAAATTTTCTAATCCACATGAACACCATACTGCGTGAAATTGAAAGACTATTTTTCCAGATACCAAAACCTATCTTCATTTCGGTTCTTCAGCAGTTTTTGTAATGAACCCCAGTTTTCATATAAGCCCTAATTTTCATCTTCTTTATAGAGACCATTTTTGAACAATTTAAAGCTCAGTGAAGTGAACATCCTACTGTTAAAGTGAATTTCTTTGCGAAGACAGTAGGAAACAAGATGTGTTTGTGAAACACTGATGTCCCCGTATTGCAGCTCATGGCGAAATTTAAAGTTTCTCAAATGCAAGTCATACTCTAATGTCCAGGTCAAAGGGTCAAAATTAGGGATGTCAAAATACGTATTTTCCTTAGTCGATTATTCGATTGCATTATTCGAACGATAGTCGAATATTCGGAACATTTTCTTATAATAAAATTTTATTTCAAACTTCACTGGTACATGACGTATTTATAACCCCAAAACCCTTTTACTTAAATCTGTTTAAATTAACATTAATGCAACTTACAACGCGTGGATAGCATGATTAAATGAAATGAATTTAGACACCTATTTCCCCAAAATGTATGTTTTCCCTGTCAATTGAATTCATAAATTGGTCTGTACATGCAGTCAATTTTTATTTTAGCAAGATTAAAAATTTGCCAGCCGATATTTTAAAAAAAACTTCTTATGAAATAAATTGGGGGGGGGGGTTAATCTCACACTATCCACGAGTAAGATGCCTATGAAACTGTTAAACAGTTAGATACTGCTTATTCAATTATTGATTGCTGCTATCAAAAAGTCCTTAAAACAGTTTAAATTGTAAGCGAATTGTTGTAATAATTATCAAAGTGTCAAAACATGTCACAGCTATGGTTTGTTCCTTGCATTTAAGCAGTCTTAAAATAACAAAAGATAATTGGTACATGGTATAAGATCAAGTCCAATTAATATTTTTACAAACAAAGCCCAGTATATTGGTGGGTAATTTATTACTAAAACAACACAGGCCGTTACTGACCAAAAAATTTTCGAAGCTGTGTAGAACTTGTAATTACTGTACTTTTTTTTATACGTACATGGAAAATCAACCGTTTTTGTTGAGGAAAATAACCTTATCAACTGTCCCTGAGGAAGGTGGTTTCTCAATTTCTGATGAGAATTCCATCTCGTTGTCACTCATTTATTGCATTTATTTAATTATAATAATATTCGAATGTCGTTTCATTATTCGATCGTCGGTCCATTCGACTGATAGTCGAATAGTCGTCTATTCGTCGACATCCCTAGTCAAAATTGTTGGTACGCAAAGAAAGGGCTTGTCACAAGAGATACACCTATGACATATGAAAGCCCTAGCACCAACCATTCAGAAGTTATGGCCAAGATTGAAATTTTCCAAAAGTAGATCAAACTCCAAGGTCAAGATCAAAGGGTCAAAACTGTTGGTACCCGAGGGAAGGACTAGTCACAAGAATACACATGAAATATGGAAGCCCTAGCACCAACTGTTCAAAATTTATGGCCAAGGTTAAAGTTTTTTAAAAGTAGATCAAACTCTAAGGTCAAGGTCAAAATTGTTTTTACCTAAGGGAAAGTCTTGTAAGAAGGAATACACATGTGAAATATGAAAGCCCGAGTGCCAGCTGTTCAAAAGTTAAGGGCAAAGTTAAAGTTTTTCAAAAATAGGTTAAACTCTAAGGTTAAGGTAAAATTGTTGGTACAGAAAAGAAGATCTTGTCACAAGGAAAACACCTGTGAAATATGAAAGCCATAGCGCTAACTATTCAAAATAATGCTGAAGTTTAATGTTTTTTCAAAGTAGGTGAAACTCCAAGGTCAAGATCAAAGGGTCAAAACTATTGGTACCCAGGGGAAGGACTTGACAAAAGCAATACAACCGTGTAATATGAAGTCCCTATCACCAACTGTTCAAAAGTCATGAACAAGATTTTAAGTTTTTCAAAAGTAAATCAAATGTCAAGGTCAAAATTGTTGTTATCCAAGGGAAGGTCTTGTCTCAAGAAATATACTTTTATAAAAAAAAAAAAAGAAATCCCTAGTCCCAACCATTAAAAACGTGTGGCCAAGGTTAATGTTTTTTAAAAGTGGGTCAAGTCAAAAGGTAAAAAATATTTGTACCCAAGGAATTGATCTTTTCACAAGGAATATAAATGTGAAGTATGAAAGCTCTAGCACCAACCGTTCAATAGTTATGGCCAAGGTTAAAGTTTGGTAAAGTTTTGCAAAAGTTGGTCAAACTCAAAAGTCTGGGTAAAAAAAGGCCTTTGGTACCCAAAGAAAGGTCACAAGGAATACACATGTGATATATGAAAGCCATAGCTCCAAGCAATCAAAAGTTATGGGCAAGGTCTTAGTGGACGCTGAAACAGACAGACGGATGGATAGTAAAAACTATATGCCCCCGAATCTTCGATTACGGAGGCATAAAAACATGCGGTTTTCGAAGATTATTAGTTCTTTAGTAGAACTTTTCTAGTGTGAAAAAATAAAATTAACTTCTTCAACATTTATTATGATAAACGGTATTTTGCATTACTCATTGAACGACCCTCGTATTCCTTCAAATATAAAGTTGATCAGATATGAAAAATCAAAAATAAAAACGAGCGGACCTCCTCATGGTTTTGTTAATTTAAAAAGAACAATTGTACTCCACTGTCATTTAGCCAGCAAGTGTAACATTTTTTTATTTTATTACATCACAAACTAACAAATTATGTTTTTTTCCTTAGAGCTGTTAATTATACATGTGTATTATTTAAAGATATCGTTTGTTCTCATCAACTGGATAAATGCGCGCATCAGTTTTATAAATGGGAGCAATAATTGATTTGATGCGCGTGCCAGTTCAAGGTGATAGAAAAATAACTGATTTGATCTGTTCATTAGGATTTCATGTGTTTGTACCTTTGACCTGAAGTTTTGTGCTTTGTAATATTTTATATTGTCCTAATCCGTGTACCGTGTGTTTAAAATGGTATTGCAAGTATATAAAATGAACTTGAAATTGATGCGCATACACTTTGATTCAATTAATATTATTGCTCTCATCAGTTCAATTTATGCACGCATCAAATCGATTGTGTGATTCACAGGTGCTTGAGGACAGATCCCCCCCCCCCCCAATATAGACCCCTGGGCTATTTTCTCTCATGAATTGTCTTTTAAGGACATAATTGTGATCTAATCCACACTATAAATTCGAAAAATTAGAAACATTTTATAAAATTAATACCCACTGTATATATACCAAGTAAATAAACATATATTGTAATTTTTTAAATAAAATGTTTGTTAAGGTAATTTGCTATTTCTTTCGAATTTATAGTGTGGATTTAATTCGCAAATATGTCTACATGTATATCGGGGAAGGGGAGTCCTGTTCTCTTGCACCTGTGGTGTGATTGAGTTTGCACATTTTACAGTTAAAACTTAATTCAAGTTGCATTATTGTGTCATTAACAAAATCATATTTCATATATATACCATGCAGTTACTATGGACGCTTTTAACGACCGCAGATAAATGTGAACAAAAATAAAGAAAGAGAATAAACTGTTCCAAAAATTATGGACGCAGACTTTTTCTAATAAATTTTGTATATCAGTAACATCAGTATTTTTTCCAATGTACTCCATTCTCTTATAAGAAAATTGGACTTTGGACACCCACAGATGCTATGTATACACGTGGACAATGCATCGCCGTCGTATTGTTCTCATCAAAGGTATTTATACGCCTGCGTGTTGGATAATTTACTTCATTACTCAGGAGTAAGATGGGTAATTAGCATTCCCAGGTAGTCTAGTGGTTAGGATTCCGCGCTCTCACCGCGGCGGCCGGGGTTCGATTCCCCGTCTGGGAAGACCGTCTTTTGATTCTTTTTAGCTTCTGTGATTAATTCATTACAAAATGCATCACTTGTAAGCCTAGCATCGACAACAATACAGGTAATTTGATTTTTCAGATTGCAATAAAACAAAAAGGACTCTCTGCTGTATTTCTGTAATTAAAAAAAAAACTTTTTAACAAAAGCTGTGGTTTTGAGTATTTGAGGACTGCTCACTCACTTTGAGCATATTTAGCTTCAAGACATCTAATCTATCACTTCTATATTGAAATATTATCTTTTTCTTTGATTCTTAAAAGACCAGACAATTCAAATTAATTGTAACTAAATGTACAAAGGTAACAAAAACAAATTGTTGAAGGCATGGTTAATATTTCTATTTATGCTTTTCATATCTCTACTGAACATGAAAACATAAAGTTCTTTACACAAAATTAAAAGGAAAATTACATATAACTCTTCACCCAAAACCAAACTTGTGTATGTTGTAGTTTTTTTTTTTAAATGAGCTGAAAAACATATACATAAAGCACTCAAAATCATAAAGCAGAAAAACCATGCCTTCATCATTAATTTGCAACATAACAAGGAAAACAATTACTCTGTGAGAAAAAAATATTTTATTGCAAAATTTGAGATTTTATTTGTAATGCAATCTCATTCACTTGTATAATCTAAAAGTTCATTGCAGCAAACACATTAAAAGGCATTGGGTTTCATGAGCTGTTCCAACAAAAATTTATCATACTAATTTAGTTTTGTGGAAATTGCCATTTTCTGGAGTACAGAACCATTATATAACTTGATTTACAACTAGGGGAGTGACAATGGAGATTTTATTTTTATATAACTGAAATAAATTAATTCCAACATCTATTCAGTAGAATTTTATGTAAGTATTTAATTTTGAAGTAAAATGCCATGCATCAATTTTACAAAAAGTAGTGGAATGTGCATAAAAGTCATATAAATTTGTCAAAAATGTCCATCAATGGTACAAATCTAAAACAGTATAATGACAATAGAAAAAATATACATTCAATGTCAGCAACAAAAATGCTTTAAATATAATTAAAACATTAACTCCATGATTTTTATTTAATAAATATGTCTACTGTAACTTTATAACATCTTGATTATTTCTAAAAAGTCAGATAATTTCTTGTAAGCTTTTGGTTAGAGATTTTTAGTGCATAGTTATATATATATTAGGTAGAGACTCATAAAAAAAATATATGCATATCACACAACTCTAAAGACATAGCTCTCCACTGAGCCAGTAAAAATGGGACAAGGGCCTTCGTTTACACTTTGTCATCTGTGTCTAGTCCTTTGTCTTTATAGAGCTGCCCCATGACATCAAGTAAGGGTGACATTGTTTCTAAATACACCTCCATATCATTTACTACCTACAGAAAAAAAGAAGCTTCAATGTTCTACATTTGTAGTAGAAGTACATGTAATCCACTTTGGGTTCAGTTGAAACATTCCTATCATATAACTTCTAATGAAAAAATTTAGAAGTTGGAAAATGTAAAAACATAAAACCGAGACATACTTTAAAACTCATATCATGGGTTGTATATGTAACAAATTTTCAAACAGTATTTAAATTTAATCAGCAATATTACTTAAAAGTTTCAAACAAAATTGTAATTTTTTTTTTACAATTTCTAGATTCAATGATGTCAAAAATGTACATATTCTAGGAACATAAATGAAACCTAAACAGCCTGCTCATCTCGTCACAATTTTCTCTGTTTAATGGAAATTTAGACACCTACTTGTTCCTCCATTCCTTCTTTTCCTAATGCCATCTTCAATAAGAAATCCTTCCTGTATGGTGCAAAACTAGAAACTCCCTTCACGATAACAAAAAATTAGACTTCAGTTACCATAGATGATTTTATAAATCAGTTAAAGAGCATTTAAATTGCTCTGCACATACGCATATTTTTTGTTTTTGTTTAACTCACTTTATGCTTAGTTTTAATTAAAAAGAAAACAATTACACACTTTTATAAGTTCTTCTTCTTTTTTTTTAATATAATTTTTCTTAAAGCTTAAGGTACAAATTATTGTGGGGAGCAGTAATGTAAAATTTCTTACAGAGAACACTTTTTTGACGATAAATCCATGGTATTTTTTCAGAGTGGCTTCATAAGCAGCAGTGATGATTTGTTTCATACTCTCCTCTTTGCTCCCTCCTTTGTATTCCTTTATTAATAACTGCATGAATGTCCGCAAAAAATTTAAACCTCTAAAAACACAAGTACCGGTATAATATAAGGTAAGTCAAAGCATCATATTTCTTTTTATAGAATTTAGTACAGAATAAACAAGAACTTGCCTCACTAGCCAAAGTCCTCCCACTTTAGCTAAATCTGTATTTTTGTTTTCCATTTCATCATCTAACATGGCATTTATGGTGATAAACTTCTCCTTGTCCATCTCATACTTTTTCTGCAGTTTCTGTTCAAATAAATTGTTAAGTATAATTAATCAAGTTTATTTCTTTTTTTTCAGGTTTTCCAATAAATGCAACAGAAATGAGATAATTTAACTTTTACCTCAATGTTTCCATTGATATCACTCTTAACAGGTGTAAATGCTTTCCCAAAAGCAGCTGTAAATGAATAATAAATGTTAAAACTAAACAGACATACATAATTACCATATAATTGAATTTAAAATGTATATATTTAAAATGTTTGACCCATAAATCACAATTAAAATTCATTAATCTTATATAACCGCAATTTGTTACGTATACAGCTTAGAGATGTATTTGTTTAATTTTAGTGTCAAAAGTACAAATCAATAATAAAGTATCTAATATACCAGCTAGTAATTTAATTTATATACCAATATCAATTCACGGAGAACAAATAAATATATATATACATGTATATATGATATATACAAGATATAAAAAATGTAGCATTGAAAAATGATAAAAACAAAAGGCTATAATGCTCAAGTAGTCACCAAATCTATAAATTTTTAACCAGTTACTAATTATTTCCCCTTAGAAGGGACATGGCCCAATATTTGAACACAGTGTGGGGCTTTTTGCCAAGACTAGTTGAAACTGATTCTGGAGAGGGAAATGTGAAATGATAATTAAAAGATATGTCCAGTATTGGAAGTTAATGTTTTGATACAATACACCTTCAAAGATATGTGCCAATATTTTGATTCAGCCCTATAAGAGACCCAATACTGCTTATGCACAATCCTCTCAGAATTTTGTGGAAGTCACCCTTAGTCTTAGAATATATCAATGTCTTTTAAACTGTCAACTGATATTGTTTTAAGAACATACAACTTCATTTATATTTTATAAATGTTAATTTTAAATCAGGCCCATAGCAACGGTTTCGAGGGGGGGGGCAATTTTCAAAAAAAATCTGACAAGCAAAAAAAAAACAAAAAAAAAAACTAATTTTAAACTGTCCAAATCCTGGAATTTCCAAGTGCCCGACCTTACAGCAACAAAAAGGGTGTGGGGGAGGGGGAGGGGGGGGGGGCAACCAGCATCTAAAGGAAAATTTACTATAGCAAAATATTATACTTAGAAAAAGTGCCCCCCCCCCTTCCATTCTACGTACGGGCCTGTAAATGCTATTATCATGAATGTCATTATTTCTCTCTTTCTCTCTCTCTTCCACTGAAATTTCAAAAGATGACTATTGTTATAAGATTGAAGAAAAAGTTAGAAAATTAACAGAAAAGGTGTTCTTTTCTCTTTCTTAATTTAAGAGAACTTAATAAAAATTGAAACATAATTTACTGCGTAGCATATGTATGCAATATATTAGTCTTATCTTATCATATGCGGCATGAATTAAAGGATGTCACATAAAATTGCGTGATCAGGCCACCATACCGTGCACACTGCACTTGTACTGTGCAGCGGACCGGTAAAAGTACATGTAAACTGAAATAATCATATCAAAATACTTACAGACCATTTCCACCACCCCGCGTGCTGCTTCTAGAAGTGGCAAGGTATTTATTTTGCCATCATCACCGGGAACTTCAAAATGCTTTACATTGTCTTTACTGAAAAAAGTCATGATTTGCGAAATTTGCTTGGATATCGGTTTGTGTACATGCGGAAAAGATCACAGGGCAACTAAAATGGAAACCAATAGCCATGGAAATGGTAGACTATTTGATTTCCGTATTAGGTTTTCCAGTAAATGAATTATTTATATGGTAAAAAAAATTACCATTTTGCAAACAAAATTTAAATCTTTTCATTTCTTAATAAGAGGCAAGAGATGGAAATAAAATGAATTTCATTCACGCATTACATTAAATTGTACTTTGAAATGACATGTCATTTTTTTGTTTTTTTATTTTTTATTTATTTATTATCATTATTATTATTGGTTGGAGTTTTCAATCACAATACAGAACACAGGCAAAAAGTGGATAATAAACATCTCTTCTTTCCCCCCTCCCCCCCCGGGCCACTAATTACCAAAACAAGCCATGCGGCAATTAGTTTAAAGGCCTTTAAAGTTTAGAATTTTGTCATATACTGTATAGTAAAACTACACAACTTTGTTATTGAAGGAGGAATTAATTAGGTCATCCTTAAGAAATTGCTGTTTGGAATTGCCGCCTGGGAGATTTCGGCCGTTACAGACCCAGGAGGGAGGGAGAAAGGAATTTACGGGAAAATTAGATTGGTCGCTCGAACAACTTTTTCTTCAATAAAAAAACGACACTAGAATAATTTAAATAAACATTTATTAACATGGGCATGATAACTATATTAGTTTTTGTCATTTACAACTCGGGCCGAAACGACTAGGCACCCGAAGCCGACACTGCAGTAATACGAAAAAAAGTTCAGGCCGAGCGAACTTCGGTCCGAACCGGCTGAGAAAAGGCATCGGAGGAGGAAGCTGCAAATCTGTAGCTCGCTTGTCTGGGGAAAAAACTGGTATGGACGACCAGTCTGTCTTTTTTCCGGAGAGCTACAGATCTGTAGCTACGAGGGGGAAAAGGGGGGAAGTAGAGGTTAACGCTTCAGTAATCTCAGCTGAGATTTGCGCTTCAGGTGCCGGTGATATAGGAATAAGGGATGGCAATTTGTAACCGGTTAATCGATTAATCGGTCGGAACGATGGTAATCAGTTAGAAAATCCGTAATCGGTTAATCGGAAAAAAATAAAATATATTCAAATTTGAACGCAATTTTCTTAAAATTCATTTTTAGAAAGGAAACTTCAACACATAAGAGTTGATCATTTACGGTTTTTACACACCTAATAATTAAAGGACTTATCGCATGTTTCTAAATTATTTGAAATCAAAAGCGTAAAACGTTCCTTATAACCACAGTTTATAAATTTTGTGTTTTTGCTGCAGATAAACCGCGGTAATTAACCAATTATTGACTCAAATGAAAACCCCTGAATTAAAAATCTAAGTTAATTAGATAGCGATCACGTGACGTCAAAGGCGACAATGGCTGATCAGCTCTATAGTTAATCTTACTAAAATATACGCGATACAACATGAATATTCTGCATTGTGGACGACCATTTCACTGATTTTATCGATATGAAATTGAATATCCAACCTTATATTTTAAAATTGTCATCAAGAAAAAATCTGTTAACATTGTAAAAAATAGCAGCGACGATATCGAAGGAGACGCGGCGAAGACGAAGAAACTCGCCATCACAATACAATTTGATTTGTCATCTTATCACATGTATTAACTTCATTGATTTCCAAATTTAATATTATATAACTGTTATTCTTCGTTTTTAGCATAACATTAATTTACTTATGTTTTGTAAAGGATGGCAGTCTTGAAAAAAAATTTTCCGATCACGAAACATTGCCGTAATCGGAGCTGAACAGATTCTGAATGTTTCGAATAAAAAACGAAAATATCTCAAAAGCCTTATACCTTAGAACTAGTTAATGTTTCTATAGTAATTAAAAAGCATGCTAGGAATTAATTTTTTCAGCATTTTTCGTAATTAAGCTGCATTTGTCGTCGATAACTCCGTAAATAGTTTACATATTCTCATCTCTCTATCACTGAATTGTCGCCTATGACGTCAGAGCAGTTTTTCGCCGAAATCCGACTGAAATATGCATATTGCCGTATTTGAATTTCAACTTTCAATATCTCTTAAAATATGCTTTCAATAACGTTTATTGTATTCAGTATTTTAACAAACAAGGTTGTAGATAATATTTTTCATAAAATCACGATTTTTGAAAGATCATGCGATAAGTCAGGAGGTAATTATGGCTTTCTGGATTGAGATCGCGGCTAATTGGTCAGTTTGTGGTGAGTTAATCACTGATTTTAAAAACATCAAATCGTTCAACCAGACTATCCTGTAATCCTTTAATGATATTCAATAAAACAACGTAGAGCTAATTAGTTTGCCTTTTTTTGCCGTTATCTTTTAAATTATAGTATTAGAAAAAGATTGGACAGTGAAAGTTCAGGCAGAGTTGTGATTATGGTGTCAATGCAGATTGAACTTGTGTGTGCACTGGAAAATTATCTGCGTCTGTTTTCTCAGGCAAAATTCATGTTTTTCTTATAATTTTTCTTGTCTATTGAAATTGAAATAAAAGATAGGTACATATTAAGTTTCCTGATCGAGATAATAAACAGAATATTCCTAACTTCTAGCGTCTTTATATCAGTCTTCTTGTGTATATGAAAGAGCTACTTGAAAAAATAGAATGTCAAAAAATGTGTATAATATTACGATTAATCGGTCGGAACGTCTTGCGGTTAACCGATTAGCAATTCTGTAATCGATTGCCATCCCTAATAGGAATTAATAGAATATTAAGTCAAATAGTATTAAAGGAAGCTTAAACGAATTAAGTTCCGAAACGTGTTATCGCGGGTCTTATTTGTCAGGATGGGTCACACTCTTGCTGATGTATTGGCCTTAAAATTTAACAGACCAAGAAAGTTTATCTGCAAATATCCAAGGTACGAAACCAAACGAGTGTTGGCCCCTTTATTAGTAGGTGAATTGTAGCTATAATCCTACTGATTTCAGTCCTATGAATTTTGCAATGTACGTACAGAAGGATTCAAATTCCTCGAGAAATTTTTGAGCATTTCACTGGTGTATCCATGTAATTTGATCAGTTATATTTTAGCCGACATCGCTACAGGTGAATTAAACGATTATGTTTCCATTGGCATTTAATCTAGAACAATTTGATTCGGTGAACAAAATCCAGAATATCCACATCCATTATCCATGTTGAAATAATTATAATAATCCAAAGAAAAATAATTTTAATTCTCCCCCATAATTATTGTAAATGATAAAACGGTTTTAAAGTTCAGAATTTATTATTATAAGTCCAAAAGTTTATTAATTTCACAAATACATAATTTAGAAACAAACTGAATTTTACTAGGAAATTTCGTAGATTGGCTGACATACAAATTTACACACATATAATCTTTGAATCTCCTCCCATGCACTTTTGTACTGACCATCCAATTAACTTGCATAAGAAAGTTGCATTCATGAACGGGGAAAATCCGTACATCATGACTGTCAAGACTGAAATTAGGTAGAGCTAACCATAGCAAATTCAAAGAACACTACCCTATGATCTAACCATAAAATTGGTAAATGGCATTGATATCGTAAGAAAGGAAAGAGATGTCAAGGATTAGAATTGCTAACATGTGCAATTCCTCTTGCGGATTCAGGATTTATTTCCAAGGGGAAGAGGGGGGATCCACCCAAGTCAAAAAATTTCCAACCCAGAAAAAAACCAATCCTAAGTCCATTCCCAAACGTGAAAAAAACTTCTTCGTGGGTGGCGGTGGGTCTACGTTTCCTGTAGGCGGTCTAAAGCCATTTTTTATTTGCTTCAGTATATATTTTTAATAATTCTGCAAATTCCAGGGGGTGGGTCCGGACCACCACCCCACCCTCCTCTAGATCTGCGCATGCCCTGCATTACGATATTGTCAGATTATTAAATAAAAGTTTGTACAGATTTGAAAATTTGTCCGTGGAAGTTGCTCTACTAAAGGATGCATGAATGTAGTAAAAAGAACTCTCTGTGACTGGCGAGAAATCGTGGTTTGCATTTATACAGAAACTGAGGAAAATACTGATTATCTGAGTTGAAGCAATTTGTTATGGGAAGCATAAATTTAAGTCAGTCTGTTACAAAACCTTATTAGATTATTATGTAAAAAAAAAATTGGTATACAAGTCAACAAAACTATACTGATGGCAAATTAGCCACTGTGACTTATCTGAAACTCGAACAAAATTGGGGTTATGAGAATTATTTATCTGTAGTTAAAAGTTTTGATCACAGAAAATCTCTATGTAATTGTATAGATTAAGAATTTCCAGTCAAAGGTTGCAAATTGAAGTGGGTAGATATACCATTGATTATCCCCAGAGAAGATCGCCATTGTAACAGATGTAATTCTAACAGCATAGATGATGAAACTCAGTTTTTGATAACATTTGAAAAATATGATCAGTCACCAAAGAAAAGAAATATTTCAGTTAATTAAAAAAAAAATTCCATCAGCTTTAGATAATAACTAGCCCGCAAAACTTTTTTGGATACTCAATACTGAAGGCAAGGAAATTCTTAATAATTTGTGGGCAAATTTATAAATGATAGCAAGTAGTTGTCAAATACTTTTATATAATTACAATAATCTAACTATGTCTCGGGACAAGCCCTCACCACAGTTAGAATACGTCCCATATACTTGCAATGTAGCAAATCGGAGTGGATCCACTCCGAAATGATTTTGAAGAATACAAAAGGAGTTGCACTGAAAATAACTACCAAATTAATCATAACAAACCTTTTTGAGATTGTATATGCATTTTAACCTTAAAAAAATAATCCATTTAAATACGAAAATTCAACTCATTTTGTCAAAGTTTTTTCGTGGCTTCAAATTTTACGCCATGTTGACATTGCAACATTGCCAATACACAATATCATTTTAACGATAGAACGTTCTATGATCTAACTTTTATACTGCATAGATTGTATTCCATTTAATTAACCTGAAAGAATATGTCATAGGATCATTATTAAAGGAGCAATGGTATGTACTATAATTGTTTTACTATTCATTTGCATATCTTTTCCTTACTATAATGTAATCATTTCATATTTGTCTAATCTGGGCTCTAAATTAGAAATAAATGTTCTGTTCTGTGCAAATATGCTTTTTTTTAACATTAAATAAAACGATGTAACTTCAATTACAGGTATGTCAACAGGACCGAAAATAAATAGAACAAACATATTGAAATATATTGCTAATTAATAATTTATCATTTATAAACCCTCAATATACATAATGATAACACCCTTGGATCCACCACATTAATATGCGAACTCTTCAATTTTGAAAACGACGAATGGTGTGTAGCCTAGATTGCTCTTGATTGCTCTTGACAGGAGAGCCGAAACCAGAGGGACTAACAGAAAGGCGGATTTCATTTTTCAGTAAGTCGTCTGTTGTGTGTTGTAAAATAACATGAAAGTTAGAACAACTAGCCAGGATATTTAAATTATATTTCTGTCCTAGCAGGGATATGGCAACATGTAATCATATATTGTTACAACTTGTTATAAACTGAGAAACATGTTTGTAATACTATCCTGGTATTATACGTATTACAGGTCTAAATTACACACAAGCTACTAAAATTGAGGTCATGGCAAAGAGCAGTGACTTCCTATAGTAAACATGACTGGACTTTCGACCATTTACTTCCTTTGAAGTGTGCTCTAATTGTTTACGGTATGAGGATTAATGAAAAAAGTTTGTCTAAATTCGCCAGCAGTGGAGCACCTGCTGACAAGGAGGGGTACCTGCTCAAGAAGGGTGAGCTCAACAAAGGCTACCAAAAAAGATACTTCATTCTGAAGGGAAATTTACTGTTCTATTATGAGAAGCGATATGAAAAAGAACCCGTGGGCGTCATCATTTTGGAGGGTTGCACAATTGAACTGTCCGAAAATATTGATGGATTTGCATTTCAGATTGTTTTCCCAAAGACAGGTTGTAGGACATATCACATGGCAGCTGATTCTCAGGAAGAAATGGAGGCCTGGATGAAAGTGTTGTCTTGTGCTAGCTATGACTACATGAAACTGATGGTGTCAGAGCTGAAGCAGCAGCTGGAAGAACTCAAGGAGAACAGTCAACAGCAACTATTGGAGAATGCTATGAGAGACAGTCACTTAGTTTCATCTAGTTATTCACCTGTGGAAGACAAGGATGAACCTACTTCATTAGACACAAGTCAAAGACGTGTCAGGTTTAATCCTTTTAATGATCCAAGCACTCAAAGAAAAAGTGAAAGTAAACATTTATATGACTCGATTGATGAAGAACATAGCCAAGTCGTGAAGGGGCCATCTAAAAAGTTTTTACAACTCCATGAGGAATATGGACAGCAAGTAAAGACACTCAGTGAATTGTGGAGGGGGAGCTTTGCCGAGAGACCAGCATCTGCCTTTGAACTTACAAGGACTTACTCTTCATGCTAACGTCATGCTAGCTATAAATCTCAGGACAGTGTCACATTGTCCTCTTTATAATCAGCATATACATGTATATTACTACTGGGTACCAGCAGATTATAAAAGACTTGAATGTTGATTTAGAGATTTCTCATTTTCTAATACATTAATATCAGGGATAGGTACAACCGGAACACCTTGGGCCTTTCAGAGAAAAACACTAGTGTTTTTCATAGGTCAGAGTTGTTCTGGATGGGATAGTTACACAAATGTATGACCAAGTCTAAAAAAAATTCATAGTTCTAAATATTTCCCAACTTAATAATTTTGTGATCCATAACTTATATTAAATGATATAGCTAAATTCTTCTTTTTCACATCAAAAAACAACTTAATCAATCTAAAGTATTAAATAAATTGCAAAAGATGAATTTGGGTTTAGTCTTCTTTTGTAAAACATAGTCCAAACCTCTTTATTCTCACTTAGGCATGGGCAAGCACACCCCTTTGAATGTTATTGCCAATTTAATTCAAGACACATGGTTTCTCTGACCTATTTAAAGGTTGTGCATTAGAACTAGTTTCGACAAAAAGTTAGGCAGTAAACAGAACATTCCTATATGCTTGTTTTAAATACATATGTACCTTGAAAAAGTGCTTTGTCAACTACATTGGCATTTAACAAACCCATATATGTTTGAAAAGAAAGTTTAATACACGTCAAGAAAAAAAGTTTAAATAAGTATTCTGAGAGAAATTGGGTTACATTTCTACAGATAATGTATAGTCACTGTGATGAAAAGAAATGTTACATAACTTTTTTGATTATTATCTCTCCATGTGGCAACCATTTCCTTACAAAACTTTCATGAATAATTTACCTAATCCATTGACAGTCTTACTGTAGTATCATTGTAGTTTCACTGTAGTCTCATTTAATTTCTGAAGAGTTACTGAAATCTTAATTTGCTGAGCACAAAGAAATGTTCAGAAAGGTTCAAAACACAGGGGTGGAGTAGACTCTGAAATTTACTTACTCAAACATTAGGCCTAGATAGATAAATTGTGTGTTTCCGGACCCTAAAATATATGAGCCGACCTTGAAAAATTTATCCGCCGATATCTTTCTGGAAGTAGACAATTCCATTTTCACCATTAGAAATCCTAATCTCAATCACTTCCGTGTTTGAGAAAATGCATATCCTATTCACATTAAACAGAAATGCCATTAGTAAGCCATCCTTTGGGGAAAAAGAAATGAAGTCTTTGTTTTTCTCATTTTGTTTATCGTCAAAGTTGAATTTTAACTAATAAAATGTTAAAACAAAACAAAATGTTTTCCCTACCTACCTACCCTATTTTTTCTCAGGTTGGAATAGGAAACACAATATTTATTTACCTTTGCCTTATGTGGATTGCCCAATCAAATTGGAATTTAATTTAAAAATGTATTATATTTATGTGTACTATTTCATGTAACAATAGACAAGTTAGACTTTCTCAAGGAAACCTTTGTATGTTTCATTCACAATACTTTGTTCCTGTCAAACTGTATACTAGGAAATTTTTGTACCCATTTTATTTTCACCCCTTTTGCCCTCATCCCAAATGGGTAGATTTAAAATGGGTGAATGCAAAGAATACAGAGTTATCTCTTTAACACAATTCTATCTGGGCGAATTAGTGTGATAGGGCAAAAATAACATGGGGCAAAAATAACCATGTATACAATATCTGTAATAACCCTGTAACCAATATCTGTAGTAACGAATCTACTGGTTGCTACTACAGTAATAAAATTCTTATGTAAGTAATTGCTGATAGTACTTTAATCATAAATACTTGACTTTTTTGAATTATTAAAAATTTCATGCATGTTCATTTATTTGAGGAATAACTGTCTAGTTTTTTGGTTTTATGATGTGATCAATCAATTTGCTCGCGTGATAATTTGCATAAATGCTGAAGGCGTTTATGCGTAAAATTATCACGTGCGCAAATTGATTGATCATCATCATAAAACCAAAAAACCAAACAGTTATTCCTTAGATATACATTTTTACCTGATCCTTGACTCAATAAAAATAAAAATTCAATAACAAGAAATCTCAGCATTTCCGTCAGGTGTATCACTAAGCAACACGCAGCGAAAAAGCATGCAGTTCTGTCACGTGCTGAGCAAATCGCTTTATGGGGTTTTAAAGCCATTGCCTTATTTGTAGTTTTATCTCAGAGAAAGACATTTGAAAATGTAAATATTTCCTAATCAATCACAATATAACATTGAAATGTTGTAACATTGAAATGTTGTAGAGTGTATTGGTGGCAGTAGGACAACGCATTTATGTTGATGAAGAAAATGATGCAGATGTGATTAGATATATAGAATATAGATCACATTGCAAATGTGGTGTAATTACTACCAAGTGTAAATAAATGTTTTCTGTGTATTGAAATAATAGGGGAACAAGTTAAAATGCAGTAAAATGGGATCATGATAAGCAAATAAAGAAGTGTAAATGTCTCCAATATTTACCATAAATTGAGGTTATTTTATTAAACTTTTGCTTGTAATAATGTGAGGAAAAAAGTTTCAGATGACGATTGTGAAATTAAATTGCTTGATCCTGTGGAATTTCCACTGTCTAGCTCACTGGGGTAAATATGTCTGTTGAGTTTTCACTTGCCATGAAGCTGCATTCACCTGCCCAGCCATAGAACAATGCTTACTGCCTATTCATAAAAAATTATCTTACATGCCTGTCAGTTCTTACAAGTTCTGTTTGAATTTTCCAGGACTTTTAGATTTTCCCCCCAGAAATAACTCTTTCTTTAAATCTCATAATAGGGTAATGAATTTTTTTGTAATTAATATTTCATCTGGTGGAGGAATAATTATTATATACAACTATTGCTGAGATTTAAGAGTTGTCAAATCAAAAAAGTATAGATCATTATAGAATTTTAATAGAATAGAATTTATCTCATGGTGCATGTCATACATATATAACAATTCTGATTATGAATTATGATAATAAATACACATAAAACAGATTAGTACAGAGTACATGTAACTAATTAGCTCATTGTTCAGTTAGTATTACATAATGATATGTTGACTAGATACAATGTAACATGTTCATATTGTACATGCTTTATACAATTTCATCTGAGAAGAAGGGTGAAGGCGCCTTTCTGGTCAACATTTATTTGTCTATTACATGTATATAGGTCTGAACCAAAATGTCTTCATGTTTCTTCTTCATGTTTTTGACCCCTGAAAGACCAGAGATCTCTACACTGAGTTAATATGTACGTTTCTGCTAAAACCAAGGGATGATTTGTGCCTTTTATTTTCACAAAAAATTCCTAGTTGAAAGGGAGTAAAATTTGATGAAACAAAATACTTGAAGCAGGAGAGAGAAATAAGAAATGTATGGACCAATTTCCTCATGTCTACTTCTGGACCAGAATTGATAATACTAATGTATTACCTACAAAGCTTTTGTTATTTTTTTAAGGAGCCTCTCTACACTGCATACTTTTCTTCATGAAGGTCAGAGTGCTGTAGATTGTCTAGGTGATCCCTGTATGAGATCAAAGTGGTCTCAGTGACACAGAAAAGGGAAAATGAATGCTATAATTCTTGGAACAAAATGTTAGGGAAAAAACCCAAACTTATAATTCTTTTCAAAAAATAATTCTGAAAACTTACCATTGCACATAGTCTTAAAGTGTTGATTCAAGTCTGCAAGATTTCGGAATCGAAATAATACAGTTATCGATCGGAAAATCATTTTAGTAACACAGCCCCAAATTTTATTTTGTAGCTACGAATTTAAAATACAAATGGTCAGATTATTTCCTTCTTGATGTTTCATGCTAAATACAAGACCATAAACACATGTGCCTCGAACAACAGTGGAGAACTTAGAATGAACAAAAATTTTCTACGGATGTTTAACAAAATAACGTTTTCTTTGATATTATTGATTAATATTTCCTTTTTCCTCGAAAAAAAAAAGTGAGAAGCAAAATACGAAGGAGAATATCAAACTCTATAACTTTATTTCTTGGTGGTGGTGGTTGTTACATGTATGTGTGTTTGTGTGTGTGTGTGGGGGGGGGGGGGGTAGTAGGATCAGACATCGACAGATAATTTATTTTCTTACCAATGGAGGACAGATTATTTATTTACAAAATCTGCCTCCTTCAGAATCAAATTGTCGCCCCTTAGTGCATGCAAGCAATGTTGCTTTGCGATTTCTCCATTGTTTTCACCAGTTTCTCGTAAATCCCCAAATCGTCGTCCACATACATGTACCGTAGTAAAATTGTTTAAATTCGAATTCGGTCATGTATTAACTTTCTTAATTTTCGACAAGTTAACCTCTAATACAGACAATTGTCTTATTTTATCAAATACAAGTCTGCACAGATTTTCTTTCAATACACCATTTGATTTGCTACCATAACTCACAAAGGTAAAAATAACTTGTTCCCCTACAAATTTTCTTTAAAATCTTGTAAGAAAATATGTAAGCTATTGGATATTGTACGAAAGACATTACATAAAGAGCAAATTCATTAATATTTCCTTCTTGTTATTTTTAAGTACTTCTTAACTAAATGAAATAAACATACTCTACACGTATAAAATTACCGTAACCTTGCTTGTAATCTAAACTATTAAGAATCCTCACTGGTCAAGAGGAACTGATTCACTACTGCTGAAAGAAATGACAGTTATAAATTGCTGGTGCTTGTGGGGTGAAATGCAATGCGTGATTAATGCGTGCATGTTCCTTATACCTTTTTGATGATCACGTAAAACCAAGCATGTTACCCCCCCCCCCCCCTTCCCGGTTAATCTGCTGCGTGGCTGATCGAAGGATGCATGGAATCATGAAAACAAATCTGTCTTTAGTCCCAGCTGGGCAGTAAAAATAAAATTAAATCAGAGCTCACCACAAAAAGCTTAAGTTTGTCGCCAGGTTCCTGGAAAGCAGGAGGGTCTCGGAGGGCGTCCCCTCCCAGAAGCCAAAATTTAAAAGGGGTTATCATTTTGGGTGGTTCCTGTACATTCTGAGTCATTTTCACGCATTAAAATGATTGATTGTTGTGGTTTTACGTCATTTGCAAGATTATTTCGCTCATGTATGAGACGCATCGTCTCAAGCCACGGTCCGGAGTCCGCATGCATATCTAGGCTCTCTCATAAGTAGTAATGTTGCTTTTTTCAAAAAATAGAATACGTCAAGAAAGGCAATATGCATCTCTAGATGCACTTCAGTGTAAGAATGGTCCATGTATATAGGTTTTATATAAGGTGAGAATTGAAATGTGCCAATCAATTTCAGCATCTGAAGCAAAGTCAACAACCCTCGGTGACAGAATTCATGCAAGGCTGCACTGTGAGACTTGCATCCACTATTGATTTGACGTGCCCGAAACACCTGCATACAATTTCTATGCAAGTTCATTCATCAGAGGAACTGCAGGTACTTGGGATAGGATAAACATAATGTTTACTTAAGAAGTATAGGTGACATATAGAATCCGAAACATGTTGTATTCTAAGGATAGAATATTGGTCAAGATAGGATTTACAGTTATATTTAAGGTGTAATAACCCTCTGCTCTAAATTTCACCATTTTTTAAAAAAATAACATTGATTTTTATCAACAACAATAGCATAAGATTCAAATGGAAAAAAGTTTGATGTATGAAGCGTTGCCTACCTTTTCAGAAATGAATATTATGTCTAATCATGACATGAAGAAAATTTGAGACGGTGAATAGGAAGATAAATAATTTATTATCTCAACATAAAATTAAACATATGAGGTATATATGAAAATAATATTTACTATCATACCTATCTAATTCACATTAGAAAACATAATGAAGCGTTGTTTTTTAAATCAGAATATTAAATTGTTTTCTGTGCTTATACCAGGGACCTATATACTATAGTATAGTATATAGGTCCCTGGCTTGTACAAAAAAAAAAAAAAAAAAAAAAATGCATCTATCTACAAGAGTTATCTTTCCATCTACAAGAGTTATCTTTCTTCACAATATGTACCAAAATCACAATATTCCACATCTGGTACATGATAAATTATTCTAGCATTCTAAAAATTGTTTATTAAGAAAAAGAAATGTCTCACTTTTAACATTTTAGAATAACTGAGTGCAAATGTCTTAGGTCAAATACAACAATTGAAATATAATGACCTGATGAAAGTATATCAGGAGGGGCTGGGGACAGCCATTGAAAGGCTGGTCCCTCTCCACTTTTTGTTGTAGCATGATTAAATTTTAAAAAAAAATGTAATTTGGTAATGTATTTATAAAATTGGTTGTGAAAGGAAGTTTGGACAACTTTTTTTGGTTTTTAATTGCTTGTCAACTTTTTTTTCCAGGTAAGTTGTCGACCCCCCCCCCCCTTTTCAAAAACGATACTACGTACTATACCTGAAAAGAAAGTCAATAGCTCAATATTGTTATATTGTCAGTGGATTTTTTGGTTATTTTTCATTTTAATGTTAATTAGTGTTATATTTTCTGTAGCATGACAGAAAATTTGGTTAAAATAATTCTTTATTATTTGTATAAGACAAAAACCGTTTCTCTACAGTAAAATAGAGTAATAGAGGAAAACAGCAGATTAGAATTCTGTGAAAGTAACAGTCATTGCTTTATGAAAGTTTGTTCTGTGACCTTTTCTTCACATTCACTTTTTACACCAGAAAATTAATTTCAATTATTCACATGCATCCTTATTTTAAGATGAAGCCATATGCTGCAATAATATTTTTTTTTTACTATGGAAACTAAGGGGAGAGATTAAAGGCAGAGATCAATTAAACTGACTAAAATAAACAAAAAATGTAATTAAAATTTATATAATAATCAACTTAATGAACATGACAGGAAGAAGGTATTATAAATGTCCTCATGGTACATTTCATGCTGTGATAGTTGCCTTTCCCCCCAAATGAACATCTTTAGAGTATGGCATTGGACCTTTTGATTCCTGTACACCGCGGGACCTGTTACAACGGACATTGTATACTTCGCAGACTCGCACTGTCCAAATAAATGGTGTCCATAATATATAAACATTTGTTTCACTTTCTATCCAGTTTGGTAAACCAGTTTCTAACAGTCTTTTACAGGCAAATAGCAACATAGCTTTTTCAGAGTGAGGCGCCCCGCAGTCTTAAAAATAAGCAAAAATAAATATCCGGGAAAATTCTGGAAGAAAAAGGTGGTGGCAATAACAGTTTAATTTCATTTTAAACTGACAACAAAATACTTTTCTCAGAGAAAAAAGTGGGAGGGGCCTCTTGTCCCTCCCCGGAACTACGTGACTGTTTTTATTCTGCCGATAACTTAATTGTGATGTTATTTCTTGAAATGTCGCCCTTGCAGTCTGGTGGGCTCTTCACCTAAAACGTTTGTGCTTTGGAATGCAGCCTCTAGATTTGAAACATTCAATAATAAATAGTCAAATCTTCGTCACCACCGCATTTTCAAACATTTATTACAATTACATACAAGACAAAAGACTTAAAAATAGCAACATTCGTACAATTATGGATTTTTCCATTATGGATTTTTCTCTCTTTCTTTTATTAGCTTTTAAGCTACAGAGTGATCGCCTATTTATTCTTTTTTCAATTTATTTACCTTATATTTCTTCCAGTAGATTTTTATTAAAGTTTTTTTTAGAACTTGATCGTTTTTCATGGCCGTAGGAACCGGGGGGGGGGCGTGCCCCCCCCCCAATAATTTTGCCGATATATAGATTACTATAGTAAACATAGTTACTGTATTCTTGTGCCCCCTCAATAAAAACGTCTGATGACTTTTTTTTTTTTTGCTTGTCAGGAAATTTTTGGTAGTACCCCCTCAACTGTAAACTGAAAAATGTATGGCTGTGCCCCCCCCCCCCCCCAAACTGAAATTGCTTCCTACGGGCCTGTTTTTAATACTGCTCACCCAGTGCTTTCAGCGCCTATTTTCTTGCATAATAGTCTTGTTCCTGATAATCAAAATTGAAACTTCTGCAACGAGTGACTGATTGTGTTCCAGAGAATACATATAAACTTATTTTTCTTTGATAGTCCAGCGTGTTGGAAAGTATGTACTATTTCGAATGTGAAACAAATGAGAAATCAGTGTCTTGGTGCGATAAATCTAGATATGCATCGGGCTCGGAAATCTCATATTTCAGGAAGAACAGAGGGCGCTGTGCAATTTTTTTTAAAATCATGGCGCATATTTCGAAAAGGAGAAATGAAGAAGAACGGCTTGTGATAGTTTTAAGTGTTACTTTTTATTGATTTCAGTAATTGTGTAAAGTGTGTATTAAACTTTCAAGGTAAGAAAAATGCATGGAGTATATATCACCAACAGACGTAGATTGTAAAGGTTTTAAATGACAATGCAAATGGGTTAAAGTTTATTTGTGTATACATGTATTTCATGCATAGATCTATATAGATTTATTTGTTGCATTTTTTTCATGAAAATATTTTTCAAAAAAATCCAGATTGAGTATATTTAGTAAAAGCTTTTATTTTCAAAGAATGTCGGGCGGAAGACTGGAGACTATTGAGAAGCGGATTGACGTGTTGGACAACTTGGTGGCTGGATCTGTTTTGACTGATGACATTGTGACTTCACTGACCACAAGAGATGGACTTCTAGACGCCCTAATGGTGTTATATGAAGAATGCAGCCATGATTATCTCGTTAAAAAGAACAAACATGTGTCAGCATTCGTTAGAAAGTGTAGGAATGCTTTTTTCTTTCATTTGAAATTTATTCCTCTTTATTTTCATATAGTTATCTACCTTATGCCGTTAGTCCTTCCTAATTTCTCCCATATTTTTATTTGGTAACAGGTGGGTTAGCCCTGATTACTTGTTTGTTCAGAGTGGTTTTGCCTTAATAATAATCTGGTCCAGTCCAAAGAACTATTTCTTCCTACATAGCTATACCTAGATATTTAAAACCTACTTCGAGTAGCTACTTCTACCTACGTTTGTCTGTCTTTGAAAATAAAATTGAATAATAATTAAGGCACATCTATAAAACTGGTCAAACTTGTTGCTTATCATCTTTTGCACTTGCACAGCAAAATTCAGGGTATTAATATGAAAACTTTATGAGGGTCGAGAATGGAGAGGAAATGTATAATGGAAAATCATCCCAAAAACATTTCATCTTAGAATGCAAGAAGAAAAGTTTTAAAATTGATAAAGATTTGCAGAACATTTTAGACTTTGTTTTGATCCATAGCTACCAGAAAATGAAACTGGATGTAGATTTTAATGTGAAATTGATAAGTTAATAAGTAGCTACCTAGTAGTAGGTAGTAATAGTTTTTGGACTGGACTAGGGCTGTGTATTGAGCAAAAAATTTGATACAATACGATACAATATTTTATAATGTGATATCCGATATATTGCATTCTTTAACAAGTCTATCAAAAAAGTCTTATAAATCATTTAATGCATGAATTTTATAAAAACAAATTATTTTATAATCCATTTTGAAGGGCTTGTCTCACTGTCTCTACAAATTACACTTCAAATTCAAACTTTTAATGACTGTAAAAACAACATGTTAAAATAAAGTTGTCAATGTATAATATTATAATATTTATCTAAGATGTGCTGTCTCCTTAATGATTATGTCATTATTGATCAATTCTAATTCAAAACAATGAAAATATAATCTTTGGTGATTGAAATTCCCAATTTTTTCACAGAATTATGAGAAAATCTGCCAGTTCGATATGTATTGGAAGTCATTTTTTCGATACGATACATTCTTAAATATCAATACGTATCGATATATTGATACAGCCCTAGACTGGACCTGACAATTTAGTAACTGTAGGTGGCAATTTTTGCATGAGTGGATTTGGGCAGTTTGTTTGACAAATTGCTTATGTTCTTTGCAGGTGTTTTTGTGTTTTTGCTATGGGAAAATTTTTTATGTATCCAAAGCTATATATACACATGGTGATACATGACCTATTGATTAATAATGTTTTCTAATAAAGTAAATCTATGTTCAGAAAAAGATGGAGATTGAGGGAATAAAATTTATCCATGTCAACTTATTTATTGTACCAAAAAAATAATAATAATGGCATAGATGAAGTTTTTATTTTCATGATTTGACAAAAAAAAGATTATTGTATGTCATTTAAATTTATTTATCGACAACTTATTATTGAATTTGATTAATATGCTCATTTATCATGTTAATCTAAACATCCACTGATCAAACAACTTTTAATTACATAAACATCCAGTACTCCATTTGTTCAGGGAAAAACCACTTGGGTGAATCCAAACAAACAAGCAAACTTTAGCTAAATGGAAAAAACATTTACTCAAAAAATTGTTAACTCATTAGCAATTTTCAGAAATTATTCAAAAAATAAACAAAGTAAATTCAAGGTCAAGTCCAGTGTAAAAATTTCTGCAGTAAGGCTTTTTTCCCCCCTTAAGGCTGTATTTTGGGTTTGGAGGCTGGGTCCCAAAGATTTAAGAATTTTATGGTCAATTAGGCCAGATTGGGATTTCAAGAAAACCCCTGGTCATATGAGATGCAATTTTAAATAGACAAACTATTGTTTATAACAACTCAAGAATACCTACATGTAAGTAAATTAATAAGAAGGAATTCAAAAATGCTGATCAACAAAACGCTTGATTTTTATTGCCAAACATGAAATATTATAAAGAAACTGATCTTGATCATAAATAAGGCTACATAAATTTAATTCTCTGGTTCTCAGGCCAATTGTCTCCAAAACAGATGCGGGCGGGAGGCCTTTTTTTTTTTTATCATTTTATTGTTGATAAAAGAGATGAGGGGGGTATTTTTTTAATACCCCAATTTTCTATACAATTATGCTAAAAATCAGAGCTTCAGATAATTTTTTACCTCAAAGTGTATTTACTCCCTGATTTTGAAATCAATGCAGATTTTGCTTTTCAGCAAAATAATCAAAGAGTATTTTGTTAATCTCTTGCTCTTTTGACATTTAATGTTGGACAGTGATCAGAAATGGCGGCGGGAAAGTTCGAGTAACCGCCGTATTACGTTTTCAACAAGATTTTAAGCTTGTTATCGATATAAGTGTTTTTGAAAGAGGAATGTAAAAAAAGGTTAGTTTCTGCATTTATCAATTAGGTTAATGAAATTTTAAAAATTTTGTCAGCTTTAAGCTATAACTGAGAAACATTTTTTTTTTTCACGAGAAAGACCATATGATAGGCAATGTTACCACGGGCACGCTGAACTCCATTTAACAGGACTAGGCCTATATCGATCGTAGCAAGAGTTACCGAGACCTTTGGCTAGATAAAATTAATCTTTAGATTCTCATCCCCACCTGCCCCTCTCAAAATATCCAGCCCGTTGTTTTCCATGTTGCTTGCTATATAAATTGTTGGCATCGATAGAGGTAAAAGTTTTAGAGTTACTCCCCGTTTGCATTAAAAGTCGCGTGGTGCTATTCAAAGCACAGGAGCATGTGAAAAGCAAAAAAGCAATATTATTTTCATACAATTAATAAAAGTTGTCGGCGGACTTTAAATTATATTATTGCTACAGGAAATGTTAAATATACAAGAACTGTTTAATAAACAGTGATAAAGAATAAATTACACACCATGCGTGTTTAATTTTGCCCAATTTTGACAAAATCGACCTGTACGCGTCAAGAACGAAAATTTGGATGTTATATGACCAGTGGAAATCTGTGATATTTTCAAACAAAGTACGAGTATTTAATATTCAGATCTTTCTCTCAAACTGGAAATCGGCCTAGGTTATTCCGAATACGCTTAATCAAAATTTCCTTTTGATAAAAATTCAAAGACTGAGCTGACTCTAATTCACATAATTAGTTAACATCCAATCCGTTGTACGCAGTACTTTCGTAGTGTAATGCTAATTTATGATTGCTTATGCGTAATTGTATGCCCTGTTTTAATTTTTAATGCGTATTTTGAAAAATTCAATGCATATTTCTGCAAATACGCACCTTATCTGGAGCTCTGAAAAATTCTTTGTTCATGATATACTTCCCATGCTTTCCATGTCTATTCAATAGGTTTGCATTATCCATTGCTTATCAACATTGTAAGCATTATCTTCAAGTGTATTTTTTAAACGAAGTAGCCAAGTTTAGTTTTCTTTGAAAATAGCTACCAGAAGCGATATTCGAGTACTAAACTACAAGAAAATGAGGGCGGAACTTTTTTTCCAAATTGGTCTCTGCATTACCAAATTTTTCTTTGATCAAAAATACAATAAAATTTGTAATGTGGCTACCTCAAAACAGATGCCTAAACTCAGGAAGTTTTTCTTTGAGAAAACTTCCAATACATTTTGGAAAGATACAGGTTCATTTAATTGGGACTCCTGTCGAATTTCGACCCCAGTTCAAAATTCAGTGAGGTAGTCATTCAAACATCTTTTATTTTGAAAAACTAAAAGTGGAACTCATCGATAAATTTTGCTTGAACATAATGGAGCACACTCGCTAAAATGTATTTTATGATGGCATTTAGCAAGTATTTCCATTTAATTTTGAACCCTGAGGGCAAACAAGGTATAGAGGCGAAACCACTCGGTACAAACAGGCAATCGGGATGAAACCACTCAGATTCTTTTATTTTAAAAATAAAAGAATCTGAGTAATGTCAAGTTGATGAAAGGACTATTAATTCACCAACTTTTTAAAAGAAATTTCACATATATTTTTTTATTTTAGAAAATTGTTTTAAAATTTTTTATTATCAAAATGAATTATAATATACAGTTGCCATAAATCTGACATCCAATACTAAATAGCAATTTTTTTAATCAAAATAGACATAACAATTACAAAAATAATTTTGATTTTCTAACACTAGATGCTTCTACTGTTGCGGAGTTGAAGAAGTTAAGGATTAGTATGGATGATTTTGAAGTGAAAGATGTGATTGGCAGAGGACATTTTGGGGAAGTACAAGTTGTGAGAGAGAAAGCAACAGGGACAGTTTATGCTTTAAAGACTTTACACAAGCATGAAACACTAGCACAGCATGAGGTAGGCTCTTGTTCCTCAATGAGTTAAGCCTATTATATTTAGGGCTAGGACAATATATCAAGATATTGATATTATCGATTCTGAATAAGGATGATACGCATATAGATACGTATGAAGAAATATCGAAATATCGCAAAAAAATTCTAACTTATGTTTTTCTTTGTTTATTTCACATTTCGGGTTTAACTAGGGGTGCAACGATACACCAACCTCACGATATGATACGTATCACGGTATTCAGTTCACGATACGATATGTATCACGATACATGACAAGGTTAAAAAGTCTTTCAAGTTTGTCATCATATTTTTTAAAACTTGAAAGGGTTATACAAAATGTTCATATTTTTTAATAATAATTAAAATAACATTTTTTTTTAATTTGAATTGGATTGTTAGGTAGATCTTTGAGTTGTGACAACATTCTAAACTAATGATGAACATTTACAGGGAACTAGGGGGACTTTTCCTAATAATCATCCTTTTAAATTGGAATGAAAAAGGAAGACATTCATTCTTTTATTCCTTTTATTTACGTAGAAAACCAGTTGTCATATTTCTTGTGTTAATACGTTTTAATGCGAATTTTCATCGAAATACATACGGGATGGAATATCGTGTATTACCAAAGAATAAGTTTATAGATCTAAAGGGTTCACATTTGTCTTAACATCTATAACTTATAATCACATTAAGTCCTTCTCCGTGTTAAATCTGAGGTCTGTAAGATGCTGGAGATGAGTTTAACTGCCATAAATGCGTTATCGTCGACCTCACGTTTAGCACGGAAGCCAGAAGAAGGAAATAAAACGGACAAAACGGATAATTCTGGACCAATTGAACCGAACCGCGATATCAGTTTAGCGTATCGTGAATTGAACCGTGGAAAAATATACCGCGATATACCGTCAAACGGTTTATCGTTGCACCCTTAGGTTTAACATATAGAATAAATATGAATATAAATATGAAATACATAATAATTAACACCACTTGTGTAAAATAATTTTGTTTTACAACAGATATACTTCTTTGATTAAATTTTTTTTTTTATTATTATTTTATTTTTATGGTTATATTTTTTTTTATGCAAATTTAAAACCAACTTGCAGATGCCAGTTTATTTATTTGTTAATTTATATAATTTATATATATATATATTTGATTGATATTCATTGATTTGTCGGATATAAAGAGTCATAAGTACTATATTAAACATGTCAAGTATGGTTTTATGTAATTTGTTTTACAGATATCTTTCTTTGAGGAGGAGCGAGATATCATGGCTCAGTCCAACAGTCCCTGGATCACTAAACTTCACTATGCCTTCCAGGACTCCCTCAATCTGTACTTGGTGATGGAGTTTCATGCTGGCGGAGATCTTTTGTCCCTTCTTTCAAGGTTTTAATCCCACCAAAATCTTTTGCTCTTTCTTGTATACATGTATACCATACATAAACATGCATGTACATGTAAATGTACTGCTTCTAAAACATGAAAGTATTAATTTTTTGTTAGACATCTGCATTGTATAAAAACATAGTAAAATTGTATGCGAGAAGAGTTAAAAGACAGAAAAGTAGCCAAAGAATCTTATTATTTCTCAATTGTATTTTTAGATATGATGACATCTTTGAGGAATCTATGGCAAAATTTTACATAGCAGAGATGACCTTGGCAATCCATGCTTTACACTGTATGGGATATGTGCACAGGTAATGTAGATAGCCATATTAACTTCCTTTCATTCTTTTGACACATTAATTGATTGCATTTTTGAGGTTTTATTGGTATGTTTATTTTTTAACATTTGCAGAATATAATGTACGTGTAAAAACATTATTTTCCAGGGTTCGACACTAACTTTTTAAGGCTTTAGTCTGGCCGGACTAGTGCTTCTTTACTTTTACTAGTCCGTACACGATTTTATGAGTCCGTCAAAAAAAAAAAAAAAAAAAAAAAGAAACATCAATGTTTTTTAACATTAATTTAACTTGACAATTAATATACGTTTTATACTTTTTTGAAATAAACGAAGTATTTACGTGAAATATATTATTCCACAGATTCATTGATATCTCGATATCAGCAAGTACGATCATATTCCCAATCTCCTTTTTTAGCTCACCTGAGCCGAAGGCTCAAGTGAGCTTTTCTGATCACATTTTGTCTGTAGTCCGTCTGTCCGTCTGTCTGTCCGTCTGTAAACTTTTCACATTTTCGACTTCTTCTCAAGAACCACTGGGCCAATTTCAACCAAACTTGCCACAAAGTATCCTTGGGTAAAGGAGATTCAAGTTTGTTCAAATGAAGGGCCACGCCTTCTTCCAAGGGGAGATAATTAAGAATTTGTGAAAAATTAATGGCATCATTAAAAAATCTTCTTCTCAAGAACCACTGTGCTTGAAAACATGAAACTTATGTGGAAGCATCCTCAGGTAGTGTAGATTCAAGTTTGTTCAAATCATGACCCCCGGGGTTAGGGTGGGGCCGCAATGGGCAATCAAAGTTTTACATAGGAAATATACAGGAAAAATCTTTAAAAATCTTCTTCTCAAGAACAGCAAAGCCATGATTGGTCATATTTATATGGTAGCATCCTCAGGTAGTGTAGATTCAAGTTTCTTCAAATCATGACCCCCGGGGGTCGGGTGGGGCCACAATGGGCGATCAAAGTTTTACATAGGAATATATGGGAAAATCTTCAAAAATCTTCTTCTCAAGAACAGCAAAGCCAAGATTGGTCATATTTACATGGAAGCATCCTCAGGTAGTGTAGATTCAAGTTTGTTCAAATCATGACCCCCGGGGGTCGGGTGGGGCCACAATGGGCGATCAAAGTTTTACATAGGAATATATAGGAAAAAATCTTTAAAAATCTTCTTCTCAAGAACAGCAAAGCCATAATTGGTCATATTTACATGGAAGCATCCTCAGGTAGTGTAGATTCAAGTTTGTACAAATCATGACCCCCGGGGGTCGGGTGGGGCCACAATTGGCGATCAAAGTTTTACATAGGAATATATAGGAAAAAATCTTTAAAAATCTTCTTCTCAAGAACAACAAAGCCATGATTGGTCATATTTATATGGTAGCATCCTCAGGTAGTGTAGATTCAAGTTTGTTCAAATCATGACCCCCGGGGGTCGGGTGGGGCCACAATTGGCGATCAAAGTTTTACATAGGAATATATAGGAAAAAATCTTTAAAAATCTTCTTCTCAAGAACAACAAAGCCATGATTGGTCATATTTATATGGTAGCATCCTCAGGTAGTGTAGATTCAAATTTGTTCAAATCATGACCCCCGGGGGTCGGGTGGGGCCACAATGGGCGATCAAAGTTTTACATAGGAATATATGGGAAAATCTTCAAAAATCTTCTTCTCAAGAACAGCAAAGCCATGATTGGTCACATTTACATGGAAGCATCCTCAGGTAGTGTAGATTCAAATTTGTTCAAATCATGACCCCCGGGGGTCGGGTGGGGCCACAATGGGCGATCAAAGTTTTACATAGGAATATATGGGAAAATCTTCAAAAATCTTCTTCTCAAGAACAGCAAAGCCATGATTGGTCACATTTACATGGAAGCATCCTCAGATAGTGTTCATTCAAATTTGTTCAAATCATGACCCCCGGGGGTCGGATGGGTCCACAATGGGCGATCAAAGTTTTACATAGGAATATATGGGAAAATCTTCAAAAATCTTCTTCTCAAGAACAGCAAAGCCATGATTGGTCACATTTACATGGAAGCATCCTCAGATAGTGTACATTCAAATTTGTTCAAATCATGACCCCCGGGGGTCAGGTGGGTCCACAATGGGCGATCAAAGTTTTACATAGGAACACATAGTAAAAATCTTAAAAAAAACTATTTGTTAAGAATAGCAGAGCCATGATTGGTCATATTTATATGGTAGCATCCTCAGATAGTGTACATACAAATTTGTTCGAATCATGACCCCCGGGGTCGGGTGGAGCCACAATGGGCGATCAAAGTTTTACATAGGAATATATAGGAAAAATCTTTAAAAAAGACTATTTGTTAAGAATAGCAAAGCCATGATTGGTCATATTTATATGGAAGCATTTTTAGATAGTGTACATTCAAGTTTGTTCAAACATGACCCCTGGGGGTCGGGTGGGGCCACAATGGGTGATCAAAGTTTTACATAGGAATACATAGGTTAAATCTTTAAAAATCTTCTACTCAAGAACAGCAAAGCCATGATTGGTCATATTTAAATGGAAGCATCCTCAGATAATGTAGATTCAAATTTGTTCAATTCATGACACCCCTCCCCCCCCCCCCCCCCCCCCCAACCACTTTTATATTTAAACTTTTCAACCTTTCAAGATTGAAGTGATTTCTGCTTTTTCCTAGCCATAGTGCTCAGGTGAGCGATGTGGCCCCTGGGCCTCTTGTTTCTTTACATTACATCCAAAACGTCCAGCATCTTTCTTTAAAGTGTCATACTAAATCATGATCTAAAGACCTTTTACTTCATATCCATCAGTTGACAAATTAAACTGAATTGACTCGGAATTGCGTAACTACCCGCCAAAAGCTAGAAATCTAAAAATACACGCGGGGTTTTCCAGTAAAAGTTGTCAAGAATCGGACATTGGTAATTTATTCATATTGTTTTCCAGAAATTTTTATTGGTCCGTTCGGACTAATTAGCCACAGATTTTATTAGTCCGAATGAAAATGTGTTAGTCTGAGACTAACGGACTAACGTTAGTGTCGAACCCTGATTTTCATTCCCTATGATATCAGTTATTCGACTGCCTATATTTATTGCTTTCTTTGTTTGACTTCAACCTTTGCCATAAATTTTGTATTTGAAATTAAAACTTCTTTAAGAAAAGGAGTTTGAAAACTTTTTCAACAATACAAATATGGAAATTACTCTTAAAATTGACACAACACTAATGAGATCTATACATTTATATGAACATATAGGATCATTATGCTATCAAACAGAATTTAATTACTGTGTTAACTACTGTTTTATATGTGTGTTTCAGAGACATAAAACCAGAGAATATTTTGATAGATGTCCACGGTCATGTAAAGCTAGCCGACTTTGGTTCTGCTGCTAAGCTGTCGCCTGATATGCTGGTAAGTGAATTCAAATTTCTGGGATTGAAATGCTTATAGATTTACATACCTGTGAAAGTTTTGAGATTTTCTTATATTTCCCATAGGTGTCCTTTCGAATGCCAGTAGGAACCCCAGACTATGTGTCACCAGAACTTCTGACATCAATCAACAACAAACAGATTGTCAGTAATTATGGGGTGGAGGTAGACTGGTGGTCAATGGGAATCTGTATGTTTGAGATGTTATATGGGAAAACACCGTTCACTGACGAGAATGGCTCACTCATCAACACTTACTCCAGAATCATGAACTTCAAGGTTACTCATACTTAATGAAAAAGCTTATCGATTATAATGTAAAACTAAATTAAAAAACAATTTTTGCTTTGTATGGCACCATTAAAATCTGCACAAATTCATTTTGCATTCAGATATTTCAATGATGCATGTATTGATAATTTTTGCTTCAGTGTATAGTTGCATCACTTTGAGGTGTTTTTGGTCCCAAACAAAAAAAAATATATATTGATTGTCATTCTGATTATTTTGTTTTTAAGTTGATGTTTGAATTGAATTGAATTGAACATATGTTATGTTTAAAGATTTTTTTTTTTTTTTTTTTTTTTTAAGTGATTTTTTTGAGTGTTATTGGTGTGTAAATCACACAGACTATTCATGTAAGTATATTTCATCAAGCGTGCTAGTACATCATGAAAAATATGTCAAGGTGCAAGTCTGTGTGATCAACACACCAATAACATTCAGAGACTAAAAACATTCCTTATATTTACATGTTTAAAACCAATAGAAAATGCACTTGCAATTTGAATTTATTGATGCCTTTATATTTCCATTCTCTAGCTCATTGTGATGTCACATTAGTGCAAGTTTCTCTTTATTAATGTGCATGCCTGTACACAAAAATGGCATTCAAATCAGTTTTATATGGTTTAGTTTAAAAAAAAAACAGCACTTGTACATGTTGAAATGATGTATTAACTATTGTATTACTTTTTTTCAGAAATGTTTAAGTTTTCCAGATTCCAGCAAAGTTTCAGAACCAGCTATAAGTCTGATTAAAGGCCTTCTTGCTGACAAATCCAGTAGACTGATGTTTGACGGAATCGTAGCTCATTCTTTTTTCTCAGATCTGGACATGGACAATATCAAACAAGGTTTCCATAATAACTGTTCAACCATACATGCATTATTATACACTTGAGTACTTTTGATAATCTTTTTCATGTAAATTTCAGTGAAACCCCCATTTGTTCCACACCTGTCTAGCTTAGATGACACTTCAAACTTTGAAGAGTTTGAGAAACGACGTTATCAGCCATCTTTTGATGACTACAACACAAGCAAAGAGTTTTCTGGAAAGGATTTACCTTTTGTTGGATTCACATATGTTAGACAACAGAACAGGTACAAACTCAGTAACATGAATTGAGTTCCTTTATAAAGGTTAAAATATTGTAGGTTGTTATGGATTTTTTTTTTGAAAAATAAATGTTTGGATAAGGATTTTCTGAGATAATTTTTATAGTGAGCAAGACAAGGATGTAGAATCACTACAGGAAAGTGACACTTCATCGGAGGAGTCTGTAGAATGTCAAAATTTAGAGGTAAAATTGACCGTGAAAATTAATGAGCTCCAGGGTAAGAATCAACAGCTGGAGGAGTCTGAGTGTTCTATAAGGTCAGAGGTCGAGCGACTCCAGCTGAAGACCCAGGAGAAGGAGGAGGAGGTCCGTAGGATAGCGACAGAGAGGGAGTGTATGGAAAGGGAGCTACAGGATGCTTTGATGCAGAAGAAGGTGATTTAAAACAGAATGAGGTGTATTTAGTAAACGGACACTACGTGGTACAATAGCTCTGTGTGATACATGTAGTTTTACATGTATGTACATTAACATACCTTGTCTGTTTTAAAAATATTGTTTATATTTTCCCTCACTTCATTTGTCTGAATATACATGTACATGTATATTAAGTGCTAAATAATCAACAACTATGTGTCGTAAACAGGATGCAGCTCGCTAGCTCTTTATTTTCTATATACAAACATTATATTACACTTTTAATCTATATCAAGCAATTACTATTAACTGCACACGATTTAAAATATGTACATGCCAATCCAAAGTCATCCATTGAAGTTTCCATATGTGTATCATCTTCAGCCATTTTTTCACAATTAAAATATTCTTAATTCACTTGACATCCTAAGAACCAAGTGAGTTTAGATTGACCAAGAAGTGTGTGATCTGCTATTTATACCAAAAAAAATCATGTGACCCAGTGACCCTAGTATCGAACACGCGACAAATATGGCTGCACACAAGTATAATTACAATTTTAGTGAAAAAAGTTTATTGTCAGAGTCATTTTTAATATGTTTATATTATTTTGTAAGGTATATGCTGCTCAGCTTGATAAAGCCACAGCAGAGAAAGAACAGCTGGAGCTCCATGCAATGAAGAATTTCAATGAAATCCTGGAAATGAGAAAGGAAGCTCAAGCTATTGAAGAAGAAATTCTGAGGTAAGGAGAGGCTTCTTGTTAATGCATACATGAAGGTGTAACACTTGCAATATGTACACACTGTACTCAATGTACAATAACTTCTTTAATAACAGTATAATATGCACTTGTAATTACATTTATTACTTTAAAAAAAATTTCAAATGGTAAAGCAACACTGTAGTAAAAACATTTTGTAAAACTACACATATTGAATGGTCTATGTGCCAGCAGTTCTTTTGGATGTTATCATTTCTAAAAATCAAGGTGTCAAGTGGATGAATTGCAAGAAGTGGCCACAGAACTGGAACGAGAGAAAGAAAATCTGCTTCGTAAGGTTGCACAACGAGACAAACAGATTGAGTCATACAAAGAGCAGGTCACGGCCAGTCATAAACAGATAGCAGAGCTCCAGAACAGACTCGCCAAGGTGAGTGCACTCAAACATAATCAGAAAGCAGAGCTTAAAAACAGACTCATCAGTCCAAAGTTAGTACTACCAATCTAAAGCAGCTGACATAGTTTCAGTACAGACTTGCAAATTTAGATACAGGTTCACAAAGGCTCTTAACTAAATTGTCAAAATTATGCAAAGTATTTAACTGTAGTTTGACAACCAATATAGGCTGTAAAGTGGGTAAGTATCCATTTCTGATTAACCTAAACACTCCCAAACAAAGAGCAAAATCAAGTCTGTCTCAGTATCTTACTTTTGTTATGGAAGAAACCATTATTTATGCTTTAGGCCAGACGTAAATCACGTGGGGATCAGAAGAGGGACCTGGCCTTGTTGGAGTCTCAGTCAAATGCCTGGAGGGAGCAGATCACAGAGAAAACTTCAGAAATTCAAGAAAAAGATAAGAGGATACAGGTGGGTTTGTCATTGCCAAATTAGTCTATTAAATACTTAATAAAGTACACTAATTAGTTCATCCACATGTTCATGTATGTCAGAATGTGGTGCATCATTTACAGGTACATGTAATTGACCTCATTCTGTGATACATGTACATTACACTGTATTTTCAGGAATTGGAGGATATGATGGAGGCTTATGAGCAGCAGGAAAAAGATTTCATGGAACGGGAACAGGTTTTACTGAACAAACTTCAATCAGTCCCATCAAAGGAGAAAGTGGTAGGCACATGTACCAATACAGTTAAACACGCTTATAGCAAACATGATTATAGTGAATTGACGTTTATAGCGAAGTGATTTTCATTCCCTCTGACTTTTAAATATATTGTAAACTTAACGGATATAAGGAATTAAGCCTATAACAAAGAAAAATTGTCCTTCCCTGGGACTTCGTTATAAGCGTTTTTTACTGTAAATGTTACTGTCATTTAAATACCTTCCATTTGTTTTCATTCATATTTAACACTCGGTAAATAGATTAAGACCATCAGTGCAATAATTTCTGCATTGTTTCATTAGGATATTAAAGTCATGCTTACTACAAGTAAATCACCTGGTAAGAAGGAGATTGAGAGCAAAATAAAGAAAATACAGGTATGGAAAAAAAAATTCTGTTTTATTTCCATAGACTTTCCTCTGTATTTAGCTGAGCTACTGCCAAGTGCATTGTTAACATATATGTGTTGTAGGAACTTGAGGATTTACTGGAGAAGTATGAGGCAGACTCTAATGCTTGGCAAGAGGAAGAGGACCAGTACAAAGAAATCATTGAGGTAAGTGTCAGCTTTACTGGATTACTCAGGATCTACTCATAAAATATGCACTAACTACAAGAGGTAAAATCTCAATACTGTATCTACAGGAAATAGTGATTCCAAATTTTAAAGAGTTTGTTTTTAGACTTCAAAGAACATGTGAGTTTGAAAAGAAATTGAACACTTTTTCAGAAAATATCAACATTCAGTAATTGCGTTACAATATTATGGTATATATGGATATAATTGGATTCTGATGGTTTATGTACATGTATGTTGTTACAGAATTTGAGTGGAGAGGTTGCAGCCCTGAAACACCAATCCCGACTCTCTATTCAGGCCAAAGAAAATCTACTGGAGCAGATCAAACTTCACCAAGAGGAAATTGGAAAACAGAAACAAAAAATCAAGGTCAAGCAAAAGGGCAGTCATTATGATAGGAAGAAATTTAATGGAGATGTTAAATTTTGATAATGTTTGATAATGTCCATGTACTTCATCTCATGAAGATTTAGGATCATGAATTAAATCATTTAATATGTACACTTTTAAATTGAAATTCTTTCTTCTATATTTTAACCTGCAGGATTTACAAATCCATGTTAATTCTTACCTGGAGGGACAGAAAAAGGACTCCAAGGAAAGCTCTTTGGAAAAACATGCCAAAGTAATGTACTGTTAAATACTATTGGATTGAGCACTTTTTTCCAACCATGTATCTGTATAAATATATATACTTGTATGTACAATGTATATGTATGTACATTAATCCTGCAAAATTATAATGAATGCCTAGACATTTCCCCCCTTATTTCTTTACACTGCAGTATTTCTAGCATCTTTGGTCGGATGTAATTTTTTTTATTTCCACATACTAACTAGGGACTGCTTTTACCAATTTGCAATTTACAAATTTTAAAGTAAAGGAGTCAGAAATTGAAGTAGATATATTGAGTGATAATATCCTGTAGAAGTAGAAATTGAGGTGGAGAGATATTAAGAGATGATATCCAGTAGAAGTAGAGATTGAGTTGTAGAGATATTGAGAGATGATATTCCATAGGAGTAGAGATTGAGGCAGAGATATTGAGAGATGATATTCCATAGTAGAGTTTAAGGTAGAGATATTGAGAGATATTTCATAGGAGTAGAGATTGAGGTAGAGATATTGAGAGATGATATCCTGTAGGAGTAGAGATTGAGTTGGAGAGATATAGAGAGATGATATCTCATAGGAGTAGAGATTGAGGCAGAGATATTGAGGGATGATATTCCATAGGAGTAGAGATTGAGGTGGAAATGTTCCTATAGTGATATACATGTGCTTAGTATTTCTGGTGTTAAGAGAAGCTTCTTGTAATATCTAAAATGTATGTGTATTTTTCTAGGAATTAGAGATTGAAGAAGAGATGCTAAGAAAAGACTTACTTAATTGATATCAAATGTTTTAAATTAATTTATACATGTATTTGTATTTTTACAGGAGTTAGAGATTGAAGTAGAGATGCTAAGAAAGGACTTCCTTAATTGATATTAAATGTTTTAAATTAATTTATACATGTATTTGTATTTTTACAGGAGTTAGAGATTGAAGTAGAGATGCTTAGAGATGACAAGAGGAAGATGATGAAGGACAAACTTTCTGTTCAGACTGAGCTTGATGATTATAAATGTAAACAAATGGACAACAAAAGAGTAAGTCTTGTATTGTTTATGTTTACATTTAGTGTATTTTACAGTTCAGTTCTGTGAATTTGAATTTCATTAAATATTAGCTGCAATTTTTCAGATCATAATAATTGCAATGATTTTTTTTTATAATGTATGTAACCCTCTCCCCTTCCCACCTTAACCCTTCCACTTGCTGTTGGCAATTACTGTAAAGGTACTTTTTTTCCACGGGGTCATAATTCTGCAGCATCACAGTTTTTGTTCAATACACTGGTAGAAAACTACATAGATTTCTTAGATTGTCATTACATGTCCTTAAGTATGCTGTCACAAATTTCTGTTGAAGAATTGTGACCCCGTACATAGCATAAATTAATCCCACACGGAATAAAGTACCTCTATGGTACTAACTCCGTGTTGTCTGCCTTCTTTTGACTTCTACTTTTGCATAGATATGTAACTCAAATTTTAGTTTCTTTTGAATTAATGTCCTCTGTTGTGTGCATGAAGGTGACTTAATTTTTTAAAAGAATTTACATGTATTTTTCTGATACTAGTTTTCTTTGCTTTGCTTTTTACCTTGTAGAATTACATTATGTTCCAATCTTATTCCTTGAATCTCTGTCTGAATGTTGTACCTACTTTCCTTAAAGTGATCTTACATTACTCATTTACTGATTTTCTTGCATCACAGCTAGCCTTTCTTTCACTGCTTGTAGTTCACTATAGTGCATGGGTGTGTGCTTTCATCCCTTCTTTCTCAATATGTTTGATAATAGGTGAATGATCAAATTATACAGAAAATCAACCGATTGACTGCCAAGCTGGAGAGGGTTGAACGGCAGCTGTCGGCCAGCAGGGATCGGGAAATTCAAGTCAGGCTTAAGTCCAGGGAGGCTCAAAAAATCAGGTTAGGGATCAGAAAATTTCATCCCTGAAGAGAGGGATTTAGGTTCTTAGGAAGTCTCTGATGTTGAATGGCATGAATGCTATGAAAAATCTTTTTCAGATAAACATATATGTGCAATATACAGCTTATCTAAAGAAGAATTAAAAGGAGAATTTTTGTACTTGAATTTTAGGGAAAAGTTGCAGGAGGAGAATTTGAAAGCTGAGAAAAAAGAAAATGAAGAACTTAAGAGCAAGCTTACTGCTGTGAATGTTGAAATGGAAAAGCTTAGACTTACTCCATCAAGAGACAATGAGATAAAAGACCTCAGAAACACCTTGGAAAACAACAACCAAAAACTACTACAACTTCAGCAGAAGGTTGATAAACTGACCAGTGAAAAGTTTGACTCCTTGAAGGAAATCCGTGAATTGAAGGAGGAGAAAGAAAGACTGGAAGAGGCTCTGACTTCCACTAAGAAAGAGTTGGAGAAGGTTGAAAAGGACCTCACTGAAATCACAGGGCTCAAGGAAGAGAACTTGACACTGAAGGATGAAAAAGACCAGCTCAAGTCCAGATTGACAGATCTAGAGAGTGAGAAGCAGGAATCTGAGAAGAAACTGAGGAGGGAATGTGAGGCGCTAAATGTGAAGCTTCAAGGTGTAGAACAGGAGTTAGAAGAACAGAAAATACTGTCTGCCAAACGCTGGAACAAGATCGAGGACGCTGAGGATTTACGACAAGAAAACAAACTCCTACAGAGCAAGGTGGAGATGCAGAAAAAGAGGACAGAGGAACTAGAAATAAAGGTACAATATTGTTTATTCCCAATAAATGATTGTGGTTTGAGTTCCTCACCTGAACTTTTGTACATGTATTTGTCATTTATATTGTTAAATGTGTTTACAGATTAAAGACTTAGAAAGTCAAGTGGCCGATGGTAAGAGAAAGCTGGAAAAGTTGAATGTTGTCAATCAGGAGCTTGACACATTAAAATTAGCCAGGAGGTCATCAGAGGTTAAAATTCAGGAACTGCAGCGGGAACTAGCAGAGAACCAGCAAAAGGCCTCCCATAACAAAAAGGATGTACAGCATCTAGAGGAAAAACTCAATAAGGTAAGGGAAAATACCAAGAAAGTACACATACACCTGATACAGAGAAGTAATGGTTGTATAGGTATCGATAGAGCTACAATAGACATAGTGTTGTATAACAATGAATATAGACCTTTATATGATACATGTATATTATCAAGGAAAAAGAGCAGACAAATGACAACATATCAGAGCTGAAGAAGGAGCTTCAAGAGTCCAATCTGGCTTTGAGTGAAGCACGCTCCTTGGTGTCAGCCATGCAAAGACAGGAACAAAGTATGAGAGACAAGTTCAACCAGGAGATACGAGATCTTAAGATGAAGCTGCACAAAGCCCAAGGCTCCCTTCATTTGGAACATGACATGAACACAGTTCTGATGGAGAGACAAAACCTTGAACTAAAGCAAAAGGTATATAACAATAAAATCCTTTAGAAATGTGAATTTCAGCATTTTCAGTTGATAAGTACATGTGAATTAGGTTTTATGGTAACAGTTTTTTTGAGAGGAATTTAGAAAGCAAATCTTATTTTTCTGATTGTGTAATAGGAAATGGAGGAAAGGATAGGGAATCTGTTGAAGGAGAAGGGAACGGCAGTATTAGAAAAACAAAACATTGAGGAGAAACTTATGCACAGCCAGCAGCAATGTGAACTGGAGAAAAAGGTCAGTTACTTGTAGTGGACAGTTTTTTAATCTTCAAATATTTTAACCTTGTGACATTTGAGAAAGTACATGTATCTTAGAATCAAGACTACGAAATGTTGATACATGTGGCTCATTCATTGTAGTGCTGTATTAATACATCGTACATGTACCTGTCAATGATTACCTTTAAATTCACAGAAAGCAGACGTTCTGAAGGGAGTGGTAACTGACCTTGAGGATCAAATCAAAGATTACGAGACGCTGATAGAGGAGTACGAGAAACAACAGGCAGACTGGGATGACATAAAGTAAGGGGTCAATAACTGTCTTATGTGGCAGATATTCACAGTACATGTGTTGCTTAGTAGAATGTTGAATATGTAATCCCTTTTTTCAACAGGAAAAAGTTTGAGTCTGCTGTGGATGAGAGGGAGATGGAGATAGAAGGAACAAGTCAGAAGCTACAGGAACTTCAACAGGCCAAGTAAAGATTTTAATAATATAAATAAATGGAATTGGATGAACCATATTTCTAGTCATTAAAAAGGATGCATAACAAACTACATTTTTGTTACAGACAAATTGCCAATGAGAAGCTGAATCAAATGAAGAAGGATTCACAATCTGAGAAAGCTTCCCTGAAATCTGAAATAGAGGCTCTGAAGGTGAAGGAATGGGAATCCCAGAAAGAAGTGGACAGGTGGAGGTTACAGGTAACATTTAACGTGGTCACTGCAATTGATGTCAGTGAATGGTGATTTTATTAAGGTGGCAGTAAATGATAAACTTAGATTTTTTAAAAAGGGTGCAGTAAATGGTAAACTTGATTTGGTATATATGACATTGAATGTTCATTTTATTCATTTATATTGAAGGTGACAGAATTGGAGAGCAGGATATCAAAATTCCAGGTCATGCTGGAGTCCCAGACCAAAAATATGGATGCTGACAGTGAGGAAAAGTACAGACTTAAAGAGGAGGTAAGTATAGTCATCTTACAAAGGTACAGACTAAAAGAGGAGGCAAGTCTAGTCATCTTACAAAAGGATAGTCTAAAAGTGGTTAAGTCTAGTCAGTTTACAAAAATACAGACTTTGAGGGAAGATTAGTCTAATGAGTTTACAAAAGTGCAAACTAAAAAAGGAGTTAAGTCCAGTCATTTATTAATGTACTGACTATAGAGGAGATAAGACTAGTCAGTTTACAGAAGTGCAGACTAAAAGAGGATTTTAGTCATCTTACTAATGTACAGACTAACTAGTCAGTTTACAGAAGTACAGACTACAAGAGGGGTACATGTATATCTAGTCAACTCAGAAAAATATCTTCCACAATATTCGAAATGTATCATGTTACCAATGTACCTGTACCAAATACAACTATACTAAAGCTCTGACCACAAAACTCAGAATATTTTATTAGAAATGAACATGTACAGAATAAAAACTATACAATCAGAAGACAATCATATCCAAGCAGTTTAAACTTGCATGTACTGGTACACTTTGTTGTTAATAATTTTAAAACACCAAAAATTTTTGTCATAAATCAGATATCTACCAAGATAACAGAAATTCAGGATTTGAGGTCTAAGAATCTGAAGCTGAAGCAAAGTCTTGGGGAGGCTATGGATAAGTTTGAGATGATCTTTGGAGAAAAGGTGGATCTGGAAAACTTTGCTGAGGCTCTACAAGTAAGAATTTCTACAATGTTTTGTATAATGAACATAAAATTATAACCTTTGTACTTGCATATAAACAGTAAGCGGGCTGGTGGAGGGTTTTGCTTTGCTTTAAATATTGTAAAGTCATATCATCAATACGGTGGAATTGTACCTGGATATCCCTCTTTGGTGGTGGAGGTTCTGGGTTGTTAGGTTTGTTTTGCTGACTCAACGTGTCATTTTGAAGGGTTTACATTTCCTGGAGAAGTACAAATTTGAGAGCACTATTGGTCAACAGATGAAGTTGATAGATTATCTCCAGGCTCTGTATGAGGAGAACAACAGCAAGAAAAAGAAGGTAGACGTCTTCATCGCACACTGCAATGTGATGCTGCTGTTGTTGATTTTAGCTGCTGCCTTGTTTCAACTTTCACTTGTGTTTAATTTTTTTTTTCTTTTTTGCATGTACTGTATAACCTACAAGTATTTCTTCCTGCATGAAAATGTAATCTTGTTTCTCTTTTATTTTAGCATGCCGTTTTTAGTTACTTATAGACATTCCTTATACAATGTAACCATAAAATAAATACCAGACATACACTAAGTGCATTAACAGCATGGTTGAACATGCTTAATATTAGGATTTTAGAACTTTTATAGCCTATTGTCTGATTCAAACACTTCAGAGTTATGGGTGTGGTACTTGAATAAAATTCTCTCTCTCTCTGTTTTGTTCTGTAAGCTTTAATTGGAAAATGAACCACTCTTGTTTTTCTTTTAGATTTATAATACTGTAAATCAAATAATATTTGCGACAACTTTTTCCACAATTTTGTCTGATGTCCACCTGCAAGTTTTAATTTTATGATGTGGAAGATATGCTGTATATATGTGCACAACTGAATAATTGACTCAAGATGAGAAAATTTGCAAATAGAATAACGTTGCGAAACTCTAAGATATTTCTCGCACATGAAAATTAATTTGTTTATGGTATCTCTACTTAAATCTTTATATTTGGTTTAAAAGACAATTTCAATTTGTAAAATAGATCTAATTCTGATCTTCAATACATATATTGAATTAATTTTTATGGCGTTAATCTTGTTACTTTTTACAGTCAGCAAAGAAAGGCAGAAAATCATTTAACTTTGGAAAGGTACATTTCCCAGCCATGGAAGATCTACAGAACTCTCTAGAACTGGAACGTAAGAGGAACGTCAAACTGACGGAGCAGATGGACAAACTAAGACAGGAAAACTACAGCCAAGCTCAAGAATGTAAAGGAATATTTTCTTTCAGTTTATCCACAAAATTTAACCTATTTAAATATTAGAGGAAATCATGTTTTGAAAATTCCACAATGTATACATGTGTAAGGATTTTCTGTCTTTATGTTGTGTTGCAATTTAAAGAGTAAAGGTATTCAAAATTTTGAAGTTATAATCAAATGAAATTCCATGCATGTAAAGATTTCATTTATTTTTGTAGTGTTGCATTTAAAAGGCCCTCTGAAAGAGAGGGTTGATGGGGCCCTTACTCCTCATGATAAAGCAGCTGTGGCTTGTAGAACTCCTTTGAAGAGTGTTCCAAGTGCAATCCTGACCCCCAGGGCCCAGCGTTACAACATAGAGACCCAGGAGATCCCTCCCCTTAGGATGCATCACAATATTCCACATCGGTTTGTAACAGGACTAAACACCCGAGCCACGAAGTGTGGAGTTTGCCTGGGAAGTGTTCCATTTGTCAAGAAGGCCTCCAAATGTCAGAGTATGGACGTATTTCATATATTTACTGGTCTTGTTGTTGAACTGAGTATATTTGTCATTTCTCTCAAGGAGAATTGTTGACTTTGAATTGATTCATATTTTTTCAATAAATTTCGTTTCCTTGGTAGTACTGTATTAAGTTGATACTCCTTATTTCCCCAGCCTGCCTGATGACTTGTCACACTAAATGTACCTCATCTGCGCCATCAACTTGTGGACTTCCTACAGATTACATCCACTATTTTACCTCCATCATGAACAATATTGAACGAAACAGCAAAAACTTCACCCTGAAAGATACCAACCAAATCAAAATAAAAGGATGGCTTAAAGTACCAAGGTATTTTTCAGATTCTTCATGTTTTTTTAATAAGACTGACAACAAACTGTAATGTAAATTTTATTCCAAGAGACTCATGTACTTCAAATACCAGTATTAAATTTAGAAAATGCTGACCAATGAAATATTAAAATATGTGTACTTTGGTGTACTTTATGTTTGATGTACAAGTACAGTGTATATGTAAATTCAAATATATTTTGAATGACTAGAACTGGCAAGCCTGGGTGGGAGAAGAGGTGGTGTAGTCTGGAGAACAACATCCTGTTGATGTACCGGGAGGAGTCGGACGCTAACCCTATTGACACGTTTGATCTTAATCCTGCTGAGACTGACGTGACTGTCCATAGTGCCATCAGCTCTGCTGAGCTCCCAAACACAGCCAGTACAGATCTACCATATGTCCTGAAAGTAGAACACGAACCTCTAACCACATGCTGGCCACGAAGGTTGGATTTTAACTGAATTACATTTGTAAAATGATCACAAATCTCGCTTGAAAGTATACACTACAACCGAAAAAGTCATGTCTTCAGTGATGACACTATTGAATCTCTCTGAATTACATTTGGGAAATGCAACAGAGAATCTGACAGGTGCATTTTTATTGGTCCACCCATATACTCAAGTGCATTTGCTGAAAACTTGTTGACTATTGGTGAACAAGTAAGTCGATGCACACCTTGTTAAATGATTCTGAGTGTTGGTAAACTGTACAATGGTCTGGCAAATCTGCTGGGCATATTTCTGCAATGGAAAAATATGGCTTTTTTTCCCAATCTTCATCAGTACTCCATCTATAGTATTAAGAATTCTTAAATTTATACTTAGTATAGATAATAAGAATTCGCTGTAAAAATTGTGCTGAAAAACACAAGGATCTCGATTTCCTGGTCACATGTTTACAGTGTATTTCCATGTCAGTAAAATGGGTATGCAGTAACAGTTTTATGGTGTTTTTCACATTTGTGGCTAAAATCTTTTGAATTATTCTAATGTTTCGCATTTTCATGCATTGTATAACACTATGAATAATATTTTCTTCAATAACAAATGCCATGGCATGCTTTTCAATAATACCTGAGTTTTCAATTTTCTCGGGTATGCCAACCCAGTATAATACTTGTAAATACACTTGGGACTATGTTGTTTTTTTAAATAGTTTACCGTATGTGTACTTTACAACCTTCTACCATGGCTTTGCCACTAGATAGGGTAGACATTTTCTTAGGTACGCTTTCCATTTAATAATTACTCATGGATACCACACAAGAGTGGGCAGGTCCCAATTGAAATACATGTTTTATAGAATGTAACCTGTGATTAAAATTCTTCATGTCAAATGCAACAGTGTCATCACTCAGCGCATTGCTACATCAGTCATAGTGTTTACTTTCAAGCGAGATTTGCGATAAAAATTCTTAATATCTGGATAGATGATTTGTCATGTTAATCAAATATGTGTACATGTCTTGTTTCTGTACTTCTTGATTTTTCTACTTAACAGGGAGTTGTATCTTATGGCAGTCACTTTCCCAGATAAACAGAAGTGGGTTGCCTCCCTTGAAGCAGCGGTCAGAAGCCTCCAGCGTGTTGATGCTACATTCAAACGAACGGTGAGCTTTCTTAGATCTTTAATGTATTAACTATTTAGTAGTGTATTTAATTTCTTAGATACCAATCTTTTACTATATACATGTATCTAAAGAACTTGTTTTTCTTTTGATAGAAATTACAGGAATTCCGTGTTTTAGAGTTGAAGGGAGACCGAAGGCTGGAACTAAACTGCACTCTTGTTGTCTCCAATCATGTGCGTAATCACAGAATTATCTAGCATTAAATATTCTTTGAATGCTGAATCATTACACATAATAGAAATCTTATTTATGTATGTTGTATATGATCAGTTATTCATATAATAATCTGAAGGGTCTATCAAGAGATTAATGTAGTGAAAATGTAGAGCTAAAACAAAATCTTTCATTACAGTTTTTTTTTTATTGTGAATTGATGTGTTTAATTACAGATGTTGTTACTGGGAGCAGATGAAGGTCTGTTTGCTGTCAACATTCACAAAGGCCAGCATACCCTGGTGACAAAACTTTGTGGTCTTAAGAGCATACATCACATGGTGTACGCCTCAGGATTAGGCTGGGTCATCTGTATTACAGGTTAGAATAGCGAAAACAGCATCTGAACACTGTAATAGTTAACTTTGAAAATTATTCCAATGTCCATGCATTTAATTTTTAAAATACATGTAAAGTTTTGTTGAAATAAAAATGTTTTCATATACAATATTCCAGAATTTCATTAAATATTTACAGTGAGATACATGTTTATTATTTTATATCAGGCCAGGACCGCCATGTGGTGTACATTCACCGTGAGGCCATCAAGGCACGCCTGAATCAGGCCACCAGTGATGAGACCGAACACGTTCCTAACGACAAGATTCCGTCCCTGGTAGGCTGTACAGTGCTGGAGGTCAAGCGTGTGTACGAAAGTCTCTATCTAGTGGCAGGATTTGATGACAGAATCACTGTGATGAAATACAACACTGAGCTCAAAGAATTCTGTATCAGAAAGGTCAGTCTATTGTATAAATGAGTAGAGTGTGAGTACATGTTCATAACTGTATGTTAATAATGCATTGTAGGTAATATCCTTCAGTGGATTTACATGTACTTGTACATGTAATATTAATTTGCTAGTATAGTATATAATGTCATGTCTTTTGTTGCAGGAGTTGAAGACACAGGAACCCTGTAGCTGTGTTTGTCTTGCTGATGACTTTGCCATTGTAGGAACAGAGAAGTTCTACAAGTTTAGCCTAGATCATCCCTCCCTCACAGGTTATTTCACTAGACTGGCATGCTTGTTTTGTAATAAAAAAAATTAATGTAAAAATGTATTGAATATATTAAGTAGAAAGAATGCTTAGTTTCAAAGATATTATCATGGATTTTATTGTGTGTCCTCTGTATACATTTACAATATAAAGAGATCTTAATAAACTATATTCTCCAGAGTTTGTTGACAAGAGAGATAACTCTTTGGCCTTTGCTGCCTTTGGAGCAGCCATTCACAACAGTTTTCCCTTAGCTGTTGTGGATGTCACACCAGAGGGACTCCCCACGGAATTCCTACTCTGTTTTCACGGTAATGTTTTATGCTGGCGTTTTTTTTTTATCAGCTTGTCTTTGAAACTTGTCTTTAGGTCACCTGAGTCACTCAGGTGACCTATTGCTATCCGTTCTCGTCCGTCGGTGTGCGTCGTGTGTTAACATTTGAACATTTTTAGCTTCTTCTCTGAAACCGCTTAACCAATTTCAACCAAATTTGGCATATAGCATCTATAGGTGAAGGGGAACAAAAATTGTGAATTTCATGGTCCCTGCCCCCCTGGGGCCTGAGGGGTGGGGCTAAAACCACCAAAAAAAATGCAATCTTTAAAAATCTTCTTCTTTACTCCAGGACATCAAGCAGTCAAACTGTTGGCATCATTGTAACAAGCATTGAGCCCTCTACCAAAATTGTGAAATTCATGGCCCCAGGGTCAGGGGTTCTGGCCCCAGGGTGGGGCTTTATAGATCATATAGTGAAAGTGCATTATTTCTTTGAAAATCTTCTTCTTTGCTCCTGGGTATTAAATAAAGTAACTAAGTACATAGTTATGAAGTGCAAGAATGCCTCTTCCAAAATTGTGAAATTCATGGCCCCAGGGTCAGGGGTTCTGGTGTTAGGGTGGGGCTCTATTGATTATATAGTGAAAATGCATTAATTCTTTGAGAATCTTCTTCTGTGCTCCTGGGTATTAAATAAAGTAACTAAGTACATAGTTATGATGAGCAAGAATGCCTCTTCCGAAGTTGTGAAATTCATGGCCCCAGGGTCAGGGGTTCTGGCCCCACGGTGGGGCTATATAGATCATATAGTGAAAGTGCATTATTTCTTTGAAAATCTTCTTCTCTGCTCCTGGGTATTAAATAAAGTAACTAAGTACATAGTTATGATGAGCAAGAGTGCCTCTTCCTTAAATTGTGAAATTCATGGCCCCAGGGTCAGGGGTTCTGGTGTTAGGGTGGGGCTCTATTGATTATATTGTGAAAATGCATTAATTCTTTGAAAATCTTCTTCTCTGCTCCTGGGTATTAAATAAAGTAACTAAGTACATAGTTATGATGAGCAAGAATGCCTCTTCCAAAATTGTGAAATTCATGGCCCCAGGATCAGGGGTTCTGGCCCCAGGGTGGGGCTATATACATCATATAGTGAAAGTGCATTATTTCTTTGAAAATCTTCTCTGCTCCTGGGTTTTAAATAAAGTAACTAAGTACATAGTTATGAAGAGCAAGAGTGCCTCTTCCAAAAATTTGAAATTCATGACCCCAGGGTCAGGGGTTCTGGTGTAAGGGCAGGGCTCTATTGATTATATAATGAAAATGCATTAATTCTTTGAAAATCTTCTTCTCTGCTCCTGGGTATTAAATAAATAACTAAGTACATAGTTATGATGAGCAAGAATGCCTCTTCCAAAATTGTGATATTCATGGCCCCAGGGTCAGGGGTTTTGGTGTTAGGGCGGGGCTCTATTGACTATATAGTGAAAATGCATTAATTTTCTGAAAATCTTCTCCTCTGCTCCTGGGCATTAAGGTGATAGACTAAGTACATAGTTATGATGAGGAGGTGGGCCTCTTCCAGAATTGTGAAAGCCATCGCCCCTGGGTCAGGGATTCTGATGTTAGGGCGGGGATTATATAGTGAAAATGCATTAATTCTTTGAAAATCTTCTTCTCTGCTCCTGGGTATTATTTAAATAAACAAAGTGCATGGTTATGATGCATAAGGATGCCTTTTCAAAAATTGTGAATTTCATGGCCCCAGGGTCAGGGGTTCTGGTGTTAGGGCGGGGTTCTATTGATTATATAGTGAAAATGCATTAATTCTTTGAAAATCTTCTTCTCTGCTCCTGGGTATTATTTAAATAAACAAAGTGCATGGTTATGATGCATAAGGATGCCTTTTCAAAAATTGTGAATTTCATGGCCCCATGGTCAGGGGTTCTGGTGTTAGGGCGGGGCTCTATTGATTATATAGTGAAAATACATTGATTCTTCGAAAATCTTCTTCTCTGCTACTGGAGATTATTTAAACAAACTAAGTGCATGATTATGATAGGCAAGGATGCCTCTTCCAAAATTTTTAAATATATGGCCTCAGTTTTTGGGGTTCTTGAGGAAGGGGGGGGGGGGCTCTATTGATTATATAGTGAAAAAGCATTAATACTATTAATTAATCAGTAATTAATCCTGTCTGCTCCTTAGCGTTGAGCTGATAAATAAATTGCTTAGCTATGATGAAAATGGGAGCTTCGAACAGAATTTTTAAATCTTGTGGTCCTAGGGTCAGGGGTTCTGGCATAATGTGGGGGGGGGGGGGGGGGGCTTTTGATAATATAGTGGAAAAGTGTTAATACTTCGAAGTCCATAGTTATGATGATGAGGGTAACTCTTCCAAATTTGTAAATTTCTTGACCATTGGTCTTGGGTTCTGGTGTTAGGATAAGGCTTTGTTGAATCTGTAGTGAAAATGCATTGTACCTGTGAAATTCTTCTCTGCTTCTGGGCATATCGGAAGAAAACAGAGTAAAAGTTTAAATGATATAAGTAAGCGTATTTCTACCAGATTTTTGAACATCTGGACCATTTGTCTAAGCATTCTAGTCCTGGGCAGGGCTCTATTAATTTGTATTCTACTGAGAGAAGTTATTCCCCTTTTCTGTTCACCTTTGATAATTAATCACTGTAAATAATGTATTTGAAAGGTTAATAGAATAAGATAGTTATGCAAGAATGTTTATCATATAATTCAAAAAGTATTTTCTTAGTTTTAATAATCAGGTAGACCTGTAAGTAATAGATAAATGAAAATGAGACAAAAATAACTTATCTTATTAAAAGTTCTTCAAAGACCGTAAGAGAGGTCAATGCTAGAGGTCTTAATATGGGTTTAAAAATAGTACAGAAGCACTAATAGTTTGTTAATAGTCTGCATGGTGATAGTGTTCAGTGGGGGACAGATTAGAACTTAAGTTATGAGTTGATACTGAATACTAGACTAATTATTTTGTTGATCCTGATCTTCCTACTTCTCTTGCTTTAGGGCAACAAAGCTTCATCTATCAGTGTATTTAACTTCTGAATTGTTGTATTATACTCAGGTGACCGTTAAGGCCCTTGGGCCTCTTGTTTGTTAACTTGACTAGAATAAAATCATTTATTCATATTCTCTTAGAGTTCAGAGTTTATGCATATGTTTTCCTTTCTAGAGTATGGTTTCTTTGTGGACTGCAATGGAAAGAGAAGCAGACCAAAAGACATGAAGTGGAGTTGTCTCCCTCTAGCATTTGGTAAGTTATTAATTTATGTTAATTGGATTATCCAGATGTATTGAAAATTTACAAATAAAGTTTTGTTTTCATGAAAATGCAAGCATCTAAGACTATGTTTTCTTTCTTTCTTTTTTTTTTTTTAACATGTACAGCATACAGCGAGCCATTCCTTTATGTGGTGTATTTCAACAGCATTCAAGCCATAACTATTCCTGCCAACAAAATGCAAACAAGGTAGACTTCTTCAGCACTGTAATATACAGTATACAATATTTCAGCTAATTTATTTGTTTCAGAATACTTCAAATGTAAAATATTTAAAGACTGCCATTGGGTAAATGAAGTGAAAGCACAGTTCTTTTTTCATGTAAACACCAGAGCTGTTTACTATTATGGAAATTCCATATTTGTCTCAGATTTTAATTTCATTATAAGGCTTATGGATTGACCTCCGGAAATTATGCTTGTTGGTTATGCTCCAAATTATATTTTTTCTGTGCCGTATTCATGCTTTAGCTATGTTAAGGATTTACTTGAAGATTTTTGAAATTCAAATTGTCATTCATACATGATACATGCTGACAAAACAGTTAATAACATAACAATCAAATTTACAACTACATGTTTAGTTAGTATTACAGAGCAAATGGAAATGTCTGTGTTAAGTAAAGTATATTTCTCTAAAATACAGAGGTAAGCAGACCTGCCTGGATATCTACTGCCCGCGTTTGCTGGGGAATTCCATTAAGACGGGAGGAGTATACGTGTCCACAAACACTGGTAATAGTACACAGATGATCTGTCTACAGGGAAACGACGGCATCAGTGACAAGGAGAACAGAGCCAGGTGAGAGAGTTCAGTCTGATCAAGTCATTACAAACAAATGTTTGTCCACCCATTTCATGACTGTGTAATATTAATTAAGATAATTCAACATGCAGTACTAAGGAACCCCCAAAGTGCTCCCTATGCACTGTAAATTTAGCTTTATTAATCACCTTTTGGGACTTATAAGCAAAAGGATAGTTAACTTTCTGATATATAAATTTTGTTGTAATGTTTTGTAGTAAATCGGAGAGACAGAGGTTTGCCAGCCCAAAGAGAGGGATCCTGAAGAACACTCAACGTCAGGATTCAATGACTTCTATCAGTAGCACCTCGAGCGCTGGATCTAATTACTCCACGTCTAGTGCCTACAGTGTCAATTCAGAACTTTAGACTGCTACAAAAACAAAGACATCTCCAACTTTTTGTTCTTATACAAACACGTGCTTGTCAGCTTGACTATTATCTAAAAGTGGATGAACTGGTTCCATTCTTGGTTTTGAGATGTGCATTTTTTATTCATTTTATATTCGATGTAGACATGCTACACTCACAGTCTCCTAAGTTGCAGGTGCCATAGCTGAAAATTATTGAAAAATTATTTTCATTGGAAATAAGCCGTGATCCTCAACTCACATGTACATATTGCAGATTTAATTTCAATGACCACACAGATTTACACATATAGATGAATTCAGAATTGTTTTATTGATACAGCTACATACATTTTTTTTTTTTTTTTTTTTTAAATAAATGAGGAGATGCTCCTATACATATGATAATGACCTGTATATATACCCACCTGTGTTCAGTGATCATGTGACATAATTTATTTTTATTTGCCAGTTCAGGTATTGTGCAATCGATTTCTTTATGTGTACATGGAAGTAGTACAGATTAGAGATAAAACTTTAGATTATTGTTTTTATGTATTTAATATACATATCTGATCAAAATCAGGGTTGTATCACCAATAAAGATTTTGATACACTTCAAAGAAGAGTTTCGCATTTTAAAATTAACCAGGGTGTTGTTTTCCATACTCTTCACATTAGGGTATAGGAAGTTTGGGGGGGGGGGGGGAGTTGAAAAGTTGGATTTGTTTTCTTATTTTAGCCCACCTCCTCCTCCCATCCAAAAAAAAAAAAAGTAATAGAAATATTATAAACATCTAAATTTTGTGTTAATAGCATCTGTTAACAATTCTCTTATCATTATAATACAAATATTTATTTGCACAAACACATTTACAATAATTGGAAAAGGCCCACTGAACATCATTAGACATTGTTTATGTAATTGTCTGACGTCATGGCGTCAGACAGTACTAGATTTAGCCAAGGCTTGCTGGTCAAGTCGTTCAACAGAATTTGTGTGATAACTTGATCTTAGAAACTTCATACTATCTTAAATATCAATTGGAGAGCATGAGGAGTGAAGGAAACATGCTGAACACCCAAACAAGCCAGAGCACTGGACCTGATGTCATTATTATCACATTATACAGGTTACATAACATTTGGCCATTCTCGAATGCATTATTCATGTCCAGCAAAACAGAAGGAATAAAGCTGGTCAGGTCAAACACTTGTCCATTATCTTTATCAGATTAACTAATGGCTGTTTATTTTCAATGCATACCAAGTCTCTCTACCTTTAGAATTTTTATAAATCAACACATATTCATAACTTGCAGACGTTTGATTTATTCATAGTTAAAAAAAATATCAAATGGAAGGATACTCCGATGTTGAATATTCTTTTGCTTAAATGCAAAGATGTTAGCTCATTTGTAACACGTTTATTTAAAAAAATAATCTCTTAGTTAAAATTGTTCACCAATTGATGTTTAGATTTTAATGTGTTGTAACTTTTTCTTTCAAAGCCACTGGTTATATCTTTGTATCCATGAACAGGCCCGTTAAAAGAAATTTCAGAAATTTTCAGTTTAGGATGGACACTATCAAGAAAAAAATTCTTATAGAACATAAAAAAGTTATCAGAAATTAATATTTACATAATTTAGGGGACACAAGCATAAAATAGCTATGTATAATCGACAAAATTATTGTGGGGCACCCCCCCCCCCCTCCTCCCGCTTCCTACGTCCATAAAAAAAAAACGAAATTACAAGTAAAACAGTGTACATAGAAGCCACTGAATTGAACTTTTCTTGTTTCTTAGCAAAAGAATTCATTTCATGACTCAGAGTCATGTTGCTTACACATGCAGGATTTAACTTTTCTTGATTCTTCACATAAAAATAAATTTGTTCAAGTCAGACAAGCTTTTTAGGAAAGCTAATACTTGTTTTTTATTTAGTATTGAGTACCGGTAATTCACTTCTATGTTCAAAACAGTCTCTAATACATGTAGTCATTGATTGCACCACTCAGTACATAAAAGTTGCAGAGAATAGAATGTTTGGCTGAAGTTGCAGAGAATAGGATGTTTGCCAAATATCAAGTTTCAAATATCATTAATCTTTTTTTTTTTAGTATTCTGGTTGTCTCAAATCACGATCTAAATCCAAGTCTGGCGAGAGCTTTTTGCAGACTCCGAATTGTAGATTCATAGAGGAAATTTCTACGTACAACTTATCATCCTTCCTTACTTTCGATTTCGAGTCAGGTGATTTCTGCACATGACAAAGTTTGGGCAGCAAAATGTATGGGAAATGTTTGTTTCTTTTTTGCGCTTTTATAAACTTTTTAGTTTCTTTTGAAAATGTCAATTCTCAGAAAATTGCCAGTGTTACATGGGACAAAAGTTCCAACAAGTTTTCTTTGCACAAAGAAGTCGTTTCTGATTATGTTGCTTTAGGAGCTTTTCGAGATGAAATCAACACAACTGGGTAAGTATTATAAGGAACTAATTGAAGCAGAATTAAATTGTTCGGAGGATTGTTAATTGATGCCTCACAATAGCAATCCAGAGCATAGGGGTTCTGTTTCAGGATGGTGTATTTTGTGTATTGTAGTTCTGTGATAGATAATCGCTGAATTTAGCAGTTTTTAAAAAACATCAAATAAACTGTGTACCTTATGTACAGGGAAATATGATATAACTTCACTATTTTTTTCTTTTTCATTTCATTGACAACACCTTCATACATTGGCATATAGTCATGAATACAATAAACATCAAATTATCCAATTAATAAACGAACATGTATTTACTGCAGTCATCTATGTGCATATCAGTTATGTTGAAGTCTTTCATTTTGGATATCAAAGCACTTCAATCTATAGAAAAGTAACATACTTCTAGCAATTTTAACACTTGGAAGGTTGATAATGTCAATATTATAGGGTTTTCCTTCATGTAACTGATCATTAGATGTATATATTATACAATTATGAACTCTTGGTGCATGGTGAATATGGTGTGATATTCACCAGAAAAATATCAATATTTTTCTTGTGAATAACAAACCATATTCATAAGTCCATAATTGTTTTATTATATAGTCCGGATTTGAATAAATAAGACATTGAAGGCTGCATGATGACATAATTTTCATTAACAAACTTCTGTCATAGAACTGGTTTAAAATGTCCATATTGCAAGTTATAACTTTATGTTTTCCTTTCATTGTGTGTAAGGCATCAAAATGTTTGGAAAATAATTCAGCGATAGATGTCACAATCTGCAATGCATGTGCACTGACCCTCCAATGAATAGGACTTCAAATCCAGTGAATATGTAGTGTTATGAACTGTTTGCTTTTGTATAGATAATATAGGGACTATAAATAGACTATATAATCATTCTCAATATTATTATTATCTACATTGATCGTGACTAGGTTTATAGAGTACTAAATATTTTTCATTTCCAATAAATAGTTTGCAAGAATGACATACACATTTTCCTCTAGGAATATATGATCTTGAATATCCCCAGTTTTTAGAAGGAGTTGATTCCTAAGTTACTGCATACCCTACCTGGACCAAAGTTGCATGAATGGTGCTTCTAGGGATGTACACTACAAAATAATTTAGTGTGGGACTTGCCTTACTTAAAGATAACATTTGTTGAGGTTAGCTCTGGTATCTTATTGATTATCTATGATTTATTTGAATCAGTGTATATCGATATCTTGCATACTATGGGCATGTCAAATTGAGTTGGAAGTCCCAACTACTCTACATATTTTGACCTCAACATCTTGAATTCTATAGCTTGGATATCTCAATTTTTTTCTGCAGTCCTATTGAGTTCAAGATAGCTAGGTTTGACTGTATTTGAATAATTGTTACAGGTGGTCCTATCTCAATGTCTCAACAGCTCAGACATTTCCCAATGAGATTCAGGCTTTTGCCGCAGGGATTGTGGAGGGGTATCTGACCAATTCCTTGATTGACATGACATGGTACAATACAGCCAAAGGCTACTGTGAGAAACCCTACAGCAAGTACTGTGAAAAGCTCAGAAACTACCTACAACAGAACATAGACTGGGTCAAAGGTCAAACAAACAGAAAGCAGGATTACTGGAATATGGTAGGTGGAGAAACCAGTTCAGTTCACATAAAATAATACTGTAAACATACATTAATTAGTGCAATGTAGCGCAGTCTTTCTCTTTGTCTGATTAGGACAATCAAATTAAAAGCAACTTGAGTTTTAGTTAAAACATACATTAGTTTTTTTAAAATCATGTATTAACATTTATATCCTATGTACCTAGCTTGTAACACAAGATCAAACGAAGAAATTTGATTGGTTTGTAAGCTGGAAGTAAAATTCCCAACACCCGATTTCAGCCAGGGGTAAATAACAAGACGTCACAATGCGTTGTTTCTCTATCACAAAAGCAAATAACATGACATTACGAGGCATTGTAGCAAATCTTATCGGTAGTTTAATTGAAACACCATTGTTTGGACTTTTGGTTTACAAAGAATTTTTTTGATTACATAGGAAATAAATTCGTTATCCAGATCCAATCAAGGGTTTACAGAGATTTACCCCGGGTTGTATTCCATACACCTCCGGCCTCAGGGTCTATGGAATAAAACCCGGGGTAAATCCCTGTACACCCTTGATTGGACCTGGATAACTAATAGTACATAACTAAGAGGACAAGAAGAAGCGTAGAGCTAAAATATGATTACTGCTAAAATAAGTATATTTACAGTATACACTAGATGAAATTGCTAAAATGCACCATCTAAGAAAATTAATATTATTTTACACCCTTAAAACTTGTTCAAGATGAACTTGATGCATAAATAGGTTACCATAATTATAAGTAAGGCATTTAATTAAGTGCCAACCAGATAAATGGATATAATGTTAACTGAAGTGTAGGTAATTTTTAGAAATGCTTCAAAATCATGCTCACACTTTTTGGAAGAATAAATCTCTTTTTTTCTTTTTGTGTTCTAATTATTGATGCATGCATTCATTTAAAAAAAGGAAATCCAATGAATTGTGATCCCCCACTTTTGGTGTCTTAGTGGATAGGATGCCATTATTTATGGCATCTTGTAACTGTCTTGTTTGTGTGTATTGTCTTGTCTGTGCATCATACAAAAAAGACATAAATGATTGAATTTATGTCTTTTTTGTATCATGGCTTCTCAAAACTACATCAAACTTTAAGATCAAAGTCAAGAGGTCAAATATCATAATACAGTCCGAAAGGTCTTGTCACAAGTAATGCAAATGTGAAAAATATTAAAGCCATATGTTTCTTCTGGAGCATAAAGGTTATGATCAAGGTTAAAATTTTGGATAAATAGGTCAATTAAACTTCTAGGTCATGGTCATGAAGTCAAAAATGATGTACTTTTTTGAAAGGTTTTGTCATAGGTAATGTACATGTAGAAATATGAAAAGCCTTATCTTCTCTCATTCAAAAGTTATTATGAATGTAAAATTAATTTGAAAAAGACTGTAGGTTAAACATTAAGGTCAGGGTCACGAGGTCAAAAACCAGTGTATACAATCAGAAAGGTCTTGAAACAGGTAATGTACATGTCAAATGTAAATGCCATATCTTTTCTCAAGCAAAAGTTATCAGCGATTTTAAAATTGTTGAAAATTAGGTCCAACTTTGAGGTCATGGGGTTAAAAATCAAATGGTACATTTAGAAATGCTTGTCACAGGTAATGCACATGTCAAATACGAATGCCCTATCTACACTCCTTCAAAAGCAAGCAACACTGATAAAATGTGTGAAAATTAGGACAAACTTGAAGGTCAAGGTCATGTTTTCAAATATCATAGCACATTTGGAAACATTTTGACACAGCTAATGCACTTGTCAAATATGAACGCCCTATCATATCTCATTTAAACGTAATATAGATAGTTGAAAATTAGGACAAACATCAAGGTCTTATTGCAGGTAATGCACATTTCGAATATGAAAGCCCTAGGCTATCTTTTCTCAATCAAAACGTATAAGCAAAGATAAAATTTTTGAAAAGTAGGTCAAACTTCAAGGTCACGGGATCAAAAGTCTTAGTATATTTGGAAAGGTCTTGTCACAGGTAATGTACATGTATAATATGAAAGCCGTATCTTTCCTCATTCAAAAGCTATGACCAATTTAAAGTAATGTTAAAATTTTGAAAAGTAGGTCAAACTTCAAGGTCACAGGGTAAAAAATCATACTATATTTGGAAAGGTCTTGTCACAGGTAATATACATGTGAAATATGAAAGCCCTATCTCTTCTCATTCAAAGTTATGACCAAAGTTAAAGTTTTGGTGACTGACAGACTGACAGATGAATGAGATTTAATGTCCTTGCTTTTCATGAAAGCGGGGTACAACAAAACCTTGTACAACTGCAAAAGGACATTCTGAATGAGTGGAACAATGCAAAAATGTTACACAATTACAATAATTCCATGAAGCAGAGATGCTTAACTGTAATCCCAGTGTATGGTGGCCATACCCGATATTTGATATTTGAATTGGGGGGGGGGGGGGGCAAAGTTCCCTACACTATTTTGCATGAAATAACTGTACAATAAGTATGCAACAAGTGATGTATCACTAGTATCTTCTGTATCATAAACTATAAGGATAAGCTAAGCCTTATTAAGTACAAATCAATCTCAAAAAAAATATATTATTATAAATGGTGTTTTAGCAATTTTGCCTAGTGTATAAATACAAGAATTATCAACATATACACAATTCTTATATGACACTGTAGGTATACATGGAAATACACATTGATTTATTTTATTGTTAACTTTTGACAGAAGTAAGTGCAGTATATTTTTATGCCCTTTTCCTATGTCATACAGGTGAAGGCTTTCATGGTTCAGGTTGAAGGTCTGGAAGCTGGATACAAATATCAACAGTCTGGAGTAATCCATGGAATTACAGGAAACATAGATCCTTTTGGATTGTAGTATGTATCGCAGGGAGTAATACATGTAATGTAGATGTAAAAGGTACTGTACAGCAGGAAAATAACTCGCGGAGTTAATATTCGCTATATTCGCGGAAATAAAAATTCCGCAAATTCAACATACAGTGAATAGTTCTTCAAAAATTGATAAGGATAATTTGAAATATCACCGATATCTGTGATTAGATTCGTTAACTCTGTTTGTGTTTCCTTGCAAACATAAAATCAGTAATTAATATATAGCGGAGATGTAGATTGTCTTGCTAATTATGCGGGTGTACGGATTAATTACTAACACGTAGTTGTTGTTTTAAAGCTTAATTGATAAATAAACATCTATAACTAACATTTGATTCTGCCACCCAGTAGCGGTGTGACATAATTATCTATAAAACATGTATTGTTAGATTTCACCTGTGTGTATCACTCAGTCTTATTATCTTTAATCAAGGCACATACATAGTAAAGACAACAATGTTAAACATAAATTCAGTTTTATTAACAGTTCAACATTTTGAATGTTTGGGATACTACTTGAAATCACTTGAATAAATCACTCGAGTATAGACTCATATGTATTTCAAAAATATTTAATAAAAAGAAAGAAAGAAAACAAGAGAAAGAAAGAAGAATATTTATCTGAATGCGTAACATTGTAAATCGTACAACATTCTGTCTTCCAATCGGGATCAGTACAGTGTTAATCGGGTTCAGAATCAACACAGTATGCAAGGAAAATGCTTGCAGTGCTGAAAAAGTTTTTGTATACTAGTTATTTTTCCTTTCCGCAAATTCAAAGATCGCGATTTGCTGCAACTTGAACAAATCGCGATCTTTTCCGACCACGATTTTAACCTGCTATACAGTAACATTTAACTTATAGATTTATACTGAAACTATATTGTATGAAAGGAGAGGTTTACTTGTATTGCTCTGATTTAAAGTGAGTTTAAACTTAATTTGATTGAAGTACAGTAAAACATGCTTAAAATGAAAAACCAGGGATGGCAATTTTGTTTCGTTATAAACGTAATTCGTTATATCCATTAGCTTCACAATATATTTAAAACCCACAGGGAATGAAAATTGCTTTGCTATAAGCATCAATTCATTAGAGAGTGTTCGCTATAAGCGTATTATACTGTAGTCTGTCGATCTTTATAACTAGACTACACTTGAGTAAGTAGTATTAGAGACCAGGAAATAGCTTTTATAGAAAAGTTTATGAGCATTTGAAGTTTATTTTGATGACTAAGCATGTCTGTTGTTTGATGTCTGCACAGCTATAGTTTTTAGAGAGATATTTAGTTAGATTTTGTGATGATGGAGTTTATTTATTTAGCGTTTTCAATATAAAACTTAGCCAAAGTTTATAATACTATGCCTTCTCTCAAGGTTAAACAGACTATAGGGTAGGTTCTGTAAACAGACGAAGAACATTTATTTTATTTGCTTTACAGTTTTCTTCAAGTGGGAGGGGATTTAGAGGACTTGGAGGCAGCATTGGGAAAAGAAGATGCAAAAAGAGTACGGGGATCTGGGTCATGTTCTGCTCTCATCAAAATGTTACCTGGAAACAAAGACTTGTATGTCAGCCATGACACATGGAACTCGTACCAGAGTATGATCAGAGTCCTAAAGAAATACAGCTTCTCTTATCAGAGAAGTTCAGGAGGTATGATATTATCCATTGTACAGTGAAACATGCTTATAGCAATCATACTTATAGCTGTTTCCTGCTGATTACAGTTAAATTTTGTTAATAAGAAAACTGCACAGTAGCAAAAATTGAATGTCTGTTTCTAATAAAACAAAACGTCAAGTTATTTCTATAACTTCGCCCTGACTGTATTATTCTGCGTAGTTAATTTCCATTAGAGATGTTGAAAGCTTACATAACACAATCAAAATCTTAAGGGATTTTCTTCCAAAAATCTGTATTCTTGCTATCTTAATCAGCCATTGTTCTTATAGACCCATTGTTCTAACAAATCAAATGACAGTAAGAATAAGTGAAATGATTTTCATGGAAGATTTAAATATTTTGTAATGACTAATGACTGTCTTCTGATGTGTAACAGGCACTATTCCTGGCCACACAATGACGTTTTCATCATACCCCGGGACTCTAATGTCAGGAGATGACTATTACTTGATAAGCTCAGGGCTGGTAGGTCATCATCTAAACTAGACATACAATCATATCATTATATCCAGACTAGCATTTACATGTACTTGTTATCTTGCTTTCTATTCTTTTAGTTAATTTCTACCAAGTCAGATCATAGTTCTATGCATTTTTACAACGATGTTAAATTTATGTTGTTTTTTTTTTTGTCTTCCTTTATAGAGACTTAATAAAATATTTTATCTTTTTTTAAGGTATCATTGGAGACAACTATAGGTAACAGCAATCCTGCTTTGTGGCAATACATCTCTCCTACTAATTCAGTGTTAGAAGGCATAAGGACCATGGTCAGTAATTATTTGGCCAGCAGTGGAAACTCATGGGCAGATCTCTTCACACAATACAACAGTGGCACGTTAGTATCAGTCATCTTTTGGGGGTGGGGTGGGGTGGTGGGGTGGGGTGGGGGTATTGTTTTTTACTGAATGATATGTCTTTATCTCAGGTGTATAGATTATTGCTGTATACAAAGAATTGTCATAAGGCTAGATCTGGGTGAAAATAAATTAAATAGCTGTGGATATGTATCATAATGTATGAAAACTCTCTGGAAAATTTGCTTTCTCATATGTTCAAATTTTTATTACAAATATATTGTAATCTAATTTTTAAGAAGTTTTCAGCAAAGTGTATTTCTGAAAATTGCTGATCTCCAATGAAAGCTGGCTGATTATTTCCCACTGCATAAAACATACAGTGTATTTATATCTTCATCTTTAATTAGCTACAATAACCAGTGGATGATCGTGGATTACAAGCAGTTTATGCCTGGTGCAGCTAATATGACAAACCTTCTCTATGTTGTTGAACAAATTCCGTAAGTGTTGTGCTTTTAGATTGTATTAAGAGAGGAATTGTTGTTATTCTCAACCATGGAAAAAGATTTTTTTTAAATCCAAAAAACGTTATAGACTGTAAACTAATGCAAGTTATCCCAATTCTATTTTTTTCAGAGGAATGATGGCTGCAGAGGATAAAACAGATTTAGTTCTTAAACAGTCATACTGGCCAAGCTATAACATTCCGTAAGTTCTGAAACAGTCATACTGGCCAAGCTATAACTTTCAGTAAGTTCTGAAACAGTCATACTGGCCAAGCTATAACATTCCATTTCCTTATTAGTTTTTATTAGGAGTTCAAAAAAATTTAATCAACTGAACTACTGAAAAACATACAAGTATATATCAAAATATTGTTGATTTTAGGTATTTTCCATCCATTTTTAATATGAGTGGTGGGAATGAGCTTGTTAAGAAGTTTGGAGAGTGGTTTTCCTACAGTGGAAGTCCTCGAGCCAAAATTTTCAAGAGGGATAACTCCAAAGTCACTGATCTAAAGTCCATGATTAGTTTAATGAGGCAAGTATCTTCAGTCTCTTTTACTTGCGATTGACACCTGTATAATATCTGATTACAAAACATTCTCAATGGAAATTTAAATCAATCCCCATGCTACCAAGTTATTTGTCATATTGATCAGTTGTAAAAATAAAGCTGTGCTTTATGTGCTAATGAGATGTAGGCTACATTGGGGTTGTTGAGCCTTGTTTCAAGCTCAGTCCTTATTATCAGTCTGAAAGATTTTTTAATGGTAATCCTTGATAATATCAATCAGTATTATTGAGATCAGCTAGGGTGATTAACTTGCTGCATACATTTCAATTCAGCTTCCATATGTGACGATCAGATATGTTCCATCTAGATAGCTCAGTGAGCACCTGACTGGAGTTAAGGGGGAAGGGGTTCAGTCCTCATCCTTTCAATCCTTTCTCCCTTCCTGTAACACATAAATAATATATACTTATGTCTGTTTTTTTTCTCACACCCTAGGTACAATGATTATACTCATGACCCATTGTCTCGCTGTAATTGTACTCCTCCGTACAGTGCAGAGAATGCCATCTCCGCCCGTTGTGACCTCAATCCTGCTGATGGAAAGTATCCTTTTGGAGCTCTGGGTCATAGGTCTCATGGAGGCACAGATATGAAGGTACATGTACTTTTCTCAATATCTTTATGTGAAGGGGATTCAAATAAAGGCAGTGACTCTTTCAAGGGGAGATGATTAAGAATTAGTGAAAATTTAATGGCATCTTTTAAAGAACCACTGGGCCAGAAATGATGAAGCTTATATGAAAGCTTTATTAAATATTGTAGATTCAAGTTCATTCAAATCATGACCCCTGGAGTTAGGCAATCAAATTTTTTACATAGGAACATTAAGAATCCTCTCAAAAACAGCAAGGCGATAATCAGAGATATTAATTTTTTTTTATTAGCTGACAAACAATGCCATGTTTAAAGACCTTCAATTTGTGGCAATTAGTGGGCCCACATATGACCAGCTGCCACCATTCCAGTGGAGCCTGGTGGATTTCAGAGACACTACCCCACATATCGGACAGCCAGACATGTTCAAATTTGACCCCATTGTGTTTGATGGAACAACAGATTTCAAACCATTCCAGAGATAAAAACGAATTTATAAAATGTGCAGATGGAGGGGATGGGTAATTTTGAACAGCTGTTGACGTATTCATTTCCTTTAAATTGAAGAAGGTACGTTTGTTATACACAAACTGTCAGTGACAGCATGAAGGAAATATGAGAGCAGCATAATGGAAACATGAGTTACATTACCTATTAATTTGAAAGCAATAGCTTTTTCAAGCAATTTGAGCCAAAATTGTTTATGAGCACATTGTTCAATGTATGAAAAATTTTCTAAGTAGTAAGCTTGTACATTTCTTAATTTGATTGTTGATCTCAATTATGAAGATTTCATATGTGATATTTATTTTTTATTAAACATGTAAACTTGAATCTTTATTTTAATGTTAAATTTAACTTATTTGCATGATGAGGTGTTTGACTTGAATGCATGCAACATTAAAAGACTAAAATATGAGCATATAATGTTTTACAAATATCATCAAGCTGCTTAAGAGGGAAATTTTGTGTGAACTGAACTTCATTGAACAGTAATTAAATACCATTTACTGAACCAGTTTACAAAACTGGTATGCCATATAACTGTAACTCTCTTTGATGTTAAATGTCAACATTAATGAAACCTTTTTGAAGTTGGCTGAACTTTTCTTTGGTCACATTTACAGGTTTACTTTCAGTTTTGTCATACCTGATATATTTACATCCAATTGAATATTTATCTCCTTTATTTCTTATGAAAACCAATCATTTATCAATATAACACCACTTAGCAAGCCACTTGTATAGATTTCATGAGCAGTGGTTCTTCTATCAACGAAACCTACTATGATGTTTAATGTGCTTAATCCAACTTTATATGATTATTTATACAGACATATAAACAATAAAATGCTTTCTTTGTTACGTAACCTGAGTGTGCAGTTTATGTATTTTTTCCGTAACAGCTGCAACATTAATTCCCATACAAACAATTAAAGAGAGCATTTTACAGATTAAAATGAAGGATCAATCTGTACAGTTTAATAATATGCATGTATGAACAGGGGGAAGGGGTTGAACAACTGCCTTATTAGCTATAGAAACTGATTTTACAGGTCTTGCATCCTCATCAGAATACTGTAGATTCCTAAATATATGCGAGGAATTAATTATCGCGTAATTACGCGAGAAGCACCACTCGCGAAATAAAATTTCTCGCTTTTATTTTTATGTTGCTGAAATCAATGTAAAACCCCTTGATCAATCGTCCACTCGCGAATTATCGTTCTCGCGATTTGACGTGAAAGAGCCATTTCACGATAATAAGTACTCGCGAAAAATAAGGAATCTACAGTACTAGTATTTCATGACATGTACTAGTTGTGGAACTCTTCTGTATGCTATACTCCTTTGCCCCATTTAATATTGGTGTGAATACATGTTGTGTTCTGCAATTGCTGATTACAGTGAGATTTTGTTATACATGTATAACCATTCTTGTCTTCAGAAGAGCAATATTGAAGCTTTATAAAATGCTAATTATAACTCCACTCTTACAGTCCTATCATTAGCAATTTCAACAATTGTCACTTCAATATTTGCTAAAAATTACATCTCACTACTTTGAAGTTTTAGATAACCTACTGCATTCATACAGTGCAAAAACGGTCAAATAGGATTGTAAGACTAAGCAAGTAGAGGGATTTGATAATGAAATTGAACAAGAGATGTTTGTAAAAAAACTTACACCCCCCCTCCCCAAATAGTTGAAATTTTTCAAAGTCCAAGGGGCATAACTCTGTCAAAAATTGCTCGATTCTACCCAAAACAGAACTTGACCTAGATATTCTTACGACAATTCTGTATACCAGTACCAAATTTCATTTCAGTATTTACAACCTCTGCAAAGAAAATGGAACGGCAACTGCAAATAATTGGAATTTTTCAAAGTCCAAGGGGCATAACTCTGTCCAAAATTGCTCGATTCTACCCAAAACAGAACTTGACCTAGATATTCTTACGACAAATCTGTACACCAAATTTGCATTTACAACCTCTGCAAAGAAAATGAACGGAAACTGTTGGTGGACCGACAGACAGCAGCAAAGCAAAATGCCCTCCCTCGTTCGAAGAGGGGCATAAAAATGATGATCATGAAACAAGTTCCCATTTTCCACTAGAATTTATTTCACAAAATGAACATTTTACATGATAAAATGATAGTACAACTGAATAATTTACTTGATGAATATGTATTATGTACAAAACAATAAACTCCAGTATGAAAGCTCACACTAAATTGGGGAACAATTCGATGAATGATTCTTCCCAGACATTGTCCGACAGACCCCCAGAAAAGTCACTATATGGGGACCCTGCTTCACTATAGTCACTGGCAATTCCAGAGTCGCTGCCTGAGAAATAATCGTCCGAGGACACAAGGTCCGAGTTGGGACCAATTGTCTGGGAGAATTTCCTCTTTTTGGAATGTTTCACTGCTGGAGGTGTGAGCTCAGACTGAAGTTTCTTATTCTGTTCATTTGGCAGTAATAACTGTCCATTTTGTGAAACTTCATCCATGGAATCAGGAATAGCCTGACGATGGAGGTCATCCTCAATAAGGCTTTCAATGTCATTGAGAAGATCAATATTTATCTCAGGTAACACATTCAACACTTCTTTTTCCAAGTCCACAATATCCTCAATACACAGAATGGGGGACTCCTCAGTAACTGTCCGAACACAGTCTTCTTGCAAAGCAAATTCAGTTTTGATGTCTGGAACAACACTCTCAGAGTCTGTTTTATTTTCAACAGTAGAAGAGACACCTGAATCGATAATGACCTCCATCTTGGGCTCTGGGGTGAGGGGCTCTATTTTGTAATACTCGTGATCAAATTTAATCAGTTCATTGATGGATTCCAGTTCTGCTGGTGACGGCCCCACCACTGAAGAATTGGGTCCAGCTTGTGTATCTTTTCTTGGCTTAATTTGGAGTTGGCATACAGATTTGACATTAGCATCTGTAGTTTTGTTGGTGGAACTTGCACTTTTGTGTACACAGCCAAGTAGAGACTGAAAATAAAGAATATATAGTTAAATTTTGACAAACTAAGAAGAAACATGGTCACAGCATAAAAAGTTAGAAGAGCATGTTGATAACGAAGGTGATGCTTACCACAGAGTTAAGACGTATGGCATCACTGGATGAGATGGGGGAGAAGGATGTCCCTGCGGCAGAGAGACAAAGGATGCTGCAGATCCCGAGGTCTCCTCCTCCATCTTAACCAATGACACGTCCGTCCCAAGGCGCTCCTTCAGTGACGAGTTCTCATTCATCAGCTCACTGGACCGCTCTTTAAGGCTGCTGTTCTCTCTTTGTAGACGTTTGTTTTCTTCCATTAATTTTGCGACTTGTATTTCGAGGTCAGACATGATGGCCTTCTTCCTATCACGAGCTGTCTGGGCTGCTACTCTGTTTTTCAGTTTTCTAAAATATAAAATAATCCTTTTTATTTTATAAATAAATAATAGCATTGCATTATATAAAGTGTGTTCTTTACTATGGCTAAGTCTTTCCATATGTTTCAGTGTTAACTGGAAATGGGTGGGTGGGGGGGGGGGTCAATCACGGAAGTATAATCCTTTTTAAAGATGACATTTTTTAAAAGTTACCTTCTCATGAGTTTTTCCTCTGGGGTGAGATGGGTCAAACGGCGCCTCTTCCTTGGAGCCCCATCCTGTTCGTCAGAGAAATACTCCATTTCCTTAGGCGACTGAATAGTGACAGGCCTGGGCTGAGTTTTCCCTGGAACAGTGGCTATAACGATCGTTTTCGGGGTCAGTAGAGACATTTTAATTTTTTGCGGTTCGTTTTCCGTTAAACATTGCAGGCTGTTTGCCGTCGTTGGGCTAGTTTGGGTATTTTCTGTCTATGTCATTGTAGTCGTTGTGTTCTGATCGATGCAATAATCCGGAAGTGCTGATGTGTCTCTTCTTCTATGGATTTCGCGAAATTGACGTCAAATGATGCTGAATTCTGATTGGTCAGCTAAATATAGAATGACGTTTAGCGTCTTTCCATGGTTCAAGGTCTATCTGATGCAACTAATTTTTGTAGGCGGATCCAACAATTATTTTTCTACAAGGATCGATTTGTTTCATAGGCACTCCCCAGCTTAATTGTTAAAAAATATATATCTACTATACTATAAACATAATATGTTATGTTTATAGTATAGTAGATATATATTTTTTAACAATTAAGCTGGGGAGTGCCTATGATTTGTTTATGAAATTTTTCATCAGACTTTCAAATTAATGCCTCTGTTTATATAAAATGTGATGTGTAGTAGTAACTAACGTTAGACATTATTTTCAATTTATATTTGTTTACAATTTCTTTTCAAACCTTTAATTAAATCCTACACGTTGAACAGCCTTTACCTGTGATTTAAACAAAAAGTGTTACATAGGAAATAAAAAAAAAAGTAAGGCTAGTATAGATAACTCTGGAAATTCTTATACTTTGTAATCACTTTAAATTCGGGGGGGGGGGGGGGGGGGGTATTTTCATGGTCTACTATTATAATAGTTATTTGTCAATGAATACAATTACAAAGTTTTGATCATGGGGATGTAATTTCATGGATAAGGGTGACCAATGAAATCAATGAACATTGCCACTGGCCCACCACATATGAAGATTCTACAATATCACTATGATTCAGTAATAAAATGTTTATCTTCATTATTCATCAACAGTTTCCAGTTTTTGCAAGACACACTATTTTTATTTGAAAATTATCACAATTACCTAAAACTAATCATACTCAATTTGTGAATATGACTAACTTAATTAATTTAAGCATTCTTTGCAAAGATAACAGAGAAATTTGTGAATATGGCCAACTTAAAAAGTAATCTTTGCACATGTAATAGATAAAAAGTTGGAGAATCTTCACGGGAAAAAAATCAGTTCTTTCAGTGACAAGATTCACATAACAACAACTTCATTTACAAAGCTTTTATTGTCCTGAAAATTACTAGTCTTTTCAGCAATAATTTAATAATCTTGCAGTATTATTATCATTCCTAATTTCACTGCATAATCTTTATAGTACATACAAAAAGGTATGCAAAATCCCACAGACTAGCAATATACAAACAGAATACATGTACTTTTAATTTTTCATAAATCTCTCTTTCATCATTGAAACATTTAAACTTAATTTATGTTATTTCATTGGAAGACAATCTTGCTGTAGACAAAAACACAGAATACCTATCAAAATAGCATGCTACTACACATATTTTTATCTCCATTTTATTAGTGTTTAATCAAATTGAATATGGATTTCATTAATCTAATACTTGCACCAAAAACGTTAACATGTACTACTAAACTTCACACAGAATCCATTACTCAAGTCTAAATCACAGAAGATGATTATAGCTTCCACTAACTTGATTCATACAGATAGTCATTTCTTGAGTTGAAATTACACAAGAGTCAAAGAAATCTAAACAAACAAACTCATGAACAGGTCCATCAATGTACGACATAAATATATGAAATCAAAGATACATAGGTCAATTATCATCATCTAGAACTCTAATTTTTTTTTTTAAATTAGAGAATGCAACACCTTACTGACAGCATTTTTTATATTCGAGGATCAAAACCACTCCTTAAAATTCTAGTTGCATTAGGTCCATCTAAAAGTTTCAACTTTTAGATGCGGACAATACAGAACAGGCATTTGTCTTTGCTTGGAAAATTTTCTGCTGACTTTACTGCTGTGTCATATTAATTGGACTTGGAACCACTCTCCATGGAGGAACGGAATTAGCAATCAGAATAATAGTGATATCTCTTGTAAATATTTATGAATCTCAATCCACGGAAAACTTCCCGGTTGCACTTTATAGCATTGCAAACTAACAAACAATCATCTTCAGCATAAATAAAGCCAAATTGCCAATTATTTCTCATGAAATTAAACAGCACCAGTTTTAACATGCTAACAAGTAACGAGTATAATGTACATTTGTATATGAAAGATTTTCTCTCCATTTGGTGGTCTTTGTAAAAATTGATGCTGGATTTAGATTTTAAAAATGCTTCAACTTTACATACAGATGTACAGGAATCTTAACTTTGACTAACAGTTGTAAAATGTATATAAATTATCTTAACAGCACAGCACCTATGTAATTATAATTCAGTAATGACATGAATCATATGAACACAGCTCTTTATAAGACTAGATTTCTGTGTTATTTAAGCTTCCTATTGAATTTACATGTGCAATATTCATCAATGTACTAATTAAGAAAATAAATCCTGTAATTCATCCAGCACTCCATGGTACATGTATTTCCATTCAGTAATATTAGTATATGGCACCAATACAAAAATGGAGCAATTTTATCTTCTCACTGTGCACAGCATTTCTACTTTACACACTTAAATTACAATCTGTATACATGTACAGAAATTAGGAGCAAACGTAAGATTGTCACTTCTCCTTTGGAACAGTACATGATACAAATGGTAAATATTTTATGGCGCTTAGTTTCACCCTAAAATTGTTGCTGTTTTTAGGAAACAAAATGTGCATAGCACATGTATTGTATATCATATACATGTGTACATGACATTATAAGATGTAACACAGATAGGTGTATAACATATACAAAAAAGCAGATTGGAATGTCAATATTAATGAGATTCTGATTTTTCAGAAAAATATTATTTACTGGTACATGTATTTGCTTTTTTATATTAGAATACAATAAACAAAAAATATAGTATCTTATATCATATACATGTGTAAATGACATTAACAGATGTAACACAGATAGGAAAACAGAATAACTAATTCATCCTTAAAAATCTTTCTATCCAATAATCATTTGGCTGCCTTTAACACCAGAAATCACATTTTAAAAATATAAAAAAAAAAAACAGATTTATTCTATAAACATATCTACGATATTTCAACATACTGTACGTGTACATAAATTGATGTATTCAAAATTTAGCGAAATCACTGGGTATTGAGTGGTTGGCGTAATAATGAATTAGTGCTAAACTCGTCCGCGCCGTATATAGTATTTATAAGACTTATTAATGGTATTCAGGAATTAGTGCATTATTGTCTGCACCAAAGCCGCTAAAATATGAAGCTCGCTTTTTTAAGTACACATACAGGATACCATATTAGCAGTATTTAAGAAAGTGCCTGTAAGCCTTTACTCTTAATAACTGTACACATACAATATACCATATTAGCAGTATTTAAGAAAGTGCCTGTAAGCCTTTACTCTTAATAACTGTAGACTAAACAATCATATATAAGTCAGCTAGCTGTGAAGGGCACGTCTAATATTTTCTGTTTTGTTGGTTTTCTTATAGCATGGAATGCTGGGATGAAGTTATTTCCCCTAGAAGCCGCTGTCCCTGGTAAACTGGTGCTCCACATTGATTCCTCCCCAATGTAAGATCTGTTTGTCTGGGTTTTCCTCCCATTTACCAACATCAAGATGAAGCTAATATGAAAGAAGAATAGTGATTACTTCTTGCACACAGAACAATTTTGTTTCTTTTATAATGCAATGTTTGTTGTTTCATAAATATAAAGTCATGCTTAATTTAAGCCATTTGGAGTACCTTTCTTGCAGAATGTTTATCTGCTTCCTTTTTCTCCCACTGCTTCTGTTTGACTTGTTCCTCACGTATACACGAGGGTCCACACCCCCACATCTACAAGTACAGAATATCCAGACTTATACATGTAGCATCTTGACATTGTTATAATTTTAAGTCCATTAAGCAATGGCCACATCACTGTTCCTCTGAACAGGAATACTGTATATATTATCTAATGCTTATTTCTGACAAAATGGTCTTAAAGTCTGATAATTTTACAATCATAATGGAGAAACAGTTCCTAATAAACATCAAAGAATGATATACTACATCATGAGATAATATGTATATTTCTTTACCTCTATTTTGTGGAGAGCACAGTTCACTCCATAGTGTTCCACAGAGTCAAAATCTGCAGGAATAAATAGCACCAAAGATTTGCCTTCTTTACCCATATAAATTCCCTTACGTAGGTCTCGTGAATACTCATTCCAAGTTGCAAGGGGACCATTTTCTGAAATTAAATAACAGATAGTGCAAAAACTTTCAAATATTAAACACTGATAACAGTAATGAATTTTTGATTTATATATTGTTCATGTCATTTTCTTGATTTATTTCCATGTCTGGTGACACATGAACAACACTATTTTATGTAATATATCATCAGTGACATATATTTACTGTGAATTATCGTTTGTGAGAACTTTACTTTCATTGTATGAGAGACTGTCCACTCAAGAAAATTTCATTCTTGCGTATATTTATATGATGTATTACTTAAGTTAACATACAACATAAATCAAAATTTTGATTTTTTTTTTCTCATTTAAACATGTTAATACCATAAACTATCGTGTAAAATGGGACGTCACGAAAAATTGGTGATCATCATTATTTGAATTGTTGACAGTATCATTCTATCCTACATGCATGAAGATTCTAATCATGGTATATGTAAACTCACTTTGCATTACTCGAAATATTGGAGATACTTGGATCAACATGGTATCCTCTCCTCCAAACCGACTGGCTCCCTCTCTTCAATATAAAGTCATACATTTTTCAACACTTTATTTAACAGGTTTTTGTATCCAGATAGCTGCACTGTAAATTACTGCTTATTGAGATAAATGAATATTAGCATATCTGAAGGGAAATCAGACTGGACTTAGAGTTACTTCCCATTAGAAGATTTTTAGCATTCAAAATTTTACATTTCTGAATAGAGAATATTTGACATAGAATCATCTTCCAGATTTTCTTTCAAGGTATGACATACTTACCTCCAAGGTTTGTCCAGAGCCAGACAGTATGTGTTCCTTCCCTCAAATGAAATCAGTGTAATGGTCGGACCATGATATGATGAAATGTGGTGGTGAAATCTGCAAGGAGATAGATATTACACAGTGCATTCAATAATTTATGGACAGCAGTTACACTTACAAACCATTTCTCACTATCAAAATCCATTTAAATGTGTAACAAACTCAAAAAACGTTTTAGAAACATAATGGTCCTCATATCACAGAACATTATGTATGATTATGTATGCAGTAACACCTCTTTTCATAGCAAAACCATTTTTTATTAAACCAAAATGAGATGTACTTTACCTGTTATGAGATAGGCCATGTTCTCTGCTGTCATACAACAAAGTCCAGCTCTGACAGCGTGTCAGCTGAGCCTGTAATGTACAAAGTTTCATTATCTCAAATACATAGATATTTAAAGGAAAATACATGTACATAGATATTCAAAAGAAATGCTAAATGAAAGAGAGAATGAAATGACCTCTAAGAAGTGTCTAGTGAAGTTACCAATACTGTGATTGGTTAATGACTGTCAGATGAAGACATCCTATCCACAATCACTTTCATTTTCTATACTCAGTCATTCACCAAAGGTGACAAAAGGCCATGGGCCATTTTTGACCTACTTCCCTTGTTAGAAACTCATCACTATTCTCCCAGGTGGTGGAAGGAGGGGAACAATTCAAACACTACTAGCATTCTGAAGAATTGGTCTGGGTTAAGGTGGAAGGAAATTTATAACCAGAGGGAGGGTTTCTAATGAGTTAAAAATAATTTATAGGGAGGGGGATTATACTCACTAGTATCCTAAGGAGATGGTACAAGTTTAAAAGGGAAACAATTCATTCTATTCAGTCTCTTGATGAATTGGTTTGAATTCTGAAGGGGAGAATTAATACCCACAAGGATGTTGATAGTGACAGAATTGTGGAGGGGGGGGGGGATTTATACCCACCAGTCTCTTGATGAGGTGGAATGAGTTGAGAAGAGGGTTCTTTTCGCTGGTTTTCTGTTTCTCTTTTTTCTCCTTTTCCTCCTGATTGTGGGTGTAGGACTGTGGTATAACTGTGGTCAGCATCCACAGAAGTCCCATACTCATCACGTATTTATCCTCCACAAAACGCTCCAGCTGCGGAACTTTGGCAGTCTCCTGTAAATTACCGGGAGAAATATATTAAAAAATTTCAATTCATTCAAAATCTTGATGTTTTCAAGCATTCAGTTTATTAATTACCGGTAATAGCATATTTCTTGATAGTTATACTCAAATGAAGGTCCATTTGAAATGGGTATACCTTCAACCACAATGTATGATTTCAAAATTGATTTCAGAAGTAACTGTTTCCCCCTTGTTCAAACTGAAATATTCAAATTAGTCTGTATTTTCCCCTGTCAGAGACAATTTTCTTATTAAATTAGACAACTTCCCCAGTACAAGAAAAGATACTTATTTCAACGGTAATCATATTTCAGCACCTTTTGCGCTGCTTCTCCTCCACTTAAAATATTCATGTACATGCTAATACATGATTACACTTTAAAAACTCAAGCGCACAAATTTTTGATTGTGCTCATCACATGAGAAAGAAAATTGCACTGTTTTATTTTATGTACATTTACAGTAACTGTTCTCTAAAGGTCTGCTGTTGGAATGCTCTCATCATGACAGCCCCGAATAATCAAAATGACCCCAATCTTTGATATCAACATTGCAAAACTATTTACATCAGTAAGCTTAAGGTCGCCTAAAATTCCCCTGAATATGGTGGATAAAATATCAAAGCTCTGCAGACATCCTGATCATTTATGACCTTGTATTTGACACACATACATAATGTTTACCTGTCAAAAATGCATACTCAACCCCCTGAATAAATATTAACCACTTTTACAGTGATTATTATTGTCAAGGATATACCCTATTGTTTTATCTCTACTTACCAATTCCGAAGGCATCTTCGACCCAGTGAGGATCTGATACACCCAGTTGTGTACCCCACAGAACAAATGAGGACTATTCTTCTTTGACCAGGAGGTGAATTCATCAAAAGTCACCCTCTCATTTATACCAAACTGAAAATATATACATACAGCTAATTTTCATGTTCTTTCTCAATTCAGTAAGACTGGGTATTGTGAAATGTACATGTATTTACTTACTTGGGGTAGATAACATTAAGGATTAGAGTACCAATACAATTTTCTGATGTCTTGCAAATACAAAATTTCATATATGGCAAGAAGTTTTTTACAATTAACAGATTTAACAGATAATCTTATTACATATTCTATAAATTTTATCCCTTTAAGAGAAGCAGAAGCTGTGAAAAGAAAATATGATTCTGTTGAGACATCTTACCATTCCTTGTACCACCCCCTCAAAAATCGAGTCATCTGTGCTGCCTGTAGAGTATGGAATCATGGAAGCTGACAGGGTCAGGGCATAGGACACAGCGATCATCTGTAGGGCATCTACAAAACAACATTGTCATATAGCTATAAGACACAAAATGCACTTGGGTTTGGTGCATTATTTTATTTTAAAATTGCATTAATAAACAATCACTAATGCTCATTACAAACAATTACACTATCTGAATATATTTTAATATGGTGAGATACTTTAACATGAGATTCCCAACAAATTGAAATTAAAAGGACCATGGAGTTCAAAGCTCACCTGAGAAAACTATTACACCATAATTAAAAGATTAAAATTTCAATAGATCTTAATCAACAAAATATTGGGATCTGAATCAAGTTTACAAACTGCAGCCCTATCTTATAGAAGTAAATATTTTCAATGTAAAATTTTGATGACCTAGTGTGGATCAACCTAGCCCCATGGGCAATGATATATAAACTAATATAAATCTGCACTCTATAGTGATGATTGCATTGAAAATGATCAGTTGTACTTAAGCTTTTATGAGATGATTTTTGTTTTAAAATGTCCTATATACATGTATTCCCCAGCTGCAGAACTTCAGCTCTCTGGTTGAGAAAATTTGGACAGATAAACCAAAGAGCTACTGATCCACAATTTACACATATTAGAATTTACACTTAGTAAGACTACTCTCTAATTAAGTTTTATCTTTTCTGGCCTAGTAGTTCTTAAAAGGAAGATTTTTGAATGACTCCACCTTTTTTCATTATTTCTTAAATATTTCCCCTTGAAATGGAATATAGCCCTTTATTCTACTAATTCTGAATTTCTAGCCCAAGGATACTAATGCCAACTTTGGTTGATATTAGTCCAGTGGTTCTGGAGAAGTTTAAAATGTAAAAAAAACTTTACAGATGACATAACCGATAGTGGAAACAGAGACATATAAAAACCAGACACTCTTTGATCACAGTAGCTCACTTGAACCTTTGGCTCAGGTGAGTATCATCTCACAAAACAAGCTCCTGTAGATGACACATGGTCCTAAATTACTACAGTTCCAAAAGAACAAAATCAGTCATATTAAGAAAGGTACTGTTAAATACAATGTCAAGGATAACCAGCTTCCTACGATTAACTGAAACATTAACAACTTCCACCCTATAATCATAGGAATTGTCATTATGTGCATAAACAACAGAATGAGAGAAAATATTGATTCCTACCTTCCTTAGTGAGGTGATCCTTTCCACTGGCAAAAAGTTTAAAGTAGTATCGAAGCTGTGAGGATTCATCATAAAGTTTAAGTAGTTCCTTGCCAGCCTTGGTGAACTGTTCTTTTGTGATTCTTTCTCTGTCACCACTAGATGCCTGTCTAACCATCTGTGTGTACAGCAGCTTCCCAAACTTGTAAAGTGGCCCATGAAAGGCATTCTGAAAGTAGAATGGCATCCATTAAGTCTGTATCAGGCTAGATGACTAAGCAGGGAACATACAGGTCCAGCTGGATTAATAGAGGGAGAAAAGCACTTCAAGAAGCTAATTCAAAAAAGTAATTGTTCAAAAAATCTGGTACAGGATCAATGTCTCTTAAAAATTGGTATATACCTAAATTAATCTTAAAACAAATCTCAACATTTTTTAATACATTGCATTAAGAAGACTTTCATCTATATGAACTGACTAATCATGGTAGATACCCTGATAACCCTAACTGTAGCACAGGCACTTGGGGTATGGACTCCCACCCTTTTCCAATTTTTTTTTTTTTTTTTTTAAATACATTTTTTTACTTTTTTTAAAGCATGGCCAAACAAGGTAAATTTTGTTAGTGTGCATCAGCTGGCCTGGAAGTGCAAGAATGATAGACTTATGAAATGCCTTAAAATGTTTTGCATTTTCCCAGCCTATAGTAATAATAATATTGTGACATTTGGTTGCAAGGTTGTATGCTAAACGTTGATCTTCATGGATCCATCAGAGTCAGATACAGTTATATACAGAATTTTCAATTATTATAAAGAGAAAATTCAGAATTTTTTCTTGTCTCAATATTTTCGGTCATCATCTTTATATAACGTCATTCTGAGCATAAGTGACAGGTCCAGCTGATGGATTTATCCTAGATGCGAGTGATTTAATTGAAATATTTACAATTCGGTGGCACTTGAAATGAAATGGAAGAACTAAAGAAAAGGACAATGTGTAACAAATTTACTGAGGTATTTATATTTCATATTTTGTCATATGCCTTAGATACACAAACACATGAAATTTAAGTGAGGCAGATGACCAGGAAAGAGCTGCAAGCCTTATCTCTTTTAATCATTCGAAAACAATATATTTAAAATCAGCTCATAGAGACAAAAGTTTACATTATCAATGACATGCAATGCATATTAGAAGAAACAAATAGGGGAAAAATTGTGTTGATCCCATATTTAAAAAGAAAAAAATTGAAAGGGGGGCCATACCCAAAATGCCTGTGAACTGTAGAACCAAATGACTAACATTCAAAAGCAAAATTAATGAAATGCCTTAAAATATTTAAGGTTTTTCAAAGCTTCAGTTAAGAAATTTAAAGCTTTCCTTGAATGCCCCTGACAAACCTCAATAAATGAGATTTTTTTCTCCAGAGTCCATGTGTTGAAAGTATTTTATAACTAAAGAGTTTAATAAAAAACAGTTTTATCACCTCCCAGTGGAGGACACTGAACTTCCAAAGGTCATGACCCATCTGATCCCTCACTACCTTACTGAATAATTACCTCTCTCACTACTCTTACATTTTTTTAAAAATAATTTTTAGTTTATTTTTAGTATTTCAATTCACAAAAAAGAAGACTATGGCATGTTTAATATTAGTAACACATTTTACTCTACATTTAAAAAATAAGGGAAGTATCTACAATATGTACATAGTATTATCTGTTGCTCATTGATAACCCCATTTTTTTTCAGGCTGGTAAGCTACAGCTCTGGAAGAAACATGAAAAGAATACTCTTCATAATAAATGAAATTTAAAAAAAAAAATGTAAAAAATAATAATTAGAATTGGCTAAGGACTTTTATTTTTTCTACCATGTCTACAATATAAAACATCTTTCTACTTCATGAATGGTCTCAAAATTCTTTTTAAATAGAATCAGATTCATTTGCAGGCTGAAGGGAGGCATAACAACATTAGCTAGAAGACATGTTTCTACTTAGTCTGTCAAAACTTGATGATCCTGAAACAAAAATCAGCTCCTGATCCAAATCAAAACTCACCTCAAAAGTAGCTCGACTCAGCTCCCCTGGATGTCGATTCTGTTCATCGGCTGTCAACTCAAGTTTCTGAAAAAAATCACAGATATTCATTTTTTTTTTTGGCAACCAAACAACAACAGAGCAACAATTAAGCAGGTCCAATGCAGAATTAGTTCTAGCTAAGACTAATTAATTAATGCTCTAACCATCCACTTAATTATTGCTCTACTTATCAACAACACCTGTGCGTAAGCCTGCATTAAAAAGGTTCAGGTACATGTAAATATCATGTCTTTTGTATATTATGTAAATAACAAGTTTTTGTGAATATTTTTTCATAGTATCATAATGTTTGGCATCTGTTGAAAAACTTCCTCACATTCACAAATGATAATGGGTTTTGTCAGTTCATTAACTGTAGTTTTGACAGAACTTGATGTTAAATTCAGAACAAGAGATTAACATGGAACATTTTACTATCAGTATTTCAATTCTACAAGTATTAGAGTTTTTGTTAATCATGCAATTCTACAATTATTATAAAATTTATTATTACATGTAATAACAAAGACTTGAAAATGTATTTGAATGCATTTGAAATGAAAGGTTTATTATTTAGTAAGACATTTGATTTTCCATGCGTCAACAACTGTCATAGGAAGGAAATGACAAATCATTTGTGAACACTTTATGCAGTTTCAGTTGGCACAGATCAATATAAGCTGGACTATAAAAACTGACTTATACAACGCAGTTACTGTAGCATGGGAATAACAAAAAAACACTTGTGTTCCATGAAATAACTACAGCAGTCTATCTGAAAACATGATCAATTCTTCCTTGTCAGAACAAAAATTCAGCAGGACATCTTCACACCAAATTTTACCCAGTCCTTGTCATAAATGATTGTCTACATAATAAAAATGAACATGATGAATAGATTAAATCTTATGTAGGGTTGGAAAAATATATTCAGGGCCAGTTAACTGAATGCCTTGTAAAGCACCAGTCCAAGCAATGGACCATGAATCAATCTTCTCAATCATTGGTCAAATAGAAAATTGAAAGATATTTTCTGACCAGCAAAACTCAATTTTTATGTCTTGACTGATTTAGCCAAGAAAATAAAAAAAACCCCAAAAAACATGAATTGTCTAGTCCTGTGTTAGGTAGGTAAAAAATAAGCATGTCCTATGAGTGAGCTCAAAATATTACGAGTATACTACATGTATGCTTTAATTGTCAGTGCAGAAAAAGTCACTTTTATATTTAAAGTGGAATTGGGTCTTTTTGTCCTATCGACCTGCTCGCACGAGTCTGTTCGCCCAAAGTCCATTTGACATAATTCTCGTTCATCATGTACCCTGTTTCCTAGCTACCAGTCACCCTATTGTAAATATTATGTTAATATTTCTGTTGAATTTGAATTAAGTCATTTCTTATTATTCTTTTTTTATTTTGTTAAGAGATTTAGTGGAGAATTTTTATTTCCTTTCAATTAAAAAATTGACAATTGTTTATCAAAGATACAATTTGTAAAAGACTGTAAATAAGGAAACCTTCAATCTTTCTGAAAAAACAAAAACAATCAGTGTTATGTTTTGAAAATAAAAAATGGAGACTTTAATAGGCTATTTTGGGGCTGAGCAGCGGTTTAATCTTTGAAGACTTTTATTCTCATATTAGAATATTTACCTGGGTAATACATCAGAAATCAATTACTACAGTTAAACCAGAAGTCTCTGACGTAGTGCTACTGGTTTGAATTTATAACAAAGGAAGAGAAAAGTTGCACTTGGACTTGAAACTTTTCAACAGCAATAAATAGAATAATGATCCTTGGTTTAGTCTCTTTTTGTGGCAAGATTTATTGTAATCAGAGTAAAACTGTAGTAAGAGTAGCATTTTAAAGAATTTTACAGAAATTTCCATTTTAGTAACCATGGCAACATCATTTTCAAAATAAAAAAAAAATGATAAAAACAATTATGTATATCAGTGTAGTCTACTTGCATGCCAAGTTAAATTAAAATTAGATCAAACTGTAGGAAGAGAAGTCTTTTGAAAGTATTTCAAACAAACTTCTTTTTTTGTAACCATGGCAACACCATTCATTGAAATAAAAAAAAATTATATTCAAAATAATGTATCTTATTGTTGTCTATCTGTGTGCCAAATTATATTGAAATCAGACCAAAACTGTAGGAGGAGTAGTGTTTTGAAGGTATTTCACACAAATTTCTATTTTAAGTAACCATGGCAATGCCGTTCATCGAAATCAAAAACAGATAAAAAGAATTATGTATCTTAGTGTAGTCTAAATGTGTGACAAATGATATTAAAATCACACCTAATCTGTAGGACTAGTAGCTTTTTGAAAGTATTTCACACAAATTTCTCTTTTCAGTAACCATGGCAACACTGTTCATTGAAATCAAAAACTAATGTATGGAATTTTTTACTTTTGTGTAGTCTACTTGTGTGTTAAGTTACATTGAAATCAGACCAAAACTGTAGGATAAGTAGCGTTTTGAAAATATTTTACACAAATTTCTATTTTTAGTAACCATGGCAACACCATTCATCAAAAACCGATACACAGAATTATGTACCTTAATGTATTCTACTTGTGTGCCAAATTATACTGATCTCAGACCAAAACTGTAGGAGGAATAGCATTTTTGAAAATTAAATGTTAACAGACAGACAGTCAGACAGCTAGACAGACAGACGGCAGACACCTTACTCTCGCATAAGCTCTTCTGGCCTCTGACCAGTAGAGCTAAAATTATTCTATTAAAATTATTCATTTTGTGCATGCACGAATTATTTTTTAACATATACTGTATGTAAAAATTTAATGAATCAGGGTTCTCCACATCTGAAAATTTAACCATGGAGCAAGCCAAGTAAAAGCAAATTTTTAACAAAAGCATTAATGCATGTTAATTTGACTTTCTAAGCTTCAATAATCAATGGCTGATTTCATTTAAAAATTTTTACCACTGAACCACTACAGTAGGAGCGTTTTTAAAGAATATCAATTTTTTAAAACTACAAATTAGTAACCATGGCAACAATGTCAAATTTTATTCAAGAAAACTAATAAACAAAATTGTTGTTACCTATATTGTATGACACTTTTTAAAAAGAAAATCTTTATTTAAATCAGGCTAAAACTGATGAAGGAGTAGTATTTTTAAAATAAAGGTTTACAAATACAAACGAACGGATGAAACGAACACCGACATCGCCTTACACAAGCCCTTTGAAAACTTATTGATGGTATACATGGTATAAGTATCAAAACGTAATATAACCAGGGGCATAAATATGACATAAATATAACTGTAATTTCGTTCTCTTCTCTTCTTTCTAAACATTTTTTCTGTCCGTATTTCTCGCCAATTTTCCTCTATTATTTATTTTTCCACGTGCTCCAGTGTAAAAAAATAGCCCCACATGACTTTTTATAAAAATAAGAGGTAACTCTAATGCATGTAGACTTTTTGATCAGCATTCATGTACTTCATGTACATTTACAGGTAATAAAAGTAAAGTTAAAACAATGCAAAGGTGAATGGATTAAAAAAAAAACACAAGGCAAAAGGACAAATTTTAAAGGATGAATATTCTTTTTGGCCACAGAATAATTTGGATGCTTTTTTTCTGTTATTAGACACACCATTACATAACTGCGCTGAGTATTATATAGTGAACACCTTAGAATTCATTCAAATTATATGTATATAGGTGTACAGGAAAATAAACTCTTACAAGGAGATATCTGCTCATATTGATCATAAGCTGATTGACTCTCAATTAATTGTCATGTTTCACAGCATATTTCCCTTTCAACAAACATGTTTTAGCACAATTTGCTTTCTCTCCAGTGTTTTGACATTGATCCAACTTCTAAGCGTACAAAATGTAAAGGAACCTTGTAATCTCAAAAAAATTTTTATATGAAGCCCCCAAGAGAAGAATGAATCATTTGTAATTTTAATTGTTTCATGATTACAATTACCTGTTATAACGTCTTATACGCTTGCTATTTATTTATTTATTATACTCACTCTCATTTTGTTACACCTTATATTACTGTATATATGTTAGTTATTGCTATATGTACTCTGATGTGTCTTATGACACAAAGATTAGAAATAAAGAACTTGAACTCAATGGTAGTATAAAAGAGAATATTAATTTACATACTAAAATCCATATTATATGTCATATCAGCCCGAGTGGCCCCATATCAGCCCGAGTGCGGAAGGCCCGAGGGCTGATATGGGGCCCAAGGGCTGATATGACATATGATATGTTTTTCAGTATGTAGTATTCTATTTATCATATATTTAAAATACTTAATATGCGAATTCATATAAAATCATTGAAGAATGTTTCGTGTATGTTTATGACCTTTTTCTTTAAAATCTAATAAAGCAAATTGAAAACAAATTAAGTCCACAGATGTTAGTAAAGCCATATCGCACAGTGCAGAATCCGTGTATTTTCTACTAAGTATATGATAAACACAATAATCTACTCATATTAGTAGAAAGTAGGTGTCAATACTAAAATACAAAAAAATTTAATCACGGCACTCGCTGATTTTGGCCATTGCGCAGCTTATTTAAAATGTTTAAACCATGATTATGGTGAGCCATGGTAACCCCTTTGTGGAGAACCCTGATGAATCATAATCATACAGAAAAAAAATCTTGAATTTAATAAAATCAACATAAATTAAAAAAGTTAACTGACTAAAAGATTCAACATAAAAGAGGGCGAACACACCTTGGGCGAGTGTGTTTTAGAGCGAATGGACTTGGGGAACGAGAATTAAGCCGTTCATTTTAACTTCTATCATATACATGTCTGTTTTATGAAAACATTTTTAATTATGACACTTAATGAATCGTTTTTATTCCATCTAGTTAAATCAGGAGACAAACAATTTCACTAATAAACTCGTTTACGTTACACTTGTAAAGACTTTTGACAGTTATTAACTTATTATATTATCTTAATATCACTTGGTGAACCTGGAAGAGCTTGATGAGACAGGCTGAGTTTAACTTTGTGCTTGATCCAAATATTGAAGACCTGGATGGGGCGCTGCCACCGTGAGATTCTGGGTTAGGCTTGGCTTTATCGTCATGATGTGTGTGGTGGTTACCCATCAGTTGTCGCCCTTGCCAACTGATTCAGTGATAATGTTAATGCAATAAAAATAACTTTTCAAAGATACTATTTCACTTGTACACAGTATAATCCTTTAGTTCCTTCATTCTTGATCATCAATAACATAATTTACGATCAGATTCCTTGGTTGCCTACTTGAAGTATTTGTACTGTCGAAGTTTTATCAGGAAGTTTGAAAGATACGTCTAATCAGCGAAATAGTAGTCATTTTGAAGAGCTGTGCCAGAACTAAGAAAATATATGCTAAAAACAAAAATTCTACCGTGGTATGTGTATTCATATTATTATTGTCAAAACAGAAATATTCTAACAATTTCATAGATTATTGCTAAATCACACTACGAGCTTTCCATTCATACATTGCTCCCTTCTTTATTTTTCTGACCCCCCCCCCCCCCCCACGCGCGCGCACATACACACGCACGTACGCACGCACTTGTACCTCTTTTCTCCCTGGTTTGGTTTATATGTCTAAATCATGTTAAAAAAATAGTATTTTACATTTAATTTTATACAGAACACGGTCGTACTACCCACCCTGGAACCTTGAAATATGACTTAAATAAAATACGAATTTATTGTAAATGGGATACTGGTTTTTCTTTACTTTCTTTATTTTATTAGTATTATTTTATAAAAAATTTTGCAAATATTAAGTAATTATGATATATTTTTTTAATTGAAAATATTTTTATTTATTTAATTTTCTATGACGTTCCTATCATGACGCATTCTTACTCAATCATATCCTTCTACATGTACTTGTTTATGTGATTACCGAATTTTATCTTTTTAAACACACAAAAACAAATATATACGCCCAACTTTAACAGATTTATCCCTGGGCGAAAAATATTCAAATTTAATAGTATTTCTAAATTTTAAAAACCCCCACATAAATCTTTAAAAATGAGAGAACATTGCAGTGTTTTATATATCTAGGATTTTTTTCTCATTCAACAATTTTTCTCAAGGTACATTTATGCAAATAAAATAATTATAGCAAGTTTCACTCATTTATAACGCTTTGTCCATGGATGGGGAACCATGGTTTGTTTGTCAGATAGGTTTCATTTGGAGGAACTATAGTATTGAGGAAATTAATATTGAATTTTTTTATGAAATTTTTTTTTCATATAGTTCTCTCAGTCTCAAATTACGAACTTCCCAGTTTGGATTTAAAAAAGTCTTCCTGTGTTCATGCAAGCATATGGTCTAAAAACATTATCACACTGTCGTAATTTGCTGATTTTAGCATGCGCTAGTCATATTTGATCACTGTATCACTACGCCTGTGTAAATTCATATTGTTTTCATGGAAATTTTATTGTTTGATTTATTGTGAAAAGCTTTTATTCAATAATTCATTATATCTGTATTTAAATAACATGCATGGTGACTTACATTCAAAAATTATCAAATTTCGCGAACTATTTTTTTTTAATGAAGCATAGGTGCTTGCGTTATGAGGTCAATGGAGGATACCAAACAGTTTTTAGTGCCGAAAGACTTGAATTTACACTGTGAACTTCAGCAGTTATGAAAAGTAGAGGTTACCAGGGAATATAATGTCGAGTAGACTCATTCCTGCAATATGTGCCTGGGGTTTGACCCTTGGAACCACAGCTCTCTTCTTTGTTTTTGTGTATGTTTGAAATTTAATTTTCCGGGGTTTTGAAATCCTATGAGCTTAACATACCCCGGCTTTGAAAATGGATCTAGATTTTTTTTTTATGACTTTTCGTTTCCAGTGTGGTAGCGTCCTCGAACTTCACATTTATGCGCTACCTAGCGCTTTAAACCATATGTTGTGTATAAAGTCAACCACCATTGTAAGCTTGAAGTTGAATGCTAAGTATAAGTCTCTGAAAACAAGCCACAACCATAGACTCAATACTCACAGTTCCGTAAGCCGAACTCGATGCACAACATTTGTAAAAAAATTCAATGGCTGCTAATGTACTATAAAAATATTTTTAAAATTATTGCGATGAAATTAAAAAGTTCAACATCATGTACTAGATATCCAAGTAATATTTACGGGACGCTGCAGTCCGAATTAACCTGAAACCTCTAAAAGTAAACACCATTGTAGCTAGGATATGGAAGATGAAACTTTACACATCCACCTTCCTCATTGCCATGTTCTTTCCCCCAAAAAGCACACTCTTAGTCGCTAGCTTATCTGGGCAAGATTTGTCAGGGCTAAAAATTTTGTTCAAATCCAACCAAAAGTTGTTGATATTTCATAGCATCGTCATATACATTTAATTCTCTGAGGCCGAAGAGTTTCAGTCAAAATCATAAATAGTATGTACTATGTTTCAAAAAACTTCGTACTATGGTTTGTTTCTATACCAAACCATAGTAGAACAAAGTACAAAATTTTTTTATATTGACGAATCTCACAGAGATTAGTCGCTAGTATGGCTGGGACGATACAACTTTTTCTATATCGATACATATCACAATATTTGAGCCACAATACGATATGTATCATGATATGTTGAATTGGTAAATCTTTGTTGTTTTTTTTATTGAAATGAACAAAACATTTCTTCACAAATAAGAGTAATTTATTCAAAGAAGTTGTATATCTGTTGTAAAACAAAATTATTTTACAAAAGTGGTGTTAATTATTATGTATTTTATATTTATATTTAGCATATTTATTTTATATATTTAGCCCAAAATGTTAAGCAAACAAAGAAAAACATGTCATATTTTTGGGGGCGATATTTCTGAATCAATATTTCTTCTTAGGTATGAATATGCATATCATCCTCACACAGAATCGATATCTCGATATATCATACCAGCCCTAGTCGCTAGCTACCACACGCACCTCATCATGCTTACAAGTAGTGTTTAAGAATCAGTGAAAATTTATAATCAATCATTGAATTGAATCAGAGCTTTTAATTCTAAATTGAAAATATTTGGAGATTTTATATATAGAAATCAACTTAGTAGTTTCTTTCAAATAAATAAATCTAACATTGGTGTGTACAGGGATGTATATACTAATGGGATAGGCAACTCTTTCAGTGCCATGTTTATTTGCCCAAAATGTCACAACACTAAAAATTTTTAAATTGCTTTTATTCTCAGTAATAAGTTTGTTTTCTAATAAAAGTAATCTGTTGTTTTTATTTATTTTATTTGCCATGGTTACTGAAAATAAAAATTTCTGTGAAATACTTTAAAAACACTACTCCTCCTACAGTTTTGGTCTAATTTCAATATAATTTGGCATACAAGTAGACTACACTAAGATACATAATTTTGTACATCAATTTTTGATTTTAATGAACAATGTTGCCATGGTTACTGAAAAAAAAAATTGTGAAATTACTTTAAAATGCTACTCCTGCTACAATTCTGGTCTGATTTCAATATAATTTGGCATACAAGTAGACTACACTGAGATATGTAATTTAGTTTTGGTTTGATTTCAATATAACTTGGCACTCAAGTAGACCACTTTAAGATACATAATTTTATTTATTGCTGTTGCAAAGTTTCAAATCCAAGTGCTACTTTTCTCTTCCTTTGTTATACGTACAAGCAGTAGAGCTACAGTCTCATCAGAGACTTCTGGTTGGTATTAAAATTTGTTTTTTGATACATGTATTCAGTTTTTCACATCAACTGGGATGACTCATTAATGAATGCTAAAGCATGTATTTAAAATTATTTAAGGATCCTCTATACACTGATGAAAAATGATTTTTGGACTTTGAGAAAATTATATAACATAAAGGAGGATGTATTTTGAAATTAACTAAATCATTTTAATATAGGGAGCATGCCTTTTTTATTCAGCAAAAATCTTCAAAGACAATGAAGTAATAGAAAAGAAAAATTGCCTTTGCTTACTCAAATGGATAAAATACATGCAAATAAAGTTTTCAAATACTCTATCTTGTCATAAAAAAATGTTGGCCTTAGCAAATAATTACTAACATTCAGCAAAATCTATAAAAAAAATATGGCTAATAAGGGGCATGTTTTGACTGGGGAAACACAATCTAATATTTTACAAAAATTTTTAAAGTTTACTTCTCTTGCCAGTAACGATACAGAGTATTATGAAAAAGCTACTAGGTATAAAACAGCCTTAACTAAGATGGATGCCAATATATTGAATTTCAGTTGGTGGAAATAATTTGTTTTTGCTTTCAGTGGAACAGGGTCTAAATTTATCTATATTTTAATAAATCAATTAAACTAACAAGACATCACTTTCTTTTAAAAAAAAATAAATGCTCCATGAAAGGAGCAAACAGAAAAAGATTGATTCACTACTGTTAGATATTGATGACGTACCAATGGACTATCAGCATTATACACTTCACACACTTGCAAAACAGAGTGTTTACACAGTTTGATGGGGGGTGGGGGGTGGGTTAATATTTTAAAGCCCGTCTTTTGATTTTTTTTAAATAACAGTTTTGCTCATTTTGGGGGTTTAAATGTGTCTATAAATGTAGCTATACTTCATATATAGTTTACATTTTTTGCTATCTTTTGTTTATTGTAGATGTCCAGCCTTAGTAGACTTGTCCATTTTGTACACATTAGCAATTCCAATATACGAGGGGATTCTTACCTTGTTCGTCATACTCAACTTTGGACTTGCTACTTTTATGGACCCAGGATATTATCCCAGAGGTAAATTTTGCTGTTTTGTATTACATTTGGTTAAGGTACATTTTGTAAGTTTCTATCAATCAGTTTAAACAAATACATATATTTTAGCAAGTTTAGATTCATTTGTAATCCTAAGATGGTGTAGATATTGTTTATATATGAGGAGCTTTTTCCAGCATTTTGTAAAATTTACAGTGTTAGACATTTTGGATCAAAAGATATGCATAGAAAAATACTAAATTTACATGGACATGTGATATTTGTTATGAATATTTTCTTGCCCAAGATTTTTTTATTTAATTTTTATTTTCTGACTGGAAACAGGGATTTCCCACTGCCCCATGTAGGGCTGAATTTTGGCCCCATTCCCAATCGCAAAACCCTACATTTTTCCCAAAATTCCACCTCAATTTTTCCCTAAATTATTTACGTTTAAAATTTGACCAGGATCGGAATTCTTACAAAGGTATGGGAATGGAACTCACAACAAATGATATGTGAATGACAATTTTTATTGCTCAAATGGTTCAATTTTAAAATTTTTTTCTGATGCACTTGTAGAAATTTAGTCTTACAATAGCATATAAAAATTTCCCAGTTTTTGATAAATCGTTGTAAACTTCCCAATTCCAAGGGACCAGACCCCATATGGATAATCCCTGGGAAAACTACTGCAAAAAATGTTGTTTGATTTTAGTTTTTATCCGATTCTGAAAAATTATCATATTTGTAATGTCACGTTCAAACAGCTAAGACATATTCTGTTGAAAATAATCTTGTTTTCCATAATGTATTTAACTCTAAAATATTTAAATAACTCTAAAATATTTAATAATCATGTATACAAAACTTATCAGAAATATTTCATTAGAATGATACAATTCAAATATTCAGAACTGTTGATACAATTCAATATTCAGACACAGTTTTCTACTTTACAGCACATGAAGATGAAGTAAAAGATGATGATTTTCGAGCACCTCTATATAAGCCAGTAGAAATAAATGGTATAGCAGTGAGAATGAAGTGGTGTACCACATGTCAATTCTACAGACCACCTAGGTGTTCTCATTGTAGTGTGTGTAATAAATGTATAGAGGTAAGAACCCAGGATATAACTCACACAAGTCATTTTTTTTAATTATTAGACTGAACTTGTCAAACTCATTTTCCTTACTTTAATATTTCCGTGTTTTAAGAATGATAAATGCATTCTACAATGTTTAAAACTTCTAGTGTGAAGAATCACCAGATTTAACCATCTCAAATAAATGCTAAAATTATCTTTCATGTCTTTAGAAATGAGTCATTAAGTATTGTGAAAGTGACAATTTTCTAAAGTAAACTTGTTTTACATTACAGACATTTGATCACCATTGTCCTTGGGTGAACAACTGTATAGGACGAAGGAACTACAGATATTTCTTCCTTTTCTTGTGTTCATTATGCATTCACATGATTAGTGTATTTTCATTCTGCTTGCTTTATGTGCTTAGACATAAAGATAATTTGAAAACTGTTGGCAATATAGTAGCGTATCCTTTTTGCTATGAATTCAGTCAGTATGATTATGCCATATTGACGATGTATGAATGTCACTTTAGTTGTATTAATTAGTAGTTCTTCAGGAAGTTTTTCATGTTCTAATTTGACATCAATGGATTGACGTCATCACTCAAAACTTTTTTTTATTGATTTCATATCTGCATAAATTTCATCAATAATTTAATAATGGACAGATGTTGTTTGGATTGAACCACTATTGCAAATAAAGGGGGGAGAATTAGTGCACAGAATTGATACTTGAATTTCCTTAATCAGTATTAGATTAATTAATATGATAATTATTGGATTACTAATTTTTCCTGTGTCAGGATTGACTGGATTTCATGTTGTGTTGGTTTCAAGGGGAAGAACCACAAATGAACAGGTCAGTTTGTCACTCATGACATTCCATAAATTTGAAAATTTGTGCCAACACAATCTATAACAGATGATGATTTAGATAGACTGTAACATTAATTCCAGGTCACTGGGAGGTTTAAAGGAGGGCACAATCCTTTCACCAGGGGATGCTGCTTGAATTGTAAATATACCTTATGTGGTCCTATGTGGCCTAAGTAAGTAATTTGTATTTGTATTTTCAAAAAATAATGCCAATGCATTTAACACTTGGTCAGATTGTAAGGACAAAGGTCAATATACCTCAGGCCAAATAAAAAAATATGTGTGGTTCCGGTTACCGGACCGTCCCTATTTTATACCCCCGACCCTAAACTTTTTTTTTTTGACAATTTTCAAATTTCCAGAATTTTCCCCGATTTCCATCATTGGCTCCGGTATTAGTTTTAGTTTCAGCAATGGTGGCCTTCTTTGACAACATCGTTTCAACATGCAGTATAAGTGTTTTGTCACCACTTGAAAGAAAGCAATAGTATTATCTCACCAATAGTTAATTCAAGAACATTCAATGATATTTTCGACGTTTATTATATTAAAAAAAAAAAAAAAAAACCTACCTACCTACCCTAATTTGTTTGGAGGTGTAACCGGAACCACACATATTTTTTTATTTGGCCTCATCCTTGTGTTAATGTGGTGCTTTTATGAGTCTATACACATGTTAGAAATAGCCACAAGATTTACAAGCAACTCCAGCTCATGGATATTTATGGTCATGAAACAATGCAAGACTTTGAAAGAGCTTATGAAATAGGAAACTGCATTGCAAATAATATTAAATATTTTTAAGAACATTGATTTGCTTGTGAAAATTATGCCTGATGTCTTTCATTGGAAAGCTTTGAGGTTGAAGTGACTTACATAAAATGTAGGTGATATAGAGTCAAATTGGTCAAGTTTCAAAAAGTGATATATTTGTTGTGAAGGGAGTATTTAAGGCTAACAAAAAATTAGATATGATTTGTTTGATGTATCCCAACCGACCCATCAAAATCACACCTGCCTGATATTTTTTTTAGTGCTTTAAACTTTTTTTCCCAGGGAAATACAGATTGTCCTTATCATTTTTAAAGTTTAGGTTTATCATTTTTCAAAGACAATATTTGGGTAGAATGTTTTTACAGCAATATATATAAAATACAAAATCTGTCTAGCTGTCCTGTGTTTACATTGTAATGAAAACACCAATAAATTTCAAAGTCTGACAATTATCAATGTGTTCTAAGATAATTAAAAAAATTACCTACCCACTTTGAAAAGATGTGGGTCGGAGTACATTAAACCAAAAATGTTTTAATATGGCCTAATTCTAAATTTCAATTATTTCAGATTATCATCATATGTGCCTAAACATAGAACACTGTCAATAGATGCTACAAAAGTGAAGTATACATCTGCCAATAAAGAAATTAAGTTGTACACAGATGCTAGTACTAATGGGGTAAAAAGAAACACAGCTGTGGTGAACCAGAATGTAAGGATTTATGTTAGCAATGTACAGTCCTGTTGTTGTTTTATATATGTGCCCTTTTATTAGAAAATAAAAACTGTGTCTCCATCATCTCATTCAAAATATTAAAAGAATATGAACTTAATAGGTAAATTATACAATAAAACCTTTTGAGATGAAGACTACATACACAGTTTTTCAAAATTATTTTTGTGTTTTCAATTTGATAATGGCTTTATTGAAATATACATGTTGTCAACATGTCTCTTAATTTTTAAAATGACATACAGAAGTTGTATTAATGTTATCTTATTGTCAGGAAAGTGATGATACTCTAAAACTATTAAGAAAGTCCAATTTACAGTGTCTTAATAAAAATCGGAATGATTTAAATGTACCATTAGATTGCCACTCTGAAGGATCTAACATTATCTCATGTGGATTCATCTCAGCGTGACCTTTGATCTTGCAATCAGCATCCTTTAACCCCCATTATGGTTACTAGGACATTCTGAGAACCAATGGGAGTAACGAATATAGTATTGATTGACAAATCCCAGTTGATTATAATGACATTTGATTGCTTGTGTTAAAAGGACTTTGCAAACTGTCAAGTTTTTCAGGTTTCAGTAAATTTTAAAAGAGCTAATATCAATCTTTCCATGATGAAACTATATTCAAGAAGAACTGTCTGACAGATCCATTAATAAAATAGAGTTTTGGTGTAGCATTCCTCCTTAATATTACAAAAATCCACAGCATGCTGGATGATCTCTCTCAAATGAAAACAAATTGTCTGTGTAAGACTGATTTATATTGGTTATCTCTGATTTTTATTGCAATTTCTTTGGCTTTTAAAGTTAGGTAAAAAGGTCTATCTGAGATGAACTAAAGCAGAATATTATGATATGAATGCCGTAGCATCTTCCTGAGGGGATCAAAGCATTTAATTTCAATAAGATCTGATTTGAATTTCCTCTATGTACAGTAAGAATCAAAGTACTTAGGAGTACAGAGAGCCGGGCTTATTAGTCCCCTACCGGTGAAACCGGAGGGGACTATAGGTTTCCTCTGAGTCTATCCGTCCGTCTGTCTGTCTGTCCGTCCGTCTAGCTGTCTGTCCCTCTGTCAGTCTGTCCCACTTGGTTTTCCGCACTTTTTCCCTAAACGCTTGCAGATATTGAGCTGATTTTTGGTATGTGAGTGTATCTTGATGAGTTACAGATCAAGTTTGCATTTCGTTCCGCTTCATTGATTTTTGACGGAATTACGACCTTTTCAATTTTTACGGGTTTTCTGCAATTTTCTTCTAAACGCTTGTAGATATTGAGCTGATTTTTGGTGTGTAGCTTTACCTTGATTAGTTATAGATCAAGTTTGCATTTCGTCCTGCTTCATTAATTTTTGACGGAATTATGGCATTTTCAATTTTTAACGGGAACGGAACCAGATTACACTTGCCGGTAGGGGACTATTATTGCTAATGCAATACTCTCAGAATGCTTGTTTACAAAGCTGTTTTTTTTTTTTTTTTACATGAGCCATACCTGTACATTGTATTAACAGCTAAATAATGAGCTCTGCAGACATTGGAAGAATATGTACAAACAATTATAATAATAATAATAATAATAATAATAATAATAATAAAAATAAGGGTTCAATGACATCTTAACTTATTTGAAAAAATTGTTAAAAATCTTATGTAAAATTTATTTTAAAATATCAAAATAAATGATAAACCAATTAGTTTTTGGGACCTAAAACCACACTCCGAATTTATCAGGGTCAGAGTCGTATGTATCTGGTTCCCTCTCCTGCTTTTCTCCATCTTTGTAGAGAACTAGGCTACGACAACATTGACTATTAAAAAACATTACGCAGATGAACTATGGTGTTTGACTTTGGACTGAAGTTTTCAAAGTCATTACTACTGATGTTTATTTGTATAGATAAAACTTCGTTTCATTTTTGTTGCTTTATTTAGCATTTGTATTATCTTAAAAGTGGTTGAGAGTAAGTACTATATTTTTACACGTAACTTTAATTTGGCGACTATGGGGTCAACACTTCCTGCATTGAACAGGCTGACAATAGCCGGCAATTGCTCTTTGAGCAATAAGCCCGGCTAAAAATCAGATAAAGTAGAAAATGGTTACCCTGACTGATTCAGAATTGTCACCTTCTCCATATATTTCAATATTTATTAATATATCCTGAAAACATTTTAATAGTTTTCTGAGTATCAGACAACTTTGTTGATTTAAACAAGTAATAATATAAATTGTTGTTCTATTTGTGTTAACTTTAATATTTTTTTTCTATTTTTCAGTTTCAATCAAATATTTTATTAAGTGGATTGGTGGTCTTTATTAACCATATAGACTCATCTTTCAATACCTTATTTATAATTTATTTATTGTTAAGCATGTTCATTAAACCTACTTTCAGATGGTACATGACTTGTATCACACATGACTACAATATTTAAGTAACAAATACTGAACATATTGATGTTACCTTTTATTATACCCCCCGCAAACGAAGTTTAGGGGGGGTATATTGGAATCAGCATGTCCGTCTGTCTGTCCGTCTGTCTGTCCGTCTGTCCGTCTGTCTGTAGACGAGATTTTGTCCTGACCATTTCTTGGAAACTGTTGGAAGGATTTGTCTGAAAATTTGTACACTTATTATTCGTCATATGAAGGTGTGCACCTGGTATTTTCATTATGATTGGGTAATTTTTCTGCATTTTACAGGTGTTTTTTCATTTTTATTATGTGGTTTTGTCTGGATCTGTTCCCAGAAACTATTGCATAGATTTGTATGAAAATTTGTACACTTATTATTTACCATATGAAGATGTGCACCTGGTATTTTCAACATTATTTGATAATTTTTCTGCATTTTACAGGTGTCTTTTTTAAATTTTTATTGACTTAGTCATTTCGGGTTCATGTCTAAGGTTTGAGACATAGAATCTAGAACATCTGTACAAAAATGTGAACTACAGCTTAAAACTACTCATTAGAACTAAAAAAAAACCCCACAAAGTATTAAAAACAGTTTTTACATTACACAGCAGATAGTGTAAATCCATTTGTCCCTTGGGAGTAATGAGTGGACATGCATCCAGTTAAAGATTAATTAATGAGTTCAGTGTGGGAAGCTGTTAGGGCATCTCTGATCAGGCAGGTCTTATCTATATCTCCTGGGAATTGGGCAGAAAGAAATAAAGATCTCTGTTGTCTAAGTCTCTTAATTGTTATTTATGTCTGTCAAAATACATAGTTACTAAAACCAGCCTTTTATTTTTAAAATGAGTTTGATATAAAGGTATTAAAATCAATTTGATTTTGTATAATTAATTATGATATTTTTTTTTTCAACAATCAATTTGCAGAGTGTCATGTCTCACAAAGATGACAGATAGTTGCAAACTATTTTTTCAATGTAATAAAAAACACTGTAATTATTAGTGTTGATATTTTATTAGGCTGCACCTTAGTTTCATTCATTAAAATAAAGTGCCCCACCACAGCATTACACGCCCATCAAATATTGTTAAATTATCATAAACAGTTTAGATTCAATTGGTCGAATGACATCTTAGTGAGACAAGGCAGTCTGCAATTTGTTGTAAAGATATAAAAATTCAAATAAAAAATGTACAATAAATAATTAGTTTAAATTATATTATACAATATCGTATAAGTTTTAATTATTATAAACAATATCAAATTAGTTTTAATTACATCAAATTTATCTTGAAAGTAAGACTAGCCAACAAGAACAATTCAATACAACACAAGCAATTAATTAAGAGACTGATTCCTTTTGCCCATTTCCCAAGAGATGTAGATAACACCTGCTTGATCAGAGATGCTCTACCAGTTATCACCTCACACTAAACTCATTAATTTATCTCTAATTTGACATGCAATTTTCTGCTATCAAAATTTTCCTTGACCAGTGCCTGATCATTACACCCATGGGAGAGGTGGAATTTTTCTTGTTACAGATTGCTGTAAAGAACATAGTGAAAAAAATAAGACTAAATAATAAGCCGGACATGAAAAATCTAACAGACGGAGGGAGGGACATGAACGCTATAACATAATACGTCCCGTCTTAAGACGGACATATAAAAAATATAATGAGTAATTAAATTTTCACTGGAAATGTTTAAGGAAATTGTGAACACCTCTCACATCTAGAAAACATTAGTGATTTGGTACTTTCTCTGAAAAACCCAGCGGGGGGTATTTGTCCCTATTGGACAGTTCTAGTTAAAATTGCTTTAAAGGTATTATTGAGACCAATTAAAAGTTTAAAAAAAAGAAAGAAAGAAAAAAAGAAAAACAAGAAATTGAATAAACTGTGGTCATGCATTGAAACAGCATTGAATACACTCTCTTTTATATAGCTGAATTATGTATTATGTATATTGCCTATAAATATTTTTATTATGAACATTAAGAGTGATACATTCATTTATAAACACATGTATTGTATCTTAGATATGACAGAAATTTATTTAACTCATTCTAAGAACACATGTACCTTATATGTGACAGGTTGGTCTTGGTTTTCCACTTAGTCTCTTTGTGGATGTGCACAGTTACTCCCCCTGAACACAGTAGTGTATTCTTCAGTTAATCACAAGCCAATTTTTACCAGGAATTACATTAGTGATGGGCTATTCCATAAACATTCACTGCACCCTGTTCACTAATAAAGAAATCCAAGTTTTATTTTCTTTTTTTTCTGTTGGTGTCTTATTTTGATTTTCATTCACACCTTTTTTCCCCCCTGTTATTATTTCCCCATACCTGACATGTATGTGGAATAGCCCATAGATACTGATTAGGAATCCGATTTAATCATCTAAATATGGCAATCATCAAAGTTGAGGGTATTACTATTGTTGCTCACTGCTTGTAGAACTGAATCCAGTTTTAGCTGCTGCTATTTGTGATTTTCACTAGGTTAACAGATCACAAGGTCATGATTCATAAATAACTTTTGTAGAATATTACTATATGTGGAGGCAAAAAAGTTTCATTTGTTAGATTATTTGTCTTTCAAAACCTTTAGGCTGTTTTCATAATGCAAGGCATCTGTTCCTATTTATTAGTACATACATACATGTACCAAGAAGAAAATGTAGAAAAGTATGATTTCTTGCATATGTATAAGTATGGTGAATATTTAGATATACACAATATGTTAATTGTTAAGTCTTTAGAATAAAAAGAAATATATAAGAATTAATATCAAATGGCAAACCTATAAATTTGAAAGTATAATTAGACAGTCAAACTATGAAAATAAGAAAATGAAGACCAAACTCTCATATTATTTTCTATTTTACTAACATATATACACTGTACTATAGATCACTTAATGTTCATGACACCTTATTTTTGTGAGATTATTGGTATTTGTAAGCTTGACAACATTTTCACGAATTTCGGTCATTGCTCTATATAATCTTTAATAATACTTATATATGCCAGAATGAAATATTTGGGGCAGACCATCTTAAGTAATTACTCGAAGATAAAGTTCTTGTGAATAAAAAGTGATTTACAGTACATGTGTTACAAATGCTTGCTCCTATAGGTAAAAGGATAGCATGTGTGCATTTCCAAAGAAAGATGTTGAGCATCACTGCTGATCAACACTCGAAAAATTAGAAACTACTTTTTATTTAAAAAAAAAAAAAACTTAAAAAATAATAGAGGGGTTTGCTTATTACTTTCATTTCTTGTGTGTAACATTTGATGCAGAAAGATGATGCTTCATCTTAAACTTTGAAACCCAAATATTTGTATTTATTCTCACTTGTCACTCGTGGAATGTGATGTAGCAATATTTGATTTGTGCATTACAGTTATTCAAGCATGAATCTAATTATACACATAGATTATCAATTTATCGATATCAATGAATTGATGAATTTTTCAAATATTACTACATATACATAAAATAATTCTAATATACACTATATCTAGAGCTTCTTTAGTATTAATTTTGGATGCTTACACTTAATATGACAAAGTGCTGTGCTTAAAGAAAAAGATATGGAATTGACCTCATCTGACCCTAATTTGACTTTAGATAAAAAAAAAAAAAATTAAAAGTTTCTAACTCAAGAAATTGCCTTTGTTGAATTCTTTTATTAACATTGAAAATTAGCAGGATATATCACAAGGTTGTGAAATATTTTTGAACAATTCTAGCAATTCTGCAATCTTGCCTTGACCATTTTTTTTTGTGTAATAAAACTTGCCATTTACCCTGTAGACAGCATGTGTATTTTTAATCTTAAACTAATACATTGTTCTTCAAGACCTCCCCCCCCCCAAAAAAAAGAGGTCAGACTGGGCTTTTACCTTGGAATGTCCTTTGTTCAATTTGAATAATTTCTTAGAAGATATATGATAATTTTTAGAACATAAGCACTTTGTCATGAATTCTTTTCAAAATGTGGAATTTTCAAAGACAAAATAAAGTGATAGAAGAGACCGTCATAATACTTTGAAAATTCTCCATTATCTGGCACTAATTTCTGAGTGTGTCTTTCTGGCTCTCTTGCAGGGTGTAACTACAATCCTGTAGTCAACACATAGGTAACAAGTGTTATATCGCATGGCATACCTCTTCAACCTAACACATACTCATAATCGACCACCAGTCCTAATCAACTGATATTGCCATATGTTGTGGTGTCTTAGCATCAGTATCGTAACTGAAATTGTCTCCCATTTTATTCGTTGTGTAGGCCCCTCGCACTCCACTTTTGTCGGATCACCAAGACGACCTACATAGCCAGGGAAGTAGCCAATCGGAAGGCTCTGAAATCCATGAAAATCGGAGGTCTGATTCTTATACAAATCTTTTTGACACTTCACAGTCAAAGCCAGTCTCATCATCATCAAGTAATTACCAAGCTGATAGAACATCTCGTGGACCACCTGTTATTCATCAGCCTCGTGTAGAACAGTCACCCCAAAGAGGCAGACGAGGAAGATTACAGGATGGGATAGCTCCTATGGCTCTTCCCGAGGAATCCCTTATGGGATCCCCTTCAAAATATACTCCCCCTCCCAGAAATATTTTAAATAGTCCAGGCACAGACAGGAGTATCAATGGCCAATCACGTCAAATGACTAGATCTTCACAACCTCAATATAGTTCCCGAGAATCTCCAGGGTACGGTAAACCCCAGTACTACAGTCAGCAGAATGGACACAGAAGGGAGAGAACTGCCAGTGCCGAGGGCTCTTTAGACAGTGTAGATAGGAGACCCTTGATGAACTCTTCTGTGTCCTCTGGATACAATTCCAGATCATTCGACTCCTCCCCCCTAGGGAGGAGTCAGACTCTACCAAACAATCAGGGAGGGTTCTTTGATGAGGATCCAAGAACTGCTAAGAGACCTATGTCTTTTGTAAAGGCACTTGAAGTGAGTCAGTTAGTTGAACAAAGCCAGCAGGGGATTAAGAACTCTAATGTACAAAGCAAAAAACCTCCTGTAAATACACAGGGGTCCCATCACCACAAACAAAAGGGAAGACATCGTGAAAGCAAGAAAAAGAATCTGTATGACACAAGCTTCGAAGTTTCTGTTTAAAGATGTGATAAAATTTTTATTATTATTTTATGGTTTTTTTGTCCATTGAAGGAGGCAGAATGTAAAACAGATCAATTCAATGATTATGTGAACTAGTCCCAACACTACTCCTCTTCTGTTGAAAGCTTATGATATCATGGATTTGAAGTTGATAAACTGTATTGTGTTGTATCATTTCATATCACATCCATTTTAGTAGAGAAAATTATGTATTTTACAAAGTGATTTTTAGAATGTGAATATCAAGTGTTTGAAAGTGCTTCCTTTGTTTTCAAGCTCACTACATATATGTCATGTGGACCAATGTGCATTATGCTCTTGTGGCATCAGTAAATATAGAAATTTTAAATTTCTCAATAAGAAATGAAAAAGCTGAGTTAAAAAAAATTATATTTTCAATTTTTTACATAACATGATAAAAAAAAGAAAGCTCATTTTTCGTACTTAGGATGTTAATGGAGTAAATGTAATGTGGGTGATTATCCATGGATGCCTGTTTTTGGTTTTTATGTATTTTGGGTCCACTATCGTTGCCAATAAATTACCCCATCTGCTTTCTAGACATTTTGGGGAAGTAGGACAGGCTTGTTGCTAGAGATAAGTTGAGGTTGTGTGCTGAGTTTATTTTTGTAGATTTTTTTCTTAAATGTGATATCAATTTTAAATTCTGTGACATGCAGTTTTAAAACATGCTGTTTTATTTTTTTTAAGTTGAATTGGTACATGTATATTTGATTAAGTAATGACAAATATACTATGCCTGTATTGCATATATATGGCCAATATATATACTTTGAAACTTATACCTTGTAAAAATAAAATAAATGTCCTTTAAGATTTTAGATTTTCTCTTCCACAAGGTGTTCTAGTCATCAAGAAAATTTTAGAAATTTACATCTGTACTTTCCCCCAAATTGCAGCTTGACTAGATGTATCATTTTTCAACTTCATTAAGAAATTTGATACATGTTTTATCTTTCTTTCTTTTTGTAGAATTTTTTTCTATAATTCTCAAACAAATTTTTATCTTTTAAGGTTTAGAATGCTAGGTACAGTACGTACCCTGAAATTCAGAATCTCAAATGTAATTTAATCGCAAAAAAGACTCAATAATTCCCTGATAAATTCTTTTGAAATTTTGCAGGAAATTGTCAGTATCCATAGCAATGACATATTTTTACTTGAACATATCTTGATTTTTTTTTTTAAATGAACAATTGGGATTAGACGCAAGTTCCATAACTTAAGACGTCCAATCTCTAAGTGTTATGAAAGGGAGATAAATTACAAGATGTAGGGTGTGTGCTCAAAAAAAAAAATTTTTAGCAATCATGTTTGCCTGCTTTGTTTTTTATCTTCCACTAAATATGTGTATAGTTCTAAAATATGACCGACTATACATGTAAATGTATTTCACTACATCTGCATTTTTAAATTCAAAATGCGCAAAGTATTTTAATGATACATTGGTGTAAACTTTACACTGTAAAGACAGGATATTATGCCTTCATTTCTCTCTATTGCAGTCACACAAAGTATATCTATTGTAATGAAAAGAATATCTAAAACAACACAATAATGTCATAATGATGGAGTGTATAAGCAGAAATATGTCTGCAGATAATGACATGTTGGTATCTTTTTGTAAAAAGTAAACTTGGGGTGAAGAAGACATGCCACATACTTCATGTACAAATTTAATTGTGATGTGACCATGTATCACTGGTTGTGCTCATGTAGACCATTTAATGTGACATACATGTATGAGAAGAAATTTATAGAAAAAATTTATAGAAAATAAGTCAATGCATCAGGGAAAATGCTTAAAACTGTCAGAATGCTGAACATGTCTTGTAAGTGTTTTATTTTCAAACATTGTGAATAACAGGTTGAATTTATGCCAAAATATGTTTGTACTTACATGTTGATTTCATGTTTATTTGGGACATGTACAATTAATATGGCCCAAATCATGCTACAATAGACAAAGGGTATCTATCGTGTAAATACTAGTACTTGGTATGTATTGGCCAACCTTGGTAACATTCTACATTCCTGTTTCTAGAAAAACTAGTAGATTTTCATATAATTTAAGTAATGAATTGTATTTATATGTTAAAGTTGAATATCAAATTCTAATTAAATAATTTGCTGTACTAAAGCACTAAAAATTGGCAAGTTATGTTCAAATTTTAAACTATCTTTGATTACCAACACCCCATGACATTAATAAAAAAGTTAACGTATAAACAAAAGAATTCAAAACTTTTAATTCTTGATGAAACATATTGGAGAGTGTTTCTACTCATTGCAAACATTGGTGTGCTTGGACTATTTATTGGTGTTGAGCAGGCACACGTGTCAGTTGCTTGTTTTATACTTTTAACAAGGGTATTATCACAATGTTGTTTTATACAGATGTAATATTAAATATAAATGTAACACTTACAGCAGTGTTTGTGATTTTTGTTATAGTCAAATTACACAAGAGCCTTATATAATGTATAAAAAGGGATTTACAGTACAATGTATTATACTTCCCTTGGGATATATAGACTATATAGTAAATATTTCCCTGGGGATGATTCTGTATATAGTTAAAGGGTCTGCTATAGTAAAATATTATATGCTGAAGAGCCCTTTGAGAAAATCTAAACCAGTTATGGTTCATGGGAAAGTTTACTATGTGAAACAAATATATAAAGCAAACCTTTCCCCATGGAGGAAAAATTACTAAATCTTCTGGGGGATGATGCTATAACATATAGTATAATATATAACATTAGTATAATTTTTAATTTGTATTGTATAATTTTAATTTGTATAATTTTTATTTGTATTCTATAATATAATAAATTTCCATTTGTATTGTATAATTTTACAAAACAAATGGAAAAACATACAATACAAATGAGAAATTATACAATACAAATGGAAAATTATACAATACAAATGGAAAATTATGCAATACAAATGGAAAATTATGCAATATTATACAAATGGAAAATTACAGAACACAAATAAAAATTGTACAATACAAATGAAAAATTATACAATTCAAATACAAATTATATAATACAAATGGAAAATTATACAATACAAATGGAAAATTTTTCAATACGAATGAAAATTTTTCAATACAAATGGAAAAGATCGAATATTGCAATGTTTGACATGCCATAACATTTGGGCTCATGATTTATTTGGACAAAAAGAAATATCGCAGGAAAAACTTCGTGTAAGATGCAATTATAGTGCAAAGGGATCATGTACCGTAGCACTAAAAGAAGTGTATTGACCACAATTTTTGTATTGATTTTTTAATTAAGCTATGTGTGTAGATAATGTACTATAAATATACTTGACAAACTTTTGATAGCAGGATCCAACCTCCTTAAGAAACTTTAACCTTGGCCCTAACTTGTATGAATTAAATTTTTAAAATCTTTTTTGTATGATGTGCAAGCAAGACAAGTCACACAGACAAAACAGTCACAATATGTCATAAAAAATTGCATCCCAACCACTAATTCTATCGTTGTGATAAAAAACATCGGGCTCGAGATACCAAAATATATCGAATGAAATGTAGCAGAACTGGTCAATATGATTATGATGAAATGGAAAGGTAAAGTAAACATCTTATTTACAATCTCAAAGTCAATCACAAAATTTAATTATAAGTACAGCACTGGACAAAAAAGATCCTACCACTATATGTAAATTATAACGTTCAGATATAGAGAAAGGGGTGGGATCCAGTGCTGTAGTCTGACACGGTATTTGCAAATTTGGTGTCTATGATCACAGACACCTGAATTTTTATCAGTCAGTCGCTCAATAAACCAAATATCGAAAAATTCTACCCCCTCTATTTATATATAGAAGGGGTAGAATTTTTCGATATTTGGTTTATTGAGCGACTGATTGATAAAAATTCAGGTGTCTGTGCTATGATCATGATGATTGGAAGAGTACTTCTGTACATTTAAAATTTGGGATGTAAATTGATTCCACAGTGGTTTTTAGGTCTTAAAATCAAGGGCCTGGGTCTTTCCATTTGGGAAAAATAGTAACATTTGGTTGAAATTGAGAAACGTATCATATTAACGTTTTTCTAGATATATTCAAACAGGGACCTATATTATGGGATAGGCAACTCTTTCAGCGCCATGTTTATTTACCCGAAACGGCACACACAACACTGCAAGTTTTTCAAACTACGTTTTTTCCCAGTTAAAAGCTTGCTTTCTGATTAATGTAATCTGTTCTTTTTGTGTATCAGAATGGATATTTAATAAATTTTAAAGCACATATTATAAAATAAATTAGATATTAAGTAAACAACTACCAAAATCGTCGATTTCTCTGAAATACAGCCGATCGGGGGCAAGTACTGATTTTTAAATAAACGTAATTACTACTAAGATAAGGAATAAAAACAGTGCTAATAACAAATCTTGAATAACTTTTTGATAGATAAATTAAGATTTTATTCTGAAATATTTGATAGCAAAAGAAATATATTTAATTAAAAGTGACTAACGAAATCCCGCAGCTTACGAGCTATCGCGAGACTTGCGAGAGCTGCCTATCCCGTTAGTATATAGATCCCTGATTCAAATATGAGTTTTTCCTTTCATTTGCAAGGTAATTATTGACTTCAATCAATCAGTTTTTGGAGCATACCTTTTAGATTATTTTGAACACCATTTCTAATATACATGTTACTTGGATTGGACATTTTTTTTAACCATATTTGTTTGTTTTGATTTTCTTTTGGGAATTGTCTTTTATGATATTGGGAAAAACACAAATTCTTTTTACATTGGGAATGGGGCAAAATACAGCCTCCTCCGACCCCTAAAAAGGAACACCTGTTCTGTTTTTGAATGACTCATCTTTGGAATAATGGATATGGCTATGCATAACCAGTGTTTGAAATAACCTTGCGCCCAACCGCCTGAGACGTACAAATTATTTTGACATGGGAGAACTGATCTGCATGTATGGACGCCCAGCTGGGTGCGTTAAAATTTCCCATAAATTAAAATTCATATATTTGTTAACTCTCTCTCAATTCAAGCAATAGTATCAGCACTCTCTTCCATCGGCTCATACATTCACCTCTGTCGTTGGCTCGCGTATATCACAGTGATAAGCACGAGAAATAGTGCGTTTGTTTAAATTCATTATAATTAAATGCCTGCACTAATGTTCCTCTTTTAATGTAGATATTTACAAAGTATATCTAGAACTATTAGTTTAATTTGAAATAAACCTTGGAATGTCATGTTTTTTACGTTATGTTAAAAATCTTGACGTGAGCCCATCGCAGAGGTGTCTGAGAGAGGAACGAACGACAACTCTGCATAGGAGATTGTAGTATCAGTAGTAAAGTGTAAAAAGCAAAGGGGGTAGAATTTGCCATCCTATAGAATCAGGATCGAAGTTAATATGGTTATCTGGCCCCATTCACATAAAACAAAGTTTTAAAAGACAATTATTTTCTCGGGCTAGTAGATTTTTGGCAGGACTGACAACTTTCACTAGCAGTCAGCCCTGCATGTCTAGCTAATTTTTCGGTGAGTTTCAAACACTGGCATAACTATTCAGCCTATTTACTGGTAGTTTGTTAACTAGATCTAAATAATTTCATGCGGTTGTTTGATGACTCCAGCAAGAGCAAGCTCTTTGTGTATTTCAAAAAAGGGGGCAGCATAATTGCAATACTTTGATTAAAATTCAGTAAAACTTTCATTTGAACTCTCATTGCTCTCTCCATCTTCAGATACTCTTTCTTTTTAGTTTACCTGAGCTGAAGGCTCAAGTGAGCTTTTCTGATCAAATTTGTCTGTCATGGGCATTGTCGTTGTTAACTTTTCACATTTTCATCTTCTTCTCCAGAACCACTAGACCATTTTCAATCAAACTTGCCACAAAGTGTTCTTGGGTAAATTCAAGTTGGGGATTCAAGTTGTTGAAATGAAAGGTCCTCTTTCAAGGGGAGATTATTAAGAATTAATGAAAATTTAATGTTATCTTTCAAAAATCTTCTTCTCAAGAACCCTTTGACCAGAAAAGGTAAATCTTATATGAAAGCTTCATTACATAGTGTGGATTCAAGCCATCTTCTTCTCAAGAACAGTCAAGCCATGGTTAGACATACAGTAAAACTTGATTATAGTGAAGTTCTAGGGACCCGTGAATTTACTTCGCTATATCCGTAATTTGTTATATCCATATAACGAATTTTTAAAAGTATACATAGCTTATTTGCAATATAGATTTTTTCATCTAAGTATTACTAACAACTGTATATTTAAAGGTGCTTGGACACAGATTTGAAGTTAACATTTTCTCAAATTTTCTGTATAATTTCATGACTTATATGTTGCTATAGCATTTCATACTAAAATATAATAAAAATCTTATTTCATCTCGTAGTTATTGAAACTTCAAATTTCTGAACGCGTTTGATTGACACATCCTTGCACTTTCACAAAATTATTTTTAATACTTAAGAAAAGTGGCAATTTTGTTGTGCATTAATGAAAAAATATTAAAACTATAATCCAGAAAATTCAGAGTAGAAATATTCGAAAGCTAAACCCACTCACAGTATTGTCAGTCCGTACTCAGTGGTGTGTGCAGAGTTTAACAATTGAACACACCCGGTGAATCATAAACATTAACAATAACAGAGCTCGTGCCCTGTTTACAAAAACAGTTTACGTTTCACGGGTGTATTCAATTTGTTAAACTCTGTACACAACACTGAGCACGGGCTGACGATATTAGTGAGGGGGTTTGCTTTCGCACATTTCTACTCTGAATTTTCTGGATTATAGATGTAATGTTTTTCATTTCAGGATAAAGATAAAATTTGTGAAAGTGCAAGGATGTGTTAATCAAACGCGTCCAGGAATTCGTAGTTCCAATAATTTCCAGATAAAATAAGTTTTTAATTATATTTTCGTGTGAAATGCTATTGCAATATATAAGTCGTGATATCATACAGAAAATTTGAGAAAATATTAACTTCAAATCTGTGTCTAAGCACCTTTAAGGAAGTATAAAAAACAAAATTTACCTTGGCATTGAAAAATTTTCAGATGATTTGAGTATCAAATATAAATACTTACAAAAAATAATATTAGTTCAATATTACAAAAAATTAGATCTTTAAAAATTGGCTATAAAAGATGTAAATTTCATTATTTTCAATTTCTAGGGGACACAAAATCAGTTTGCTATAACCGTAAATTCGCTTTATCTGAGTTCGTTATATCTGTAAGATTTTACGAGGAATTGTTCAGAATTTTGCTGGGATTGCAAAATACTTTGTTATATATATCCGTAAATTTGCTATATCCTTTGTTCGCTCTAAACGAGTTTTACTATATTTATATTTAAGCATTCTGAGGTAGTGTGGATTCAAGTTTGTTCAAATCTGATATGACCCCATGGGTAGGATGGGGCCACAATGGACAATCAAAGGTCAACATAGAAGTATAGGAAAAATCTTTAAAAATCTTTTAAAGAACAGCAAAGCCATTTATATGGAAGCATTCCGAAGTAGTGTAGATTCAAGTTTGTTTAAATCATGATCCATGTATTAGAGTTTGGCCACAATATGTGATCAAAGTTTTACATAAGAATATGGGGGGAAATTACTCCAGCATGCTAGAGGTTCACAGCGAGATACTTTTGACTTGGCGCCACGTAACCTCTAGCATCCATTGTAAAAATTCTCGCCGCTTAAATCCCAAGTGGAAATAAATTGTTTAATTAAAAATTCAGGCTTTAAACATTAATGAATGACACGAAACAATAAAATATTCACTATTTGCGATAAAACTTACACATAAAACAATGTTAATCTCTCTTATTAGCGATAAATCCATTGTTTTTAAAATCGAAGCAGAAATGAAAACAAGTCATCTGTTTGGAATGGAATGCTGAATATCTAACGAAACGAAACTAGTTTTCCGTATGAAATCATTGAAATTTTAGTTTTCTGACTAGCAATCCGCAAAATTAATATGAAGTCAAATCGAAAGTAATTCTGGTGTCAAATTGAAATAATGACGATTTTGATTTATGAACAATGATGCATACTGAATAAAGTGGATTTTAGGATTTCTTGTGACTTTTATACCCCATGCAACACGTAGGTACCTGAGAATTACTTGTTTACAGTTTATTTCATGCATTATATGTTCCGCCCAAAATCTCAGGTGGAACGAGCTCGTTAGAAAATGGCCTTTGGATGTAAGAGTCCGAGGTATATAAGGAGCTTAGGGACGTTAACTGAGGCTCTTACTAGTAGGAGTAGGGGGAAAATATGCTTATGAAGAACAACAGGATCATAGTCACTCAGGTGAGTTTTGTGGCCCATAGGCCTCTTGTTTTGAAGTTTGTCGTCTTTGAAAAAGAAGATAAATACAACAGGTACAAATGCACAAACAGTATCCTGAATCTTGGTTATAAATTTTAGTGTCTGATAAGTGACTACATCATGTCAAGAAAATATATTTGAACTAGAGTTATGTAGATTTTATATAATCACACAAAGAAGTTGAACTTCAAGATATCTATATTAAAAAATAAATATATAGAAAAAAATCACCCAGTGTTTTAAATTGCTGCATTCATGGAGGAGAATCTATTCAGGAGTCCAGTCGCTACAAATGTGTCAGTGCCACATGATTAATAACAACAAATAACTGTAATAGCAATTTCTCAATATAGTGTACTTGAGAATTTCATTAAGATTCAATCAAGTTTGAACTGTACAGATTCAAATACCAATTGTGTGATAGATGTACATTGTATTTGAATACTTGATGCAGCCACATGGTTATAGATGGAATTATCTTGAAGTAAGACAGCTAGGTAGAGTGTAAGTGGGCAGTGACAGGACATCATGATAAATAACAGAGATATCAGGAAACTATTTACTCTGGGGACACCTGTAGTATTATTGGGGACTTTCAGGACCTTTATTAAAGATGTTCTCTCATATGCTTCTCAAGTTTTAGCATTTCTAATCATGTATACATCAACATATTTTTTAACATTATGTGTATTAGAATATGAGATTCTGGATTTAAACTGGACTTATGAGGAAGGTGACCAATATGGACAAAGGTACCTCCAAAACAGAGCCATTCAGGGTCCTAAAGGTAATATATTTATTCTTAGCAATCAGATGTATGTAAAATGATTCTTGTAGTAATTAATACAGATATATAAATCAGAATAAATACAATGCCTCATATGAATAATTCACTATGTATTACAGCTGGGACAATATTCTAAAATCAATAATCCAAGTCTCATTTTTTAGGTCACCTGAGTCACTCAGATGACCTATTGTTAACTGTTTTCATCTGGTGTCGTACGTCATCATGATCCATCGTGCATTAACATTTGAACATTTTCAGTTTCTTCTCTGGAACTGCTGAACCAATTTCGAACAATTTTGGCTTAGAACATCTATGAGTGAAGGAGAACAAAAATTGTAAATTTTATGCAATCTTTAAAAAAATTCTTCTTTACTCCTGGACATCAAGCAGTTGAACTGTTACTACATGGTTGTGCATTGTGGCCTCTACCAATCTTGTGAAATCCATGGCCTCAGGGTCAGGGGTTCTGGTGTTAGGGTGGGGCTTTTAATGATCATATAGTAAAAATGCATAAATTCGTCAAAAATCTTCTCTCCTCCTGTATACTTTGTAGTTAAACTAGGTGCATGGTTATAATGAGCAAGGGTGCCTCTTCCAAAATTGTGATTTTCATGCCCCCAGGGTAAGGAGTTGTGGTGGGGTGGGACTCTAATGATTATAAAGTGGGAAATGCATAATTTTTTTGAAAAAAAACCCCCAAAGTACTAGGCTTGAGTATCGCAGGTATTGTCACGATACGATATGTATCATGATACAATGACAGGATACAACTCAGTGGCGGATTCAGGGGGGTTTGGGGGGGGGGGGTTCGGGAAAACCCCCCCGCCCGATCAAATTTTTTTTTTACAAGTGTCATTTTAACAATATATTGCATAAATGCGACTCTATCCAAGCCCATTGTTTTACACAAAGAGGTGAAATATACAGTCACCATGCGAAATCCCTTTCCGCTTGAGCGCACACAATGTACAGGTAATCAACAGTACTGTACATGCAGAGATCATGATAGTCCGTGCAGCTAGTGATGACGCAACGTCATACACTAACCAAAACTGCACATAGTTATTACGGTTTTGTTTTGGCTAAAGTAATATTGTTTCGAGAATTTTCTTCTTTCTTCGATAATTGAATGTTACTTTATTGAACTACGTGAATAAACTGTGATTATTATTTAATAGAAAAAAAATTAATTAATACATCAGGGACGTATATACTAGTTGAAATACGTTGTGACCTGTACCAAAAAGCACATTGAAAGTATTCCTTTTGTAGATGGAAGTTACAATGCAATTTTTAAAAGCAAAAGATCTGCATTTTTTTTTAATTACAGTTGAATGATGTTGAATAAAACCCAACTAACGGTTACAACTTTGTATAGAATTGTGGTAAAACTAACACGTAAAAATTAGAGGTCCTGTCAAAACAAGAATTGGCCACTTTTTTATTGATTGTTTTTCAAGACTTTTTTTCCCCCCAAACATTGGGCAGGTAAGTGGGTAAAATAAAAAATAGATCGAATTAAAGAGTGAATTTATGTTAGAAATTATAATTAACCCCCCCCCCCCCCACTTTGAATAAGCAATAATTCCAAATATTTTCAAAAATAATTTATATTTATTCTTCAATATGAAATATCATTATGTGTATATATTGCAAATTATATGAACAGTATAGTAAAGTAGTTGAAAAGAGTAATTAGGGTTTCTACACAGAATTCGAATGTTCTAAGTGTTGGAAAACTGCACATCATGCAGTTGTATTTTGGTAGACAAAGTTTCACATACGACAGTGTGTTGGACGTGCATTTTAAAATGAAAATTGGATATTATATAGCAAATGGCGATATTTCTAATTTTATCAGATTTTACATTTAATTTTTTCTTTAGAAAATTCTCATTTTTCAAGTCAACATGGAAGTTGAAAATAATCCCAAAATTTTAATTTTTTTGTTCAATTTCTTGAAAATTTGGGTAGGTTGGTCTTGAAAAACAACTAGGAAAAAAGTGGCCAAAAACTAACAAATTCAATCTAAAATGCTGGAAAATGCACCATTTGGAGCCATTTTAAAGAAAATTTCTCGGGGGAGGCCCCCCGAACCCCCACCTATGGGAGGGGGACACCCCCTCCCATACCCTCCCCCTTCGGCCCTCAAAACCCCCCCACGTGGACTTCTGGATCCGCCACTGCAACTGTGTATCACGATACAATTGAATATACAATGTAAAGCAGAAAATTGTTTCTTTTGTTCTGTATAAAGACATAATAAAGGTTTAACAGTATAACATCATGTGTATAATAGCAATTTATTGTATATTTTGGAAAAGAACACTTTGATTACTTCATCACTTACTGTAGAATTTCCACCAAGCTCGTTTCGGATGCCATTTTGTTTTGATTTGTTAAAATTTAATTGTAAAGTAAAAAACCACTTCCGGTATCAGGATTCTGGAATGTTTCAAAAAAAATAACTCACAAGGGAACAATCAGAAAAAAAAGAATGTTCAAATCAAAGTAGTTTTTGATATTTCTTTTTTTAACAATACTTGACATATTCCAAAATCTAAGAATCCAAATCTATTCCTCTAAACATGCAAACAAAATGTAGACAAAATAAAGTATCTTTGCCAATAATATAAGTCTGAAAACTGACTGTTGTCTTGCTCAAATTATGATTGAATGCCCATTCATTACTTTGGAAATAAATTCATGCAAATGTTGGGAAAATCTGAAAATTGATAAAATTAAAGATCATTTGTTTAATTAAACAACCGAAAAATTTCTAAAATTTTGCAGCAAATGTCCATTAGAAGACACAAGCTTGAGAAATCATCCGACAGACTGAGGTCAGAGTTGGAGCACCTGCAGCAGATCAATGATCAACAAGGGGAGAGGATCTCTAGTTCTCTCCAAGCACTGAAGCAAGAGCAAGAAATGACAGATAAACTGCTGAAATCAGATGAGAGATCAGTGGCAGATCATGGAATTTATGCTCCAGGGAGAGGTAAGAGGAGTTTAGGTTATAATATTATAAGGTGGGGGCTGTGTACTTGTATGACATTGTGGGTAATAGATACATGTGTTAATAGGCAATTTGTATTTGTCTTCATGTAATATTTTTTAGAACATTAAATGCAAATAGACCTGTGTTTTAAATATCATTTTATTTTAATTTAATGTCTTTTTTAATTAGGAAATAAGCAGGTAGCACTGATATATGCTTAGAAGAAGTTTATTCATTGTGGTATGGCTTTAGTTTATGAAGTAAAGGAAACCAAGGACATAAAATTAAAAAGGGGTTAAAACAGCCTTAAACATCAAACTGAATTTGACTTAACAGTCTGTGAGAAAAAGTTTCTGGTTATATATATATTAGGGATGTCAATTTTGTCAATAATTCATATTCGAATATTCAATGAAAGTATTCGAATATGTTCGAATATTAGATAAAATAAATAAAATCTGGTTTATTTTAAATATGCGTGATCCTACTCTCATGAAAGGTTTAGCGTAGGCATTCTAATATTGGAGTAAAATTGTGTGAAGGCTTTTGCAGATGTACAATAAGAAATTCCATTTGATATTTGTCAATGTTTGAAATAAATAATTGATTTAAATGTAGAAAAATATGATTTTAACAAATTTAATAATTTAATAAATTTATAGTAGCTCAAAGTGAGGAACTAATCGTCTTACCAAAGGCAGGATAGTCGTACATACTGTTTAGATTTCAATACGTGTAATTAATTACAATTATCAGTCTAATAAGAGATATGATTAAAATCTTTGATAAAATATTTTTAAAATATAAACGAATATTTTTTTTATAGACAGTTTTCCTAGGTAATTAATTAATTTACTGATAATGAATATAAAATTCAGGATTATGTACAACCCAAGAAAATCAAGTAATTTACACATTTGTTCTGAAATTGAGCCCTTTACAATATTAGTTACAGACTAATTCTATCAGACACTCATTCAAGGATCAATTAAATTTATTTTGATAAGTATACTCTTCACGTCTTTTAGACATTCTAAGAAGGTTTTCATTTAATCAAAATTTATTAATCACTATTTCTTTTTACGACATCTGTAAAACACCGAATATTCGAATCTTGAATTTATATTCGAATATCAACTTATAGAATGAATATTCGAATGTTCGAATATTCGTTGACATTCCTAATATATATATATAACAAATTTTATCTTTTTGAGAGGGAAAACCTTGTAAATTATTGACTTTTTTCTGATTTAAATGTTGGAGCACAGGCAAGATTAATTATCCCCCCCTTTTTAGCTCACCTGGTTTTTAGCTTCCAAGGGGAGATAATAAAGAAAAGACAAAAATAGGGTTGGGTCATTAAAAAAATCTTCTTCTCAAGAACCACTGGGCCAGAAAAGTTTAAATTTAAGTGGAAGCATGCTAGGGTAGTGTAAACTCTAAATTGTTCAAATCATGACCCCCAGGATTAAGGTGGGTCCACAATAGGGAATCCAAGTTTTACATTGAGATATGTAGTAAAAAATCTTTAAAATCTTCTTTTCAAGAACCACTGGGCCAGAAAAGCTGAAACTTATGTGGAAGCATCTTGGGGTAGTGTAGATTCTAAATTGTTCAAATCATGACCCCCGGGGGTAGGGCTGGGCCACAATAAGTACTACAAGATGGGAAATCAGGTGAAAAAACAACAAGGCCAAAGTTACTCAGGTGAGTGTAGTGGCCCATGGGCCTCTTGTTTTAAAAAGGGGGGGGGGGTTAAATTATATGGTAAAAGTAAAAAAAAAAAAATTCAGTTTTGAGAAAGTTTAGGTTAGAAAAGTTTGTTAGTGGGATACATACACACTGAAAATCTTCTGTTTATTTTCTTAAATCTTGAGGTTCATTGATACTCTGATAAGAGAGATAACTCTTACAGAATTGAATGTCTATTATTCCTTTATAAATTTGTCAAGTTGAAATGCCTCTTTTGACCTTTTTTTGCCCTGCAAGCTATGCCATATTTATTTGTATTTTACTTATAAAATACATTTCTTTTGGAAAATAAGAAGAGTTTAAGCAAAATTTTATATGAGAGAGCAGAGGATTTATGAACCCTAGTGTTTATTTTGGTGATGGCTTACATATTGTATCTTAAGTTTCTGACTTTTGGTCATCCATCTTGTATATTAGTATTTTTTGTACCTGTAATTTGTAACTGAGAAATATACAGCAAAATATAGAATGAATCCATGAATTTAAAAATAAGATGTGACCATCATTGGGGTGTGGTAATTTGTAAACCATTATATTTTAGTACGTGTACTTATTTTTCGAGTGTCTAATATTTGTAAAGTGAAATGTACATGTACATGTTAGTGATATAATCAGTCATCATCACAAACCAAGGTTATTCAGTTTGTGAAACATGGTGGACTGTCATTAGATGGTTTGTAAAATTAATGAAATATAGTCAAGATACTAGTGGTTCATACATGTATTTTTTGATGCATTAATAAAATTTTATTATGTCTAGAATTGTAATACATTTGTATTAATAACACTTACTGAAAAATATGCAACAACATGCACACAAAAAAAAAAAAAAAAAAAAATTAATTTTGCCTTTCAAAGATTTCTAGTTTTAATTTTGATGTTCAACAGATTAAGAAATTACCTACCAGTTTATAAGTTTTCTACAAAGTAAGAATTCATATAAATGAGTATATTTCTTAGCCTAATTTATCTCATATTTGATCCTCTTGACTTTAAGGTAATGACAAAGATAGGAAATGTTTAGATGCAATGGCAATGGTGTTTACATGTTACAGCGATCAGTGTTTTACTGTGTGACAGAGAGCAAGAGCTGTAATCTTGACCCTCAGGCATAACATTAAATTAGACAGGCCGTGTTGTGATTCCCCAGTCTTGATAACAGATGTGTCCTTTTACAAATATTTTTTTTTGTTCTAGGTGGATTTTAATTAAGATAATTGTTTATTCAGGGTAAGATTTTAACACTTGTGTGTTTTATCTGTTTATTTCACTCATCTGTTTTCACTTGAATGTCCAATTCATTTGTACCTTTGTTTGTTTTTTTCATTCCATTATTTTTCTTTTAAAACTAACATTGCCATGAATATTGTTGCCTTACATCTTTCTTGACTCCTTTCATTTCCATATTTCCTTAAGCACTGTGATGTGTCATGATTCAGATGTATATATAGGTAGTTAGCAAGATACCATTATCATTCAGAATATGTGTCAAACTAGTCTGTGGTATTAGAGAACAGACTCATTCAAAGGGCACCTGTCATGTATAGCTTTAATTACACCAACAATTTTCAACATATATTTAGCATAAGTTATCCTGCTTTATTTAGTAAACTGTTTTTGCTTGCATTTGAAAACAATTTCATTATGCATTGATGAAGCATTTAACAATATATTCTTTGATCCCATTTGTAGGTTCTCATATAAGCAAAATTTGCAAGGACAAATAAAGTATTATTAATAGGCATTGTAGATGAGTTGTTTATTTCATAGCTGTCATAGTGCAACATATACACTATATAATATTCAATCCTGGTCAATTAGTAAATAAAACTTCTATGGTATTGTTATGAATTTCTTGAAATTATTCATGAACAAAATACTTTTCAAGATGATGAACTTTGGTCATCTTGACAACTTTAAGGTCTTAGGAAACCCAAAATCCTGGGAAGTTGGGATTTCACCCAACCCTTTTGTTACATGGTAAAGTTTGAGTAAATTTATATCGGGGTTTTGTTTTTGTTTTTTTTTTTTTCATGTTTTTGCATTGAATTTCAATAAAGATATTAACTTATAGATTTGGAGAGAATGAATAAATAAGTCTGTTTTGATAGGGAAATATAATTAATTTGTGTTAAATATTCGCTCTAGCAAAGGAAATTTTTAGTTAAATACACATGTATGTGTTTAAGCAATAATAAAGCTTTTACAAACTGTTTTATAGATTTTGAACATAATATTTTGAGTACCCCATACACTTAAGATATTAAATTTAAAATGCAAATATATACTAGTAATTAAATTTATATCTTGTTTTATGAAGTAATATATACTTTAGGCTTATGAATTTAAAAGTGAAATAATAATGGGTACATTGTATTAAATTAGAGTTGCTCCCTTGGCAAGGGACAAGTTTTTTGTGTTAGGGATAATTTTATGCAGATATGCATAATGTTGAATGAATGTGAAGTAAAAGGCGTTGCTATAAAATCATTGGCTTTTATTAGTTCCTTCTGTTCAAGAAAATGTAGTGAATTCAAATTTCTCACTACATAAAATTTCTGCAGATCATATAAATTATGTTTTGAACTGTTTTGTACGCTTATTTCCACAAAAAAAGTACTAACATCCTTTTCTTTCTTAAATGTCCAGTCTTTTAAATTAATGGAATGTCTGATGTAACAATATCCTCTCCTTTTCTTAAACATTAATATTTCAGATTTAATTTTTTGATGTTTGTATTTTTCATCTCTGAAATAAATGGTATATGATATACCAGTCGTTTTCTTGAATTTCATTTAAACATTGCACATTCTTTGTTTGAAGGCAGAGGTAACATGTCGTCCCGGCCACTTCAGAGAGAACCCTCCATTCTGAGGCAGGTGAGAACACTGTTACAAGTTACTTTTACTGTTTATGCAAAATGTTGTACAAAATCAAGTGTTCATTGTTGTTTATATCTGAGTTACCTTACTTTTGTTTTAATGATGATTGGCCATTATATTTTTATATTTTTTTTTATCAGCAATACTCCAGTACTTAGTCCTATATTTTTACTCAGGTTTTGGAATTGGTAACACATGTAATTAATTAATTTCTAATATAATAGCTGAAGACCTGGAGTACCTCAGATGTCATCCAATGGTTAGAACAGAAACATTTAAACAAGTTCATCTTCCTCTTTCAAAGTAAGAATCAGTTTTAAACTTAAGAACAGTGTACATTATGCAGTGGATCAATTACAAAGATATATTTCTTGATTTAAAAAAAACAAAAGCAAAGTATTAGATGCATTACACAGTAGATCTGGCAAGCAGCAGCTTTTTTATGTACAAGTGGAAATTTTTTTAAGAACTGTGGTTATTATTTTTGATTTCCAGGGCATCATGTAACTGGAGCAGACTTGGCTGACCTTGAGCTTGCTTTTCTAGGTATTTAAACAGGCTGTCATGTTATAGTCAAATACTGAAATCTTACAAGGGCACTATAAATATTCTGAATTTTTTGTAAAAAGTAAATATTTTACAGCTGAAATTAGGTAGTTTATTTAATAATCATACCGTGTTCATCAGTGTTCATCATATGAATTTTTAACATTTAGTCAACAGACAAAATATAAATTATGTCGTAATGAATATTATCACGTTTACTCCTTTAAAGCAATATGAGCTGTGATTTTGATGTCGAAAATTTTTTGTTGCAATATTGTACTTAACTATTTCAATGTCAGACAGAAAAAAGAACATTTATAAACTTCTTATGTTCATTTTTGCGATGGAAGAACTATTTAAAAGCTTTGATTGAAGCAAAATTACATTATTGTTGTCCTGTACAATATTAGTTTTTTGATTTATTGATTTTTTATATACTACTATATATTCCATAGTATAGAAATCTTTTTTCTGATATCCTCGGATATCTCAAAGTATTTCCCTGGTTCCATCAAGTTTGAGAAAGCAAGGTTTGACTGTATTATATAAAACAGTGTAAAGCATGAAATAGCTATGTGTTTAATATGTAATAAAAAGAATCTCCCATGGTTTGTGGTAATTAAGATATTTCTTTATCAAAGTTGTGTGTTTTAATCCTTTTGCCAAGCCTCGGGATAAAAAACACAACTCATTGGATAACCACAAACCATGGGAGATACTATATATAGATCACCTTTTGTTTGCATATTTCAATAAAGCAGAATATGACTGTAATGTACCCCATATTTATACCATAACATTATTTATGTAACAATTTAAAAAAAAACACGTTTGCAGTTGAATGATATATTTACATCAAAGCTGATCTGAAAGAAGACATTTTACTGTGTTATTTTTCTGTTACAGAGAAGTATGAGCATATCAGTGTATCAGACAGGGAAGAACTCCTGTCCCATGTGTATGAACTGTTACGCTTGGAGCAGTTGGATGAGGATGACCCTGCCCGAATCTCCACACCTACTGAAAAAGAGAAGTACCGACTGGCCAAACAGATAGCTAATGATCACACATTTCACAGGTCACAGAGTGCACCGGTCACCTTCCTCCCCTCCCAGAGCTCCTCATCCTCCTCCTCCTCAGTGTCGTCAACCGCCTCCTCACCCACACCCAAACAGAGGAAGAAGTCAGCCTCATCAGACACTCCAAGTGTCCTCAGTCACATAAAAACTAAAATATCAACCTCAACTAAAGGCACAGATGTCAGGTATTTTTGATAAGTTTAACATAAATTATCACAAAAAAAAACACCTTAAATTAATGGTGAACTATAAAGTTAAGTTTTGGTATCCTGAACATCAATGTCTAGAATGTTATCAAAGTTGTGGGAAGTCCCAAACCCCTTTTCTTTGCATATTTTAACCTTGATATCTTGAATCCTCTGATATCTTGAAGTATTTCCTTGCTCCTATTGAGTTAGAAATAATGAGGTATGATGGTAGGCATAATGTATTTTCTATTTTGTGGATTCCTGTTTTAAAATGAGAAATTAATTTTTTTATAAATAATAATTTTCAATCAAATTTCAAGTATAATAAAGTAGATTACTAAAAAAATATATAAAAACAACAACAACAGCAAAAGATTGGTGTGCATAGGTGGGATGATACAGTGACCTTACAATATGACCTTGATGTGCTTTTAAGTGATTTTACTCCAGAATAATTATGCATCTCAAATATAAGTTACATGAACATCATGCTAAAAATAGCCATCACTCGGGACAGTCCTATTGAATCCTTAATTTTACTATTGATTATTGTGGTCATAAGTATACTAATTGGAGAATAATTCCAATTCTTGTAGGGCATATCCATGTAATTTGGATTATTTCCAGACAGAATTTTTCATTCATCCTTTAATTTCAAACTTTCACTTTTTTTTTCTATCTTGAAATTCTTAATTTAAATTATTTTTCTATGATTGTTTAATCTTTTATTAAATCAAAACTAGGAAAGACTTTATATGTGCATGTAAGATTGATTTTAATGTTTTGTCTTAGGTCTGCAGACATGATTTTTTAGGCAGAAAAAAGTAAAATTCATGTAAGGTCCATAATTTGGAAAAAACATGGAATGTCTATATTTGACCCAAAAATTACTTATGACCAAGGTCATTTTGGCAAGTTTAAGGTCACATTTATATAATGATGATGTGCATGTGTGAGGTCAGAAAAATCCTGCACATGTAATTGATATATATTGCTTAAGTGACTTATAGGTCCAATGGGCCAGGTGTTGTAAATATATGCTTAATTGTCTAATGAATGTAAAGTTATTGTATACACAAGTCACTATGATAAAATATTTACTTATAAAATTGCAAATGGGCACTTCAAGAAAATTGCAAGGGGGGATTTTTAACAAGCTTGCTCACAATACCTCTAGTTTGCTCGAAAGTATACATGTAGCAATGTGTGAAATATACTTTCATTTCAGACAACAAAGAGAAGTACAAAAAGGATTTTTTGAGAAGAAAAAACTCAAGGTTTGAATTTTTGAAACCACTTAACCCTGTCCATCTATTTTGAGAGGATTTGAACCTATATTGCATTTTGCTTAAAAATTCATAAACATTGCACATTTGCTGAATTCTGTTGAAAAGAAGTTTACTAGTACCTTTGTAAGATAGGTCCAGATCTAACTTTACTCTTGTAAAAAAGGTGAACATACAGGTAACATGCAGTGATCAATCTAAAAAGTCTTCTTTTAATTAGAATACAAAAAGTGAATAAACATGGACCCCTGAATACACCAGAGGAGGGGTTCTGTGCCTAGTGTTAGAGTTATAAATAAAGTAAAGTCCAAGGTTTTTTTAATGGTAAAATAATATTCTTTTTGTTTAATGTTCATTTTATTTTGAAGAAATCGACGTTAAGTTCCTGGTATGAAGCTTTAGAAGGAAGTGAGAATGTGTGTGTGTCATGCTACACATTACAGAAGAAGGGAGGTACTTTTGGTATTACCCTGGAGCCTAGTCCAGATGGTTGGTGGGTTATCAGCAATGTCAGTTCCAATCTATTGACAGATATCAGCTCTGGGGACAGGTATAAACAACTCTAGGGGCAAAAGTTTTACTGGAATACCATTGATGAAAAATGAGATACTGTGAAATCACTTATTTTCATGGGAGGTTATTTTTTTTCATGGTATGAAGAAACCCAAGGATTCATATCCCCCACAAAATGTTAAAATCCTATATATAGTATGATGTTTCTTCTTTAGCTAGGAAATCAAAACCCCTCAAACCAAGAAAATTTGACCCCACGAAAAATGGGTGATTTTGCAGTAGATTTCACTAAAATCTAAATAAATTTATTTAAATTCATTTCTTGGTATCCGTGAAAATCCAATGTGCAGTAAATTCATGGAAAATGAAAGTAGAATGCTTAATTGAAAAAAAAATCATTTATGTCTACTCTTTTTACATATATTTTTATTGTTTTTGCATCACATGTAATATAAAAATGATGATTTCTTTAAGCAATAAATACTGATGTAACTATTGTTTTACTGTAATTGAAAGCGAGATGATTTTTTCCCAGAATATTGGAGATAAATGGATGTAGTTGCTTTTCCCTCAAATCATCAACTGTAGCTGATATACTGAAAACTAACAATGTTATACAGATAGTCACATGTAAACCAACAGAACCCAGAAGGTGAGAGGATTCTTTCTATGTGTTTGTGTAACCCTTACATTATAATCATGTCAACCACTTCACAGTTAGGCTTTCTCATTATAGGAACAGCATGCATGATGGCCCTTCATTGGGGAATTCCTCAGATATCAAATGGCAGAAATTCCGTACTTTTTTGACAGATTTTAGAGACCAGGATGTTGATATCGATCAAATGTTAAAAGACATTCCTAAAGTTGAACTCCAAAAATTTAAAGAACGGGAAACATTAAAGGTAAGACTGTGATTTTATAATAAAATTTAAATCAAGAAAGGAGTGTGAATGACAGAAAATTGTTCTGCATTTCTGTATTCCATAACATGCATGGCATCCACTTTTTGGCAGCCATATACATGTGTATGGTACTGAATTACTGAATTAAGGGTGATACATAGTGAACTGGCAAGTAGGACAAAAATTAATGTAATTTTTTTCTTATGCACTGAACTTGCTAATTCATCTCATTTCCTTCATGCAATTAGATTGAAAAATTACAGTACAAAAACACTTCATAACTCAACATGGAGGATGGGAAATCTTCAATATTAGTTTTACATAAGGCATTAGTCTGTTTAGTTATTGTGGACAATGCCTAAAGTATCAAATTGACTTTTTTGAGTACATCCACTGAATCTACACATGCAAAGATTACAGCTCTTCAGAATTTTTTCACTTATCAAAATTTTCTTGAACAATGTATAAATGTGGACTCAATTTCCTTTGTTCATCAGTGACCTCACTGCTATCATTGCTATCCAAAATATTCTACTATTCTTGCAAAAATGCTTGATGATAACGTAATGTAATGATTGTCACTACTCTCACTGAAAGTCTTTCAGTTAGCATTCAAAATAAATGAAACAATTGTTTTTTTTTTCATTATGAAAAATTGTTAAGGGGGATAATTTATCATCGTACGAACTAACTTTCCCTTTTTTACTACAACCTAACAAAAATGAAACAAAAATGGCTGTTGAAGATTAGTGCGAGACAGAGAAAACAATAATAGGTAGATAAAACCATAGGTTTCATGGAATACACAACACATTTTTTGAAATTTTTCATTTTTGATTTAGGGTAAAATCATAGTACATACAAATTTATTTTCTCAATAAATAAATTTTGATTATTTTTTTTAATCAATTCAAATGTATCTACAATTAATCTGATTATCAAATAATATTTTTGTCCGATTGCCTTTCACTAACTTCATAGCCTGTCTATTCATTCAATTATACAGTATGTTTTGCTTTCTGGTGCTTGGTTCTGTTACTGATCATTATCTGTTCTTGCTGTTTTGTATAGATGGAACTGGAAGAAGCCAAAAACAAATTTAAGGAACAACAGATTGTGATAGACAGATTGACGGAGGAGGTGGAAGACCAGAAGGCTCTGATTGAAGATCTGTCTAAGGAGAGGGATAATGCAGTGAGGTCAAGGTCAAGAGGTCAAGGCAGTGGTAGGTACAAGGTGTCTGTTACATCATGAAAAAAAGATGTCAACAGAAGATGAATAAATTAGGTTGTTAAATATGAATTTAAAAAAAAAGAAGATTTTTGTGGATGGGATCATCATTTTAACCATATTTACATGTACAGGTAAACTCCGGTATCTCAACATCAGCGGAACTCCCGGAAAATGTTGAGATATTCAGGGTGCTGAGATATCAAATGAGTTTGTTACATAGTACAAGGATATGGATTCAATATTTTCAGCAATTCTCCACTTTGTTAACTATGTTTAAGAGGTAATTAAAAAAATTCTGAATGATAAAATGTGTTTTTTCCATGTGAATTTTTTTCTAAATTTACTGAATGTTTGATGTTCTGCATAATGTATTGTAATGTTTGCTTTATGTCAGAACATGATATGAAATGTGCTGTCAAAACATCAAACCCAAACAAAGCTGGCACAGAAGAGAAGAAAAAAATCAAACAAATACATTTTTTTATTTCATTTCTGAAAGAAAACTCATGAAAACAAATTTAAAATTTTTTTTTTACTTGAACTTTTCTTGCGAATCATTTACTGGTACATGTATATAGGAACTATCACGGGGACCATGGACAAATGTTAACAGATCCCAGGTTGTTGACATATTCGATGTTGAGATACCAAAGTTTACATGTACCTGTATTTAGAAAATTATAATGAAGAAAAATTGCAAAGCATATATAATAAATATATTATCTTTCATTTATATTGAGAACATCAAGTCCACTGGTTTTATGAATTCATGCTTCTAAGTTTTTGAGATTTTGTTTTTGTTCTCTCTATTCCATTTACAGAGAAAAGTATTAAACAAGGAGAGACAGAATATTATAGAATTACCATGAAAAGTTTGAATATGGAAGAAGCCAGTAAGGTATGTTAGAGCAGGTAGATGAAGTCAGGAACTACTTACATGTATACCTGTATATTGTGCTATTGGTTTTTGTCATGAAGGGATCTTTGTGATAGCCAACAGTTGTAATATATTTGACAAGAAAAAGTTTAATCCCTTTGTTGGTCTCCTTTTGTTCAGCCATCAGAAGAGAATTACTGGTGTGTGTGTATACCCAGTGTTAGAGTAAGATTTTAAATCTTTGAAGTGCAGCTACTTAAGGAAACCTTGGTTTTTTTTTTCTAGCACGTCTTAGCATTTAGAACACTTTTTTAATTTTTGTGCATTATCTCTGCTAGCCAATTGTTTCTGATCCCCTTCACTTTGCATAAACCCTTGGTCTATCATACAATCAAAATTCATTTTTTAAAAGATATGATTAAACTCAACTGATAGCATTTGACCAATCAGAGAGTTTGTTGCAAGACAGCATGGCAACACAGTAAGTGACAATATTTCATCTAGAATGTGTTTCAGAGAATGAAAAGCTCATAAAAAATGATAGGTAATTGAGATAACAGTGTGACCATTCTATTAGCAGTGATGTATAAAGTGCCAAATTAACATAAAATCAGATACATGTACTGGAAGATATCTTTGATTAATTGAAGATTTCAGTTTGTTTGATGTGCTCAACAATTCAAAGATCTTTAGAGAGAGGAAGTATTCAGTTAATGAGTTTAGTTGAACATATTCATCAATCCAATAGATGTGCACATGAATTCAAGTGATGAGAGCAATTTTAGATTGAAGTGATGCATGCATGCATCAATTCAATTATTATGTGCATTAATTGATTTTATGACAGCCTCAAATAATTAAAGATATCTCTGATTCTTTGAGTTTATGTTAATATTGTGCTCCAAAGTGATGATGTCATTTAATTTTTTTAAGTTGATATGGGTAAAATGTGACCTGGTATATAGACACAGGCACTTGACTAACATATATTTCTTATTAAATAAAAATAATCCCTAATACCAAATAATTATTAGGTATGGGGTTATAATATACATGTATATATTTTTTTGATAAGAAAAATATGTAACATCATTCCAGATATGTTGTCATTTTCTGCACGATCCGTGCTTGGTGAATATCCTTTAAAAATTCTCTTCTAGTTTGTCCAAGAAGTAATATATATATGCTATTTCTTTCTTTTCAGCAGCATGATATAATCTATAGTAACATGACTAACACCAAGATCATGATTAGTCCTGACTTTTAAATGACATGATTGGCAGTGGGTTTGTGACAGAAACATTTGGCTAGATACATGTAGTTTACTAGTCAAAAATCAAAATGATTATGTGATGGTTTTAAATGTGCAAAAAGAATTTTATGGGAAGTGTAGTTTGAGTAGTGATGCTTTGTAGAAACATATCTTCCATGTTTATGGCTAGTTTATATTATAAATGGGAGATCACATCTACGTATGTTTTCTTAAATCTTTTAAATTACATGTGCAAAATGTGTTTGGAAAACTTGAATGAGATGGGTGATCAGATATGTAAAATATCATAGACTGACATCTAATAGATGAACAGAAGCTGAATCTACAGCAGTGGTTTATTCTATATTGTATTTTAGGAACAGATGATAATGACTCTTTTGTTCTATTTATAGGAGCAGATTATGATGACTCTGAAGGACATAGTGATGGAAGCCAGCAGACAGAAGTTCTATCTGGACAGACTCATCTCCTTGGTGATAGAAGAGTCGCCATGGTTACTTGACCAGGTTGATGCCAACTTTGATGAAATTTCTATGGACAATAAAGTGGAGGAGTTCTGTTAATTTTTCAAACAATAATTGTCAGCCATTCCATATTTATTTATTGATCCATTTGTCAACAAATCAATTAAAGAATTTATTCCAGATTCTTTTGAAACTTGATATAAATTGTTAGTTTTGTATTCATTATGGTGATTCACAGTAGAGATAGAAGCTTATGAAATAAAACACACTTTGCTGAAATATATTTATTTGTAGACACAATAACTGAAATTAAACCTAAGTACCCTAGAGTTTATTCATCTGTTTTAAGAAAAAAATATGAGGATTCTTCTTTGTAAAGTATATTTTTGTTTTCTTAGATGCTTATGTAGGAATATAATGATTTTGTTAAAGAAATTTTGTGTACTGTACAACTGTTACAATTTGTTAAAATATTATAGCATTTATTTGTTTATGTCCTGTTATTGAAGATTATTATGTTGTATTTTTAAAAGCATTTAAGTCCTACTGCCTTGAGGTATTATTAATGTATTTTGTTCCAAATTAAGAGCTTTAAACTATTGTTTTTAATTAAATTGTTTAAGTATGAAAAGTATTGATGTACATTTTTTTTACATGCACTGTTTGCACTATTAATAGATACAGTATATAAATTTTATTCACAGGAATGTTCTAGTCAGTGTATAATAGACTTTTTTTTTAAATTTACCTGTGCATGCCTCCTCCTGCATCTTATTTATCATGAGATTTATAATTTAAAAATGAAATTATATACAAACAAAACTATCCCTTACAAAAATTCAGTTGTAGAAGAGTTTTGTGGCCTTTGTCTTTAAATAGATTCTATTCCCGTCTGATAGACTAGACAGTAATCTGTAGATGTTTGTGCATGTCTTATATAAAACTACACAACATTGGTCAAAAATAAAGTCTATTAAGTTGTACAATTTCATTTTAATCTGATGCCTTGGGGTTTTAAGATGAATGAATGAATAAAATATTAGGACATAATATTTTTTGTTAAAATTATTGCTTTACAAAAAGAAAAGCTTTTGAATTTTTAACAATTGATTTGCAAAGTCGTCAATATGTCATGGATGTGCGAGGAATATCCAATAAGAATAGATTTTAAAGAAGTAAGATTTTACATGTATATGACCAGTCACAAGATATGAAAAGAGGTACAGCATGCTTTCCCAGTGCGAAGTATTTCGCTTACTTCCATGTATAAATGGAAAGTCACTTTTCCTCTAAATGGATGTACTTTATACATAGGATTGTGTACAGGATTAGGATATATTTGTTTACAACATTTCTATAACTTTGATTATAATTTGGCTGGAATTTAGGAAACGAACTTTATGAAATGAGTTTGCGGAACTACATACATGTACAGGGTGTTTCATTATATATGTCACACATCTAAATGGGCATAATCTCAATAACAAGCATGATACCAAAAATACCAAAACGCCATAGACAAGCATATTAATTTAAAATTATGATATTGCAAAATATTGGGAAAATTATAATTCCATGAAGTACACTGATGATATAATCAGTGATGTCATGATTTCAGTTGTTCTCAAAATGGAGTAAAACTAGCAATTTAAAGATTTGAATTTGTAAACTTTTACTATAAGCACGATATCCTTAATATTCTGCAGGGTGTGATGAGAAAAATATCCAAACCAGAAAGCTCTATCTAGTTTTTATTTAAGAAGTTTGAACAAAATGTAATGTAAAGATGAAAGACGGTTAAATCCTGGCCTCCCTCCCCCCCCCCCCCCCCCCAAACCAAATGAGAACATTGTCAAATTGAAGTCAATCATTGAGAAAACCTTAAGAAAGTCACTTAGATCTGAGTTTAGGGAAATGGATTGGGACAATGCAAGTGTATCAAGTGTATTTAGAAATTTTCGACTTGAATTGAGTGTGTCTGCAAACAAGATTTCAGCATCGCAGCATTTAAAGCCAACTGATATTCAGAGTCGGTTAAGTTTGCGAAATTGATTGAAAGGAAGGGCTAAAGAAGTGGACGTCAGCACATACCGGTAGTTCTGAAGTGACACATTTATTTAAATGCATCTTTAAACAAGAAAATAAATATGCACTTTGGGGGTTCTAAAAATCTAGATATAAACAAGAAAACTGTCAAGTATCCAGTGAAACGTACGAAGCAGTGGTCAGAAATCTGAATACGAGTCTCTTGTGGTATTTAGGACAATGGTAAGGAAAACACGTGGAGTATAACATTTTAGGAAATCGTTCCATAGAAATGAAATGGAGAATGTTGGATACTTTTGACTTAAAATAATAATTTTGAATATCTTCTGATTAAAATGATATATAAAATGTATATGTAGCTTTTGTTGTAATTTTTCTTTCTGCCTTTAGATGTGTGACATATATTGTGAAACACCCTGTACATGTAATTATATAATACATTTACTAGTATATAATTTATAAGATCTTCTCGTGAACTTTTCCTCTGGTTTGGAATGTACATAAATTCCCGAGAAGAATTATTTTAAAACTATGCATACGAGGATTTCACAACCAGTGTTTCCATACATAACCACATATCACTTTTAGCTCACCTGAGCTGAAAGCTTGAGCTTTTCTGATCATCTGTTGTCTGTCGTCAGTCGGTCTGTAAACTTTTCATATTTTCAACTTCTTCTCAAGAACCACTGGGCCAGTTTTAACCAAAGTTGGTGCAAAGCATCCTTGGGTCAAGAGGAGTTTAAATTTTAAAATGAAGGACCAAGCCCCCTTATAAGGGGAGATAATAAAGATATGACAAAAATAGGGTGGGGTCATTAAAAAATCTTTTCAAGAACCACTAGGCCAGAAAAGCTGAAACTTATATGGAAGCATTCTGGGGTAGTGTAGATTCTAAATTGTTCAAATCATTACCCCCGGGGGTATGATTGGGCCACAATAGGGAATCGAAGTTTAACATTGAAATATTTTGAAATTTTTTTTAAAAATCTTCTTCTCAAAAACCACTGGGTCAGAAAAGATAAAACTTATATGGAAGTATCCTGTGGTAGTGGGGGTAGGATGGGACATCAATGGGAAATCAAATTTTGACATTGAAATATACAGGAAAAATCTTTTAAAAAATCCTCTTCTCAAGAACCACTGGGCCAGAAAAGATGAAATTTATATGGAAGTATCCTGGGGTAGTGTAGATTCTAAATTGTTCAAATCATGACTCCCGGGGATAGGATGGGACCATAGTTTTATATTGAAATATTTAGGAAAATTCTTTGAAAATCTTCTTCACAAGAACCACTGGGCCAGAAAAGATGAAACTTATATGGAAGTATCCTGGGGTAGTGTAGATTCTAAATTGTTAAAAATTATGTCTCCTGGGGATAGGATGAGACCACAATGGGGAATCAAAGTTTTACATTGAAATATTTAGGAAACTTCTTTAAAAATCTTCTTTTCAAGAACCACTGGGCCAGAAATGATGAAACATCCGGAAGTATCCTTGGGTAGTGTAGATTCTAAATTGTTCAAGTTATGACTCCCAGGATAGGGTGGGACTACACTGGGGAATCAAAGTTTTACATTGAAATATTTAGGAAAATTCTTTAAAAATCTTTTTCTCAAGAACTACTGGGCCAGATAAGCTGAAACTTATATGGAAGTATCCTGGGATAGTGTAGATTCTAAATTGTTCAAAATTATGTCTCCTGGGGATAGGATGAGACCACATTGGGGAATCAAAGTTTTACATTGAAATATTTAGGACGATTCTTTAAAAATCTTCTTCTCAAGAAAAGTTGAATCTTATATGGAAGCATTTTGGGGTATAGTGTAGATTCTAAATAGTTCAAATCATGACCCCCGGGGGAAGGATGGGGCAACAGTACTTATTACAAGAGGGAAATCTGGTGAAGAACAGCAGGGCCAAATTTAAGTTACTCAGGTGAGCGCTGTGGCCCATGGGCCTCTTGTTTTTTTTGTTTTGTTTTTGTTCTTTTTTTGTTTTTTTTTTTTTTTTCAATTAGTAATGACTGTAATATTAATTACGAATTGTGTTCCTGATGTTTGTTCTTTTGATTCTGTCAGTTTTAAGATTTTATTTTCCTGAAAGGTCTACATCACTATCTGTTTCTGGAACTATCGCTGCATCTTTTTTTTTATCAATTATTTCGTCAACACATTATCAATATTTTCTCTTTCTGTGTCCCTCCTTTCCATATTTATTGAAAGTCAGAGAAGCAGTTTGGTTATATTCAGTCAAAGTAACATTCAGATGCACTAGTAAGCAAACAGTGCGGTACTATTATATAAATCTACATGAAACTGTGTACCTGTGGGGAAAAAATGATACGATTTAACTAGCTAAAGTGATAAAAATAATTATTTAAATAATCAATAACTATCATAAAATGAAATAATATATATACTTTGGAGTCTTACACACACACACACACACACCCTCCCTTATATATATATATATAAAGCACATTTTACAACTCTTAAACTAACATAACTGCCCTAAGTGAAGAAATATTAATACAGAAAGCACAAAGAAATTCACTTTTATAAGGATACCCACTTCCGCCCCAGCCCAGGGTTGAACTCTCGACCTACGGAATCTGTCTCCTAGCAGTACAGGAACAGCGCGCTAGAGCGCTCGGCTATCTAGGCAAGTCTAATAAAACTAATGTCCAAATAACTGTATCTCACTTCCATTCTCAATGACCGTGTCGTGTAGGACAGCGCCGCGAGAATTCCATCGGCATCGAAATCAAGTTTTTTGACTTTCCTATGATACACGTGCGCTAAAGTGCGATGGTCTGACACGCCAAAGTCCGATGGTGCCGAGAAACAATTAACGTTTATGACGTCACAATATTCCGACGTCAATCCTCGACGCCATAGTCCGTAATTCAAAACCCATAATTTAGGATGAGTCATCAAATACAATTTGACTGATTTTACTTAATGTTTGAACTCACCTGAGTTATTAGGATTAGTCCTTGCACACCACTTGGCGGATAAGGTTTAGTGATGGGTTGCACCCACCCAAGACATTAAGGGTTAATCCTTGTACACTATTCGATTGAATAGTTTTAGTCTCGCACCCCAAAAGAGGTTTGACTGATTAGGGCTAGTTTCTCTCCCATCCAGAATATGTTACAAACTTTTTGACCGATTAAGGTTAGCCTCGCACACATCCAAGAGATTAAGGTCAGCCTCTCACCCATCCGAAAGATTAGGGTTAGCCTCGCACCCATCAGAGAGTTAGGGTTAGCCTCGCACCCATCAGAGAGATAAGAGTTAGCCTCGCACCCATCCAAGAAATAAGGGTTAGCCTCGCAACCACTTAAAAAATTATGGCCAGTGGTACAATATATTCTTTGTGTTTTTAAGTGAATCATATAACTTTGGCGTTTAAATACTTAAAATTCATTTATTTTAAACCGTTTTACCTTGGCGTGGCGCGACATTGCAATTTGG